ACTGGGAGGTATGAAAGCCTGAACCTGTGGAGAGGATTTTTGAAAAAGGGGGGTCGGTCATTTTTGGTGCCAGATTTTCAGTGTGGGATTTTTAGTGTGGGACAGTCAGGGACATTTGGTCACTGGGACATTTGGTCACTGGGACATTTGGTCACTGGGACATTTGGTCACTGGGACAATTGATCATTGGGACAATTGATCACTGGACAATTGATCACTGCACATTGATCCGTGGACAACTGATCACTGGACAATTGATCATTGGGACAATTGATCATTTGGACATTTGGTGCCGAAAGGGGGGGGGGTAATTCAAAGGTCAAAGTCTAGGTCAACGTCTAAGGAAGCCTATGCCTAGTGCCCTACTGTCTACACCTATTGAATAAGAACCCGTGCCTTTGGATATAACTCGGAGGTATGAAAGCCTGAACCTAGTTGAGTTTTTGCAGTTCGATAGGGGCGGTAATAAATGAACTTTGTGGAATACATTTGGGTTTTCATTATAGAAAAAGTGCGCATTTTTAGAAAAAAAAGAGGGCGACACGTTGGATCGCTTTTAGAGTTTAGGAGTGTCTGAAGCTCTCGGAGCTTGGAAGAGTTGGGCGATGGGTAAACCCTGGGGGGGGGGGGGGGGGGGGGCCAAACCCATTTTTAACCAACAAAAAAATTATGTGATAAAAAATACCACTTGTAAAGAAAAGGCCTTTTTGCTTTCTTCTAAACGAATCCGCAAAAATCCTTTTTTTACAAGTGGCTTAATTGTGCTTTTCCGTTTTTGCATCTAAGAATTCTGCTGTTTGATAACATTTTGGGCTCTATCTTAGGACATGCGTCCCATGAACTTTTATGCGTCCCATGAAAGTTTATGCGTCCCATGGAGGTTTATACGTCCCATGAAAGTATATGCGTCCCAAAATTAATATAAGCGTCCCTTCAAAATATATGCGTCCCAAAATTAATATAAGCGTCCCTTCAAAATATATGCGTCCCAAAATTAATATAAACGTAAAACAATTGCGAAAACATTTTTTAATTTTATTAATGACAATTAAATATTAGTCCTTGAACTTGGAGCTAATAATTTTGCTGGTAATTTACAACTACGTTTTACAAATTTACTTAAAATGAGGCCTTGGTTTATATTTTTCAAAGGGTCCTTCTTGATTGCTTTTAATACAAATGGACCATTATTTGAACATTTACGATATGTAAATACTGAAAATGTTGAACCATCATTAGCGATGGCTGGGCAAAATAAGTTTACAAAATTCTCTTTCGCTTATATTAATTTTAGGACGCATATAAATTCTTGGGCCGTGGAAGCTTTCATAGGACGCATATACTATTTTTGGGACGCATATACTTTCATGGGACGCATATACTATTTTTGGGACGCATATACTTTCATGGGACGCATATACTATTTTTGGGACGCATAAACCTCCATGGGACGCATAAACATTCATGGGACGCATAAAAGTTCATGGGACGCATGTTCTAAGATAGAGCCACATTTTGTGCTGAAAACAATAGAACAAAAAAATCGATGCAAACGGAAAAGCACTAAAAAATAATAAAAACATATTCAATTCAAATATCTTTTAGACCTTTAAATGTGGCAGAAGCATCTTTGCCACATTTTTTAGCTTCTCTCGTCTTTGTAATTCATCATCAATTTGTTGCAGTCCAATGCTCATAGAACACTTCTCGCAATAACATTTTGTCTTGCTGTAGCTGTTGAAGTTCCAGAGCCACCAGATAACATCCACTAGCCCCACTCGTTCGACGAACATAGTGGTGATTTAGTTGTCTGAAGGTTTGTTGTAGAAGAACATACTTCTCACGTGGAACTTGCTAAAATTTATTAATTAAAGAATTCCCCAAAAATTAAAACATACAATGAAAACTAAATCCTTTGTTTGGGTACTTTTGAGTCGATCCATCTGCTTTCGGAATTGAGAATAGCGTACATTAAAGGAGCAAACTTAAATATGAGGAATTTAATTAGGCGTATAAAAAATTAAAAAAAAACCTCCAGTTTTGTGAATAAGAACAGAATGAGAAGAATCACCACCAAACCATTTAGTGATATCGTCATGGAAATTCTAAAAAAAATTTTTAAGATTGATATTAGCAAGGACGTTCGGGGAAGGAGGGCGGACCCACTTCGGGGAAAGGGGAGCTTTAGCCCCAGAAGCCCCCTAGCTACGCTCTTGGATATTAGTTAAAAAATACCTTTGCAACGAATGAAATTGTTCGATTCCATCGTCCGATAGATTTTTGAAATGCATTGAAAACAGGAGGGCTCAGTTTTTTTGAATCACCATCATTTGTAGCAGTGCATATTTCCATCGCATCAGAATTAATAGTATTTAGTAGCATCCTGAGTAGAGGACGAATCGATTTGTTGAGTTTTAGAGCCATCATCACCGAATATACGATTTTGTAAATCAGCATAAGACAATGGAGGCTGGGAAAGGCTATGATGAGCAGGGACACCATGCTCCAATGCAATGCGCTGAAAATGAAAAAAGTAATAAAACAAAATTGAAGTCATATATGAAACCCGATGCACAGATCTTGTACGATAAGATGGAGGAAGAGCGAATAATACATCACGTTCAGCTTCGGAATTGAGAAGATAAGGACGAACAGAAAGTGGCAAAACATCTGCCGCTGTATAAGTGAATGCATGATGTTTAACAGCATCACTAAAAATTTGAAAATAACATCTGTGTAATAATTAAAAAAAATAACCCAATGTTGAATAAGAAATTGAATTGGAGCGCTTGAAAAAACGACGAAGTTTACTCTTCTTTTGCTCTTCATTCTCGTGTTGTCGTATTTCGGAATTTCCTCTTGTTGCTCGACTAATCTTGACTGGTGGGACAACAGCCTTGGCCTGGTCCAATTGATCGATAAAGCAAATATGGAAAAGGTAGGATTCAATGATAAATGCCAAATCTCTGAGTGCATTAAGTTCAAGCACAGGCAAATCATCACCTAAAAAGAAATTAGAAAAGTAAAATTTATTAAAAATAAAAACCATTTTCTGCCGAATAACTTCTCAAGAGCGAAAGAAAATATGAGATATTTTCTGCCCGAGCAGCATTTTGAATATCAGAATCTCCAGTTGCACCATTTCCATCACCGCCACGTTTTGCTCCCATTGTAACACGTTTAGTTAAAGGCTTCTTCTGTTCAGCTGCTGCTCGATTTCGTTGCGCGGCTGCTGCTAATGTTCGTTGTTGGTCATCACGTCGTTCATCAGTTTGATCAGAGAGATCAACTTGATTTAAGTTTAGAAGACGACCCACTGACGAGTTCATTAAAGCATTTGAGTAGCGTAGCTGCGCTTTAGTTCTTTAAAAAAAAGACATATGTACAGGCCCGTAGCTAGGGCAAAAAAAGTGAATTTTTGGCGTAGAAAAATTTTTCATTCTTGGCCCCCTTGCCCCTCCCCATGAAAAAAATCCCGGCTACGGGCCTGCATATGTATATAAAAAAAGAAACAAAAACTAACTTATCCATAATCGAAATGAACCAATTCCACGTTGGATCTAAACATTCGTCAAAAGCATCCTACAATTAAAAAAAACATATGAAATATTCAAAAAGAAAAAATATAGTCAAACCTTAAAAACGCCAAACATCTTTGGATCCAAATCAAGTATGTTAGTGACTCCCTTTGACTTATTGCCTTGTTGTTTCCAATTTTCATAAAAAAATAATTGCAAAAGTAATTCGTCGATCAGTTTGACAATTGTCTAAAAATAAAAAAAAAAGTAAGAAAATCAGGAAAATATTAAAAAGAAAAACAAACCGAAAAACAAGCAGATAATTGTGTACTTGTATTACTTGTAGAAAGGTCACTATTATCTCCCAAATTTGCTACAACAGTGTTATCAGCAGTGACGACTGATTGAGCAGCTAAAGGTAAAGATGTGGCCCCAGAACCTCCCAAAGTCACAGAATCATTAGCAGAAATTGAAGGTGTTGTTGAATTAGCTGTAGTGGAACGAAGAGCAGTTGAACGAGGATCATTGGGTCTGAAAGAATTATATAATAATTTGCCTCGTCATAATCTTACCTCTGAGTAGCAGATGTTCCACTGCCAAACACATTATTGTTGTTACTACCACCCCAGGCATTCCTATTGCCAAATCGAGGGCCATTTCCTATTGCCAAATCGAGGGCTGAAAATAAAAAATGAGAACATATTAAATTAAAAAAAAACCTTTTCTTGCAAATTTTGGTGGTTTAATATCATGTTCAGGTATAGGAACGCCATAAGCTGTAGTCGTGGTAGTTGGTCCAGGGCGCTTACAACGTTTCGTGTAGCCTTCTTGTTCTATCAGCTATTCAATAAATTAAAAATTTTAAATAAACAAAAATTTAAAAAAAACCTGACGACCAACAGTGGGAGCCAAGAAAAGCAAAATATGTTCTCCTTTAGAATTAAGACCGTCAATCAACGCAGGGCATTGTAACATTCCTATCATTAAATTTAAATAATAATCTAAAGAAAATTAAAAAAAACCAGAAAGCAATTGTTCCCTTTTTGCATTATTTCCAGTAACTAAAGCTTTACATTCACATTTTTCCCAGCAGTCACAATAGGCGGTTGGAGATGTTTTCTTAAGCCTATTAGATGACAAAAATTTCAGAAAAAAATAAAATTACTCACTTGCAGTCATGATTTCTATGACAAAGGAGGGCTAAAATAAATCGTTTAATTAAAAATAAAAAGAGTAAATATTACCGCATTCAGTACAACAGCAAAGAGTCCCTACAAGTCCACATGTTTTGCATTCATAAATTTTTTGAGGTGTATGCTCTTCGCCTGTCCAAGTGTAACCTTTAAATTATACGAGTTAAAAATAAAAAATAATTTTTAAAAATATATACTGCATGTATCATTAGCACAAAGAATAAAAAGTGAAGAATCGTCATTTGTATCGTCAGATCCAACGCTTGGCATTAATATATCAACAACATCTAGAAAATTTGTAAAATCTTATAAATTGTCGCAGAATGACGAAGTATTCTGCTTTTTGTATTTTGTGATCAAAATACAATTTTTTATTTAAATTACTGATAAGGCCCAATTTCTTCACTTTAATACTTTTTGGGCAAATTCTTATCTTTTTTGGCCCATTTTACATTTTTAACCCCCAATTTCTCCTTTTCACGTGTTTTTTATGGCCCACATTCCAAATTGTTTACTATTAAATATTAATATGTCCCAAGGTCCACTTTTTTGGCCCAACCTAATATTTAACAAACAAAAGCCAAAAAAGTGGCCCGATCCTTAAATTTATAGTTAAATTGTGTTTTAATGTTTTAATCATTTAAAAATGTTCCTCCAATCTGGCCCTATTTAAGCTCCTCACTAGTTATTCATTTCGCTGTGTGTAGGTTGTTCATGTTAGTCACCATTTAAGCTTTTTAGCTTTTAATTACCCAAGTTTGAGTTTTTTGTCCCTTGCCCAATTCACCACAATTGTTAAAATATTAAAGTAGATAAATATTTTTAAAATAAAATTCTTTAATTCTATCTGACCCAATCCCAATTCTCAAAACCACTAGACAACAATCTGAGAGCTGTGACCGATCCACCACATCTGGGGGCTCAGCCGGTGAGATTAATATTCAAATTAATCTCACCAACAACAACAACAACAATAATTTCTTCATTATTTGTTGGTTGGAAAAGAAGTTTAAATTTATCTACAACAACAACAACAACAAATACTTCAAATATTATTTGTTGAAAAGAAGTTTGGAAGCTCGTACCAAAATTCGTATTAATTGGAAATAATCAACAACAACAAATTGCAGTTGTTTGTTTGTGAAAAAAGGTGGAAAATAAAATAAAAAATATTTAAAAATTTATTTTCGAAAAAAGAGGGGATCTAAATTAAAATTAAAATTTATTTTTTAATAAATTACTTATACTCCAAAGAATATATCTTTGTATATATTTTTGGTAGTAAAATAAATTGAATACTCAAATATAGTATTTTCATATACTATTTTGGTATTTTTGAATTCCGGATTAGTGGGATAAACCTAAGACCCAATTAATTCTCATTCTAACAAAGACTTGGTCTCCGTGCCTTGTTTTGTTATTGTTTGACAGTTCGGGTAATAGAAATTCACTCTTCCGAAGTACGAGTACTAGAAAAGTCGAAAGTTCCAAACGTTGAATATTTGCTGCAATCTTTATTGAAAATCAACATGTCAGCACCGATCAAAACGACAATCGTCTCCGCTATGAGAGCTCTTTCGAGACTCAGAACTCCAAAGGATTTTGATGAAGAAATATTAGATGAAGATACTCTGGAGACACAATTTTTGAAGATGCAATCGCTGACAGAAAAAATAGAGTCGGAAATCACGACAGGAGAAGCATATTTAAACGACATACGTACAGCAATGGCACAATATGTCGACCTTTTGCGCAAGTTGTCAGGCGACGAAAGGAAGCAAGCAAATGAAGACTTCGAAAAATTTCAAGTGGAGCAAAAATTAGATAGAGCAACGGAAACAATAGAATTAATGTTGAGAAATCTGCGAGATCATCAATCAAGTACTGCAATAAAGACTAAACTACTTGCGTCAAGAGTAGAGAAAGAAAAAAGAAGTGAAGAATTAATACATGCGCAGTTACTTCAAGCGTCTGCGCCAAAAGAATCGAGTAGCAATGGAGCTACACGACAAGCAATTTCTTCAATATACCAGCTGCCCACTCTTCAGATTAAACGATTCAACGGAGAAAGAAAGGACTGGTTAGAGTTCTACGAGAGCTTCCGATGTGCGGTAGACTCGAGTGCAGGGTCCGACATCGAGAAACTCACTTTGCTTTGCAACCTTGTGGATGGGGAACCGCGTGAATTGATAGCCGGGTTCCGCCTCGAAGCAAAGAATTACAAGGAGGCACTACAGCTTCTAAAGGATCAATATGGAGATAAGGATGCTCACATCAGAAATCTCCACTCAAGATTGGCAAATTTGAAAATTTGCTCAACATTGAACGACGTCAAGAAATTTTCGCTTGACCTCGAAAGATTAGCCAGAGAGCTAAAGAACATGGGCGAGGATATACAAGGACCAGCAGTACATTTAATGTTAGAGAAGAAATTGAGCAAACCGTTTTTACGGGTTATTTTATCGAAGAAGGCAGAAGACCCATCAAATTGGTCAACAAATAAATTTCGCAGTGCATTGCTCGAAGCACTTCAGAAAGAAGTAGCAATTCAAGAGGTCATGACTGAATATGACCAAGAACACAATAGACGGCAAGTAAGGCCGAATCAACAAAATCATCAGAAGTCTCCACAGCAGCAAAGACAGCATGAATACACGTATGCAGCAATCACACAAGGGCAGAGACTAGCAACTCAACAAACTCAGACTCAAGCAAATAGGCAAGCAATTCAAAGAGAAGATAATCAATGGGGTTTCAACAATACAAGACGACAAGTCAATAATCGAGCATTGCTTCCAGACTGCACGTTTTGCGGATTGACGCACTGGAACGACAAATGCAATAAATACAACAATCCTCGAGCAAGGCTACAGATAGCCAAAGAAAAGAAGCTCTGCACACGTTGTTTAAGAAGAAATCATTCAAGTGCAGAATGCAAAACCCCAGCGAAGTGCTATCATTGTGGAAGATTGCACCCAACAGCGCTATGTTTTCAACGAAACCCAAATCAGTTAACAATCGCCCGTAGGCAAGTAAATGTGGTCCGGTCGCAGCAACAAAGAGAAAGACCAAGCGCTACAAATTGTCAGATAGTACAAACAAACGCAATAGGAAATAGAGATTCAAGAGCACTGCTCATGACAATAGAGGCACCGATTTATAATCCTCAGAGGCCGCACATCAAACAAAGGGCTTTGATTTTTATCGACCCTGGAAGTCAACGTTCATTTGTATCAGCGAAGCTGGCTGATTCACTCAACTTGCCAGTGATAGTGGCAAATGAAACCTGCAGATTAACAAGCTTTGGTGAAAGAAGAGCCAAAGAATACAAGAGCGATTTAGTGAGAGCAAATCTACAAACAAAGGGAGGAGGCAAATTAAGCATTGTTTTGAATAAACTAAGCTTTCTCGTCAATCCTCTCCCGCTTTACGACTTAAAAGAGCTTACTGGTGAAGAGCTCAATCAAGTTCGTCTCACTACAAATGTCGAGTATCGACAACCTGATCTACTAATAGGCATGGATCTGTTCCATGAACTTAAAGTAGAAAAGAAGACAACATTACCGAGCGGATTTACGATCAGTGAATCACGACTTGGGAAAATTTTAAGCGGTGCAGGTCAAATAGAAAATGCAATAGGCGCACATACAGTATTCGCCGCATCAATACAAGTCAACGCAGCGTTTGAATGCGATGACAATTCAGACGACGAGACGCCTGAATCAAAAAGAAGAAATTGGCCAGAAGAAAATTCACCAAAAGAGAATAATTCGGCAAAAAGAAAAAAGAAAAGGCCAAGAAACAAATCATCAAGGAAGAAAGAGTCAAGCGACAAAATGGTAAATCACAATTTACCAAATAATAATTGGCCAGAAGAAAGGTCAACAGAAGAGAAGTCGAAAAAGACTGACACACCTCTGGATAAAGATTCCGAGGAAGAAAAAATGAAAAAGAATTCAACAAAGGTTCAATCACATCAAGGCAATCAACAGGCCGAAGAAGAAAAACAAAAGAAGTTAAAGAAGACTAAAACACCTCTAGGCGATCAACATGCCGAAGAGGAAGAAGCACCTCGAAGCAAAAATAAAGAGGCCGCGGAAGCAATACAAAGGAGGTCAAACAGGACTGAAACACCTCTGGGCAAACACGAGAAACCAGAGGAAAATAAAGGAAGAGATTTAACTAAAGTTGAAACACCTCAGGGCAAACACAAGAGACCCGAGGAAAAAATACAAAGAAAGTCACAAAGGACTAATATACCTCAGGGCAAACAAAAGAAACCCGAGGAAGATGAACGAAAAGGTTCAACAAAAAATAAAACACCTCTAGGCTACAATCACAAAGCCGAGGAAGAAGTGAGGCAAATTAATTCAACAATAGTTGACATACCTCTGGGCTATCAATACGCCAATGAGGAAGAAATAACAAAGAAACCAAAAAAGACTGAAACGCCTCCGGATAAAAATTCCGATGAAGATAAAAGAAGAGGTTCAACGAACCATAATACATCTCCAGGCAACAATCACAAGAATGCCGAGAATGAAAAACCTCCGTGCAAGGGTCACAAAAATGCCAAGGAGGAAGATAATATAAAAAATCCAACAATGGATGAAACACTCCCGGACAATCAACAAACCGAGGATAAAGGTAATCAAAGAAATTCGACAAACATTGAAGCACCTCTAGGCACAAATCAAAAACATGCCGAGGAAGAAAAGGTTGAAGTTCCTCTGAGCAACAATGCCGAGGAAGATAAAAGTGGAAATTCAATAGAAGTTGAACCACCTCAAGGCAATCACAATGCCAAAGAGACAAATAAAATAAAAGAGTCAACAAAGGTTGAAACACCTCTAGGCAGTCAAGATGCCGAGGATGAAGATAAAAGAAATAATACAACAAAGGTTGAAAAACCTCTGGGCAAGATTCACAAGAATGCCGAAGAAGGAGAGAAACGAATGTTTTCAATAAAGTTTGAAACACCTCAAGGCAACCAAAATGCCGAGGAAGAAGATAAACAAAAGAATCCGGCGAAGGATACAACACCTCTGGGCAGTCACAAAGCCGAAGAGAAAAATAAAAGAAAAAATTCAGTGAAAGATAATATACCTCTGGGCAATCACAAACGTGCCGAGGACAAATTACCTCTGAGCAATCAAAATGCCGAGGGAGATGAATCAGAAAATTCGCCAAAAGACAAAATACCAGGCGACAAATGGCCTAACGATGAGAAGTTACAATGCGCCAACTCAACGAAAAAGAGGCCCAAAAACAAAAGACAAAAAGATAAGTCATCAACAAACAATTTGCCAGAGGGCATATCATCAATAAATAATTTGCCAAAGGGCATCTTATCAATAATCAATGTGCCAGAAGACAATTCATCGATGGACAATTTGCCAAAGAGCAATTCATCAAAAAACAAAAGGCCAAATTATAAATCACCAAAGGAAAGGTCGCTGAAAGACAATTCGCCAACTGAAAAATTGCCAAACAATAAAAAGGCAAACAATAAGTCGCCCAAATACAATTCGAAATTAGAAAGCCAACAGGAAGGCAAAAGTGGCACCTCACCTCCAGCCAACTATTATTATAAAGCTAAGGAGGAAAAAACTAGAAATTATCGGAAAAGAAACAAATGGCCTCAAGGAAAATATTACTATATAGTCATCATGGCACTTCTGAGCATCATTCTGTTCACGGTTGTAACAGCAATCAACAATCCATTCATGATAGAAATACAAAAGAGAGCCGATCAAAACGCCATGCCAGAATTCAGAGGTCCACACACTACAATAACAAAACAGGGGCGCAGAATCAACGTAGCACTCTCACCAGAGAAAAAGGCACATTTATCCGAGCTACACAAAAGATTAGGAGCTGCAAAGACAACTATAATTACAACAACTCCACGCCCAGATTCAATGTCAAAAGGGGTAGAGGGGAATGGGGATTATTCGCAAATCCCCACAAAATTTAAAAATCAGGAAGCGCAACAATCAAATCAAATTCCGCCATGGAAAAGGCAACCACCAGAAGTACAGAGTCCTCAAAACGCACAAAGCAGATCAAAACAAACAGAGAATATGGCACCAACTCCTAGATTTCAAATATCTAAAACAATAACGCCAATACAGACGCAAGGGACTCAGACATCAATCAACATGCGCCTTCCAGTTACGAATCAAAACAACATGCGCCCTAAAGCTACTAATCAAAATAATATGAGGCCGACAAATATAAAACAGAAAGAAGAGAAAAATCTCCCAAGAAATGAAAACGGCGCCACACGCCAGCAACCTCTAACACAAAAGGCTCCTGAGACAACAGAAAACGATTTCTCACAATGGCTGATGAATTTGAAACACGAGTCAATAAGGTCCACCAATTTGGACAACAAAGCAAGCACAAGTAAACCTGCACTTTGGTGCGCTCATAAGTCCAGTTCTCTTTGGACATTTCCTGAAAAAACGACATCGCCATATTGTAGTAATCTATCAACACAACTTAAATGGAAGCCAACTCGTTTGTCACTCTACTCGCACGTCAATCAAGCGCGAGAAATGGTTGCGCACAGATGTTCAATCAAATATGTGCATGAATCGTACTACACGAATTTATTGGGAGACCGATTTGTCACCGTAGACAAATACATGGCACCAGTATCAAAAAAGGACTGCTTGAACATGACACAACGACATATGTGTCCACCAACAAATAAACCAATGGGAAAATTAGATTCAAGTTCTTGGTCAACCAATGAAATATTAACTGTGGACTTCCCAGGACGCTTCTCCAGTCTCTTTGGAGGCAAGAAGGAAAATGTAGCGACGAACTGTCTCGTCCAACTCACATCGGCATTTTACAAGCCGCAGACTCTACAACTTATGTCACCAGTCCACAATCTGGATCATTGCAAATTCGGAGAAGAATATTGTGCCTTGGCAGACAACACATCAATAGTATGGGACGCTAGATGCCCGCATCATCTCTGCCAGAAATGCCAGCATCAATTTGCTGAAGTAATAGAAGGACTATTCCGAATAGAGCAGTCAAGGATCATTTTTGTATCCAAGTCACGTGAGCAAGCACTCACGTTCAACTTAACTGCACCAACAGAGAAATCTTGTGATGGCACACCTTTAACTATAGCCGAACAAGGCTTTGGAATAAAGACTTCCGAATTTAATAAAATGAAGTCACAGCGACCAAGAAGAAATGTAGACGAGCAACAAATCGCAAGCGAAATGACAGCGGCCGAAATGGCAATGAATCAAATGATGGAAAAAATATTCGCAGACAAATGCAAGCAGTTCGAACGAAATGCGAACCCAACAATTCAGGCTCGTCACCTCTTTAACAAAGACAATATAGTAGCAAAATGGCTCGGCGAAAATACAATGCAAGTTTTCACTTGCACAGCAATTCTGATGGATATAATCAAGCCTCGACCATCAGCCGCATGTTTCAAATACATACCAGTAGAAGTGCACTTTTTTGAAAGAATTCTACAAGCATACCTTGATCCAGAGCTTCGCGTATTAACGGCAACGTCGCCACCGGCAGATTGCAACCGGAATCGAATCATGTACTTCGAGTACTCAAAAGGAAATTGGTCACGAATCGACACAAGCAATGCAAAAATTGAATGGATCAATAGCAGTATAATTCAACAGTACCACAGCAACTTGACGCAGTTCAGAGATTACGATTTCCATCCACTAGTCTTTCATGAGTGGATGTTGCATCAAGAAGAAGACCAGATACCATTCCTCCACATTGATGAGCTTCAGCAGTTGGAAGAATGGAAAAGCAATCAAAAAACCGATGAACACTACAGGGCAGTAGTTCTCGGAGCTATACCCGGAGGACTTCCCGGTTTAGCTAAAAGATGGCTGACAGAAATCTGGGATGCATTTGTACAGCATTGGATAATACTCTCCTGCTTGTATTCAACATTTTTGTTTTTGAGGGACTTCTTATTTCCAGTAATGGCCACATATTTAATCATGCCGACACTCAGAAGCATAGGACTACTGGCAGCACCAAATAGAAGACGACCAGGAGTGTCGAATCAACAACGACAAGAAGACGTCGAACTCAGCGAAATAAAGGAGACACACACTCCTGAAAGAAGATTAATGAGAGGCAATGAAGAGAGGCAATCAAGAGTGAGATTTTCATGGGCCAGCTCACTCGTTTCACTCAACACAGAGGCAGATAACCCTTTCGGGAATCCGTTGAATAGACTCCGTCGAGGTCTATCAATAAGAAGACAAGTGCCAAGTACAGCACTCATTTTTATGACTGTACTTTGTTTAAATACATTCGCCTCAGCCTCAAAGACGTTCGGTCAACAAAGCAACTTAGCAACCACACAAGATTACAGCAGCATAACTACAAATTCGCTGGATCACGAGAGCTGTCTCGAAATATCGATTTTCAAATCCCTTAGGGAACGATATATGACCGAACTGTCAAACATTAGAAAAAAATGGGCAATAAGAAATAAAATCCCAAAAAATTCTAGAGATGAATCCAAATTGATTGGGGCACAAGGAATATTCAAGACTTTAGAAGAGCCAGACTGAGGAAAGAAAGAAAAGAAAATAAAAATAAGAGAGAGGAGAAGAAAAAGAAAATAATTTTTAAATTCAGGGGGAGTGTCGCAGAATGACGAAGTATTCTGCTTTTTGTATTTTGTGATCAAAATACAATTTTTTATTTAAATTACTGATAAGGCCCAATTTCTTCACTTTAATACTTTTTGGGCAAATTCTTATCTTTTTTGGCCCATTTTACATTTTTAACCCCCAATTTCTCCTTTTCACGTGTTTTTTATGGCCCACATTCCAAATTGTTTACTATTAAATATTAATATGTCCCAAGGTCCACTTTTTTGGCCCAACCTAATATTTAACAAACAAAAGCCAAAAAAGTGGCCCGATCCTTAAATTTATAGTTAAATTGTGTTTTAATGTTTTAATCATTTAAAAATGTTCCTCCAATCTGGCCCTATTTAAGCTCCTCACTAGTTATTCATTTCGCTGTGTGTAGGTTGTTCATGTTAGTCACCATTTAAGCTTTTTAGCTTTTAATTACCCAAGTTTGAGTTTTTTGTCCCTTGCCCAATTCACCACAATTGTTAAAATATTAAAGTAGATAAATATTTTTAAAAAAAATTCTTTAATTCTATCTGACCCAATCCCAATTCTCAAAACCACTAGACAACAATCTGAGAGCTGTGACCGATCCACCACAAAATCTATTTTCAACGTTAAATTAAGAAAAAGCCATCTTTAGCACCTCATAAAGGAGAGAGACAGAATGACTAAATTCATTCATTCGTCTCGATTCCAACTAAAGTTGACCGGTTCCTACCCCCTATTTTTGACTGATAGAAAGTTTCTTTTAATCGATCAATCAGCTCGCTTAAAGGGTGGGTTTCAACTCGAGGAGCCAACGCCGTCTAGTATTCAATAAAAAAGGACTAGGATATAAAACTATCAAAAATAACCTTGACTCCAGTCCTTAACATCAATTGCAGTTTGCCACATCAATTGGGCAGCTGAATATGCGCGCTGATATATCGCGGTCGCAAATGGACTATGCCCATTGATGTCACGTTGTCTCATTAAATCAATAAAATATTCACGTACTACGGAGTTTTTGCATAATTCACGAATTATTTCAATTGAGTTGGCTTAAATTATATTTATGAAGACAAAAAATAATTTAATTTAAGAACCTTGTCTTTCTTTGGCAGCTATAGGAATCCTTTTATTGATAAGATCAGATGAGTCAGCACTTTCTGGCTCATTCTTCTTTCAGGGGAAGAAACAACAACATTTGCCTGTTTCAGGGAAGAATCCTATGTAAAGATTTTAAAGAAAAGAATAGAAATGAAAATCGAAGCTTAAACCACTCCCAATTTAAAATGTTTCCCCTACTACTCATTATGCGAGATGAACACAAAGGGACAAACCCAGGAGGTCAAATAAACTTCACTTGTGAAACCGTAAGGCAAATGGAGCAGGCAACCACGTTCTTGATCTCGAGTCATCAGTGTCCGCCCCAAATATCTGAGTTTGACCTTCTGGGTAATAAAATAGGGGTCTCCCCAATAGGGGGGTTTACTTCTATTGGGACCTCCTTGCTTGAATTCCTAAGTGGCCCCTTTTACTCTCTGTGCCAGTCTTGACTATTCCCAGCCCTTTGACATATGTTGGTGAACCAGCGGGGTCCTATTCTATTTATTTTTTATACCTTGATCATTAGCAATAATTTCGGCACGTCCATTTTTATAAACACCAACACAAGAATAAGTTGTTCCCAAATCAATTCCAATAATCGTTCCATATTTTTTGTCTTTATCCTTAGGTTTGGCAGAGTCGTTTTTGACACCCTCATCACGTCCAAGGCCATAAGATATTGACAAAAATAATAAAATTGAAGAGATCAGAATAAACTTTGTTGTTGTTAACATTTTTGAGAAATACTCTGGATAAATGAAGAAATTTGAAAAATTAGAAATCAAAGAGCATGTATAGTAATAGGTGAAATAAAAAGCTTCTATAAAGCTTTTGGTCATGAATCACGAAAAAAAACCTTCAGACCCAGAAAAACATCCTAACTTCAGAAAGACATCCCCAGAAAGACACAACAAAAAAAATAGCTGCTCTAAATATCTGCAAAAATGAAGAGCAAAAACAATATAAAAAAGAACTAGGAAATCGATAAAGAACTCTACAAGAACAAAGAACACTTCAAAGTTCATCAGATGGTAATTTTTCTCGTTTTTTTGAAATGAAGTTATTCTATGCCACGTTATGACTATGAGATGAATTGAATAAAGGATTTTAATTAATGATAGATTAGATTAGTAAAATGCGGTTTGACAAAAAAATTACCTCCAAGTCCATCTTAAATGACCCCAAGAAGAAAAGAGATATCTACTCTTTTTCTCTCTCCGTAGTCTTTCTATAATTGGATAAATTGTCATTTTTCGTAAATACATACATAGACTGCCAAAATTTAAATTGCTGGGAAATAAGTGGCATGAAACTAAAGATCGGCACGGGAGGGATCCCAGGCGGGATTTTACGGGATCCTGTCCCAAAATCCCGGGTTTTATGCGACGAGCGGGATTACCGTGATTAATCCTGCGGGATCCCTCCCGTTCGATCCCTCCGTTCGATCTTTTTTTAACCGTAAATTTAATTAACTAAATATATACTTCGGCCATGCGGTTGTTTTACATTTGTTATACAAACAGAAAGATTTGAATATTAAAAAAAGTTTTTTTAATCTGTTTACGTATTTTAAAATCTTGTGATTACGTAGAAATTTAAGGAGAAAAAATTAAATGCATTTTCAACAAAAAATGTTTGAATAGAAATTTATGAATAAAGAATTCTTAGAACTTAATAGAAATCTATTAATACAAAATTTACTTTAGAAAACATTTTGCACTCTACTATCTACCTTACTGAAAATCAAATGATCTGAAGTACCCAGAAAAATTTAAATCTAAAAGAAACAAATTCGATCGGTATTGATTCTAGAAGACTCTACATGACTTCCGGTTCCGTCTTTAAAATTGATGGATTCATGGCCAATAAATAAAGACGGATGAGCTGGCCCTGGGATCTAACGTCGAAAGAATTAAGAACACAAGGATGTGTCAAATTTGATTAGGAAATTTAATTTGATATCTGTTATTTAAAAATATTCCGAACGTCGAATTAACTCAAAGCGACAATACATATGTTCTTTTTGCAATCATTTTTGTTAAAAATGAGTACTTTTATTTAAATTGACCTATTTTCCTTTAATTTATCAGAACTTCCGTAAAATCAAAATCTATTTATCTGTGAATACTTAAAGATATTTAATGAGGATTGACTGGCAATCATTTAGTTTTTAAACTATTTTCTTTAAAGGATTAATATTTAAATAAAGGCATTTAATAACAAATGCTTCACATGTTCTTATTTTTATTCTGAAGATTTATCATCGTTTAACAATAAACTACCTAAATTATTAAATAGGTAGTCAGTCTGTCTCTTCTTATATTAAGTACATATTATAAATATATTGAGCGGTCGGCTTGGATCATCATCCTTTCATTTTATGTAGGATTGAGAGGATGCTACTTTTTTGGAATGTTTGCTTAATCTTCTAAAAATACGCCAATATTTATTAAATATTTATAATAAACTTTTTAGGAATTCTTATTCAAAAATTTACTTAGGTAAGTGAAAACAAAATACACTATGTAATTTAATAATCAGATACTCATCTCATTTTTAAATCTTTGTTATTCTGAATTTTATTAATTTCTTAAAATTTAACTGAAATAAATCTCATTTGATTAAACCTTAATTAACTTACATATTAAATTTTAAATTAATCTTTTTATAATAAATTTTTTATAAATATCAGGATGGTTTGTATAACTGTCAATAAACTATTACTATTAATTATTTTATCAAAGCATTTATGCCATATATCTCCACTCACTACTTCGCTAGATGACCTTAAAATAAATAAATCATTTCATCAATCAATTACTTCAGCTGAAAGAGTTGTAATTAAACAAGCATATATTAAGTAATTCACATTAAATTAAACGATTTAGACTCAACTCCATGAAATTGTTGGGCCGGAATTTAAAGAAATACGACAATTATTGGATGAAATACGTATAGCATCACTTAAAAAGCATGGTTTATTTAATGATCAGGTGAAATATATTCTGAGAGAAATTAAAAATATAAAAATATAATAAAAAATTCCTTTTATAGGATCCGACTAAGCGTATTGACCGTCAGCTAATTCGAAATAAACTCACTTTCGATGATGGCACTGAAGCCTCAATTAATAGACAAATTTCAGATGATCTATTCGAAAATGATATACTATTAACTCTTAATCAGGCTGAAGATATACTTAGAGAAATTAAACAATGTATATTTCTTTTATAAGAATCATTATATTCGAATGAAGTGATTGACAATAATACTTTTTTTCTTTTAAAATATTATGTATTTATTAGCTTCTAATCTTCGGAGACGTGGTGGAAGACAAGCTATTTCAAATACAAGGTCCTTCTGGGAAAATACAACTATTCCATATACATTCAATGTGGCACAAACGAATGGTTATTTGATTATTTAAGTTTTAATAGAAGAAAAGTTTTAGATGAATGGCGAAAAAGCATACAAAATGCTCACAGACATATTGAGTAAGTCCAATAATTACTTTAGGATTTCTCTTGATAAACATAAATTATCATTAAATTAGAGGCCTAACTTGTTTTCGTTTTGTTCATTACGAGAATGAAAGAGAGTTGGGAAATAAAGACTATCTTCAGTATTTTCGTGGAGGTGGATGTTGGTCTCAAATTGGGCGTATTGGTGGTCGACAGCCTATATCTATTGGTTATGGTTGTGAATCTGTATGAAATAGAATTACGAAAATAAACCAAAGAATTTTTAGTTGGGTATTGTTGCTCATGAAACATTGCATGCCCTTGGTTTATGGCATGAACAGTCGAGAACCGATAGAGATATTCACATCCGCGTCAATTTTGATGCTGTTATGCCTGTCGGTTTCTTAATATAGGCATAAACTTTATGCAATTATAGACATCCTTTTTAGGGAACAGAATCGAATTTCGAAAAGCGATCAGCGCAAACAGTTGATAATATGGATCAACCATATGATCTTGGCTCTACAATGCATTATGGATCCAAGGCATTCAGTAACGATGCTAAAAGGCATATACATGACAAATATCATTGTTTAAAGCTTTTATAGCTATACGATTTTTACTCGTGATCACTCCTATCAACAAACCATAGGCCAGCGTTTTGGACTTTCTTTTAAAGATGCAAAAATGATTAACTTGAGATACTGTTCGAGTAAAATTTGAGCTTTATATTAAACTACATTATTATTCATTTCAGAGCTATGCCAGGTACAATTGGACTGTGATAAGGGCGGATATACTGATCCTCAAAATTGTGAACAATGTCGCTGCCCAGACGTATAAGATAAAATAAAAATTCTAGCCATATTATTTAGGGATTCGCCGGTACCTACTGCCAGGAATTGGAACAGAGCAGTGAGCCTAACTTTTTATGACCATGAAAACATTAGGATTGTTCATTGAAAATCCTATTAATGCATTAATAGCTTCATTAAACAGATTCAAATTCTTGCCGAGGAACAAGCGACTTGACTGCCGGTGAATGGCCAGGCGATATCTCAACTTCAAAACTCCAGCCAGGAATTAAATGTTTTTGGAGAATTCATGTGATTGATCTAACCGTTTTAATACATATATGTATTTATTATTTAGCCTCAACACTCAAATCAAAGTGTTCAACTTATATTCGATCGGTTAAATTTTCCATGTAAGGAAGCATGCACAAGTTATTTAGAGGTGAAATACAACGCAGAAAAAATTGCTACTGGTATGTAAAACCAAAAAGAATAGCTCTCAATATTTTGTTTATATTTAAAGTGTAATAAATTTATTTGAAGGTGCGAGGCTTTGTTGTGATCTGCCGACAAATATAATTTCTGAGGTGGGAACAGAAGTTATCCTTATTTTACGGACAGATGAAAAGTTAAATTCTGAGTTTGATGGCTTTCAACTATCGTTTAAATCTGGTGATAAAGATTCTTTTGAGTAATAGATTCTTAAAATTCTAATTTAGTTGAAGGATATGTCAAAAACATCACCACTGGCATAATAAAGGTAAGAGACCTTAATATATCCTTTGCAGTTTAATCAATCGGCTAAAAATATTGTTTAGCCTACACCCACAACCACCACTACACCTAAACCCAAGGTAAGTGATTTTTAGGGATTTTCCTCAGGAAAATTATATTTAGCCAGATGGTTGGACCACTTGGGGAAACTGGACAGAATGTTCAGCTACATGTGGTGCTTGTGGACAAAGAAAGCGTATTAGATATTGCTTGTCTGGTTCTGGTAAATGTAAAGGATCTGATTATGAAGTAGAACGTTGCGCATTTTCACCGTGTCCTTTACCTGTAGAGGTGTCTCGTTGCAATGGGCGTTTAGTGGGTTTTAGCTACTACAATTATTAAATCGGAATTAAGTAAACTTTTCTCATCCTTCGGCCATCTTACTAAGAATATTTGACTTTATTTTATTTAAAATAAACAAAAAAACTTCAGTAATTGTAGAATACATATTTTAGGTAATGCCATGTGAGTTAATGGAAGAGTTGGAATTCGGTACAGCATTGAACTACGTCTCACTTAGACACCACAACGGAGGTTACTTATTTAGCTACAACTTTTTTTAGAAATCTCCTCGTGATAACCTACAACATTTTTAGAATTTTTAAATTTAGAATCCTTGGATCTTAACGGTATTTCTTCTTCAATGCTTGACTCGAACATTCAATTGGAGGGGGATAATCATGACATAATTCATAATCTCTTACTGCCCAGATTTAAAAATGAGAATATTATAACGCGATATAGACGTCTAACAGCTGTGAGGCAACAAAGATATTCGCGCGGAAGCAAAGCTGAAAAGCAGCTTTGCGAAAAGTATGAATTCATAAATTTATTTTTAAATTTATTACGGTTTCAGACGATTTACCTATCACTGCCCTACTACATTATTAACTATCAGGTAAATTTTCGCATGGCTATTTGAGCTTAAAATTATTCAAAAATATAGCCTGGACTTTCTCGTTGAACGAAACAAACGTGAAATTAACGATATTCATAATGAACTTACCCATGATTCTCGTCATCCTTGCTGTGCCGGTTACAAACTTGAGAATGATACTTGTATAAAAATGAGAGGGCTTGTTAGTTAAAAGAAATCCCGAAAAACTCATTTTAATAGCAATTGTTGTAAAAATACTTTCCCCTTTCTTAGGGAAAACTATTTCACCTTCCTATTCTTTAATAGGGAATTAAAATATCTTAAATTAATTATTCCCTCGGAATAATTAACTAGATAAAACAAATTAAATAAATAAACACAAACACAACTAAAATTCTTTATCTTCAAACAAAATAAATATTCACACAGAATATTAAAAAAAATGAATATCTCAAAAGACATTGAAAAGTGAAATTTCTGCCTACTTTTTATAGGCAAAAATTTCTATATAAAAATGATGCAATGTTAAGTACATTGCAAAAAAGTACATAAAAAATTGTCAAAAATGGAAAGTGACTCACTGAGTCACCTCCAAAAATAATAAACAAAATAAAAAATATCAAAAATATTTCAAATCTTTAATTCTTCAATTTCGTCATCGACACTCCCCGCACAGAAATCCTCTCATCTCTCCATATTCTCAGTAGTTGCATTGAAGAAGAGAGTTGCACATTGATGCGACATATTGGCAAGTTCGTGTGATGATAATTGAAGAGCGCTTGAGTTTGTAGAAGAATTTGTTTTTAGCAATGACTTTGGTGAGGTGCTCTTGTCATTGCCTTTAATTGGACAATTATTTGTTGTATGTCCGAATGTGTGATGAGAAGAATACTTTTTCTTTTTGTGTCGCATTGAAGTTTTATTAATTAATTCTTTTACTTGTTGAGTCTTTATTGTTGGAGCAGAAGCAGTAGTTGAAATTAGAGATGAGGGGAAGTCCTGCGAGATAGTCCGAATGACCTGAAATTGCTTGATATGGTTTCTTTTTCTCTTTTCAACGGGAGATCTTTCCTCCTTTTTGCTATTCAGAATTGTCTCTCCTCGAAAACCTGGACAATCTATTTCATTTTCTCTAATTTCTTTTATCTGTACTTTATTCTTTTCAGGTATAGCCACACAGGCTTCTATCATTATATTAACATAATTATAGTTAATTAAATTTCTTTCAGTTTCTAATCTTTCTACACATGAAGAATGTGTACCTCCCGCCAACATTGTAATTATAAGTGCTGACGCGGCGAGTTTGTATCCGCGAAACAATGGATTATATTTAAAAAATAACTTTAACGCAATAGTTATCAATACAGACGATAAAATAATCATAAATATCATTTGTATACTAATCAATTCAAAGAGTATGTTTTTCCAATCAAGAAATTGCAAACTTGCAAATGGATTCGTCAACCAATTGTTTTCACTATTTTCTATGAATATTTTAGATGATCCTTCTTTTACTATAACCTTTGCCTTTTCTGGTAAAATAAATTCTAATTGTCCTTTTAATGTGAAATTTGTAATTCCTCCCGAACAATAGACATTACAAATCTCATTTATCTCCGAATGATCAAACGAAAGTGCAATTTTTTGATCAATCCCTTTTTCATTACATTTCGCTGTAAAGATATTGCCTCCGGGGCATTTTATCTCAGCGTAAGCCGATCCATATTCGGCGGAACAATTAAATTTAAAAACAGCTCCCATACAGCTGTAACATCCTCTTAAATATTCAGGATTTATTTTACAAATTGTAATATCGATATTGCTAGAAATTAGCCAATCTTCAAACCTTATCATTAACATGATTGGTAAATAGTTAGATTCACTAATAATCATGTTTTCCTTTTTTCTTAATCTTATACGATTTATCTCCAATGGTAATGATTTGCGTGGGTCTTTTATTAATTTTTCAATAATAAAGTCCGAACATGCGCATTGTATTTTCTCAATATCTTGTTCTAACCAGCATTCTTTACATGCATTAATTTCTAATTCACATTTTGAAAAATTTCCAGCATTTTCATAGCACTCTAGATAAGAATTACTATTTTCTGAAATTACAATTCCTCCCTCTCCAATGATAAATTCACTGTTTAAAACTGATGCCATTGGAGGTGTAACATCTAATAATGTAAATTTTATATCTTTCCATTTAAAAGTCATTCCTGGATTTAGCGTAAATCTCTTTTTTGTCATATTTCCATTCAAAACAAGTCCTATGTCTACTTCAATACTATAATCCCAAGTAGGACAGGACACAAGTTTGAAAATCTCATCTGACTTTGGGATGGCATATACTCTATAAAAATAGCAGTCTGCTCCAGGCAGTGAACAGCCATATCCCCAAAGTGATTTTCCTTCAATACAAAACGAATTACCAGGATAATCATTCCATTCTGATAATTCTTCAACATAATCTTTAGTTCTAATGTGATTGCATCTTCCAGCTTTACATGTTCCCGCGGCTGGGCATCTTTTGATTGACTGAACTTTTACCTCATATGATCTCAAATATCTAAGTATTTTCTGATTGCATTGGATTTGTAATCCATGCATTGACAATTCTAGCTCTCCCATTATTATTCCTTTATTATTCTTTAACGAGAGCGAATTTATTTGCTCATTTGGCAAAAAAGTCACAGTATTTACGGCGTTCATTTTGCAAGTAGAAATACCTGCTTTTCTTAGACAATCTTCAGATTTAGCTTGAATAACTACAACTTCAACTTCTCCATTAATTAATTGAATAAAATTTAAATAAATAGCCAATAATGCCATTAAACGTAATTTATTCAATCTTCTGTTTCTTTTTAATGTTTTATTATTTTTAACTTTACTTCTATTATTCAATAATAATTTTTTAGTTATATCTTTTTGTCTATTTTTCTTTTGTGCAAAAAATATTTCCATCGGCATTTTAACAATATTCCAAATTATTCTTAATAATTTTCCGAAAATTAACAAGAGTTTACAGGCAAATATTGCTATAGAGAGAATAATAGTCAAAATAAATCCCGTTACAATACCAATCAGTAGTAAGCTTTCTAATGATTCACATTGTGGGTTGACTATTCTTTCACGTAAGCCTGATATTCTTATACATGGATCAACTGCTGGACATGAAATCCAGTCTCTGTACATGTATCTTTTGCCCCAATAAGTGGCTCGGCATTTATAATCCAATGCTGTTTTATCTTTTGGAATTTTAAATGCTAATCTTGACAAACCATTTATTTCTAAAAGGCAGCTTCCTGCACAACACAATTCAATTTTATTTATATAGTCAACTGCGTTAGCTTCAACGCCGAAAGTTCTACATTTCATAAAACATCCTTTACAATTTATATATCTTGGTGGTTCAGCAAATGCAATTGCAACCATATATATTAATTGTACAAATTGTAGGCACAAAGCCACTTTTGATCTTGTAACCATCGGATGCGTATTTTTATTTTTAGTCACCAATTTTTCAGTCTCTTTTTTACTCAAATCTACTTCATTTTCTTTTTCATTCTCATTATTTAAATTTTCTTCTACTATATTCTCATCTTCAATCTCCAAAGGAGAGATTTTATTAATCGGGCGTATAAAAGTTTTATCTCCAATTTTTATCTTTGCGCTTCTAGCTGGAGTTCCATCCAACTCCACTATTTTTCCTAAAGGCCAGACATTGCGAGGTTGTCCTTCTTGATGCATAATAACAACTTCGCCAATTCTTGGATTTCTTTTTAAATCATTTCTTTGATTGTGATGAGTCCACTTCGACTTATCTCTCAACATTATGAGATAATCACGCTTCCAGGTATCCCAAAACCTCTGAAGCGTTTTTAAAGTGGCCATCCATCTTTCTTGAACTTGTTCGGCCGTGCTCATTTTTCCTAGCCGAAAATTATCGTCTTCAATTTCTGGAAATTTTTGAATAATTTCCACTCTTGGTATTATAAAATCAATTGGCCTCAAGCATAATGGGCCGTCTTTTTCTAAAGATATATAAGAAATAGGTCTACAATTTATAGACATTTCTACCTCCTTTATAAATGTTCTTAACTCTTCTATATTTAATATTCGACTTCCCAAAGATCTTTTAAATGAATCTTTAACTAATTTTACTAATCGCTCATAAACGCCACCCTGCCATGGAGACAAAGCAGGTATGAATTTCCATTCAATCTCTTTTTCTAATAAAAAATTATTAAATAACTTTTCATCATTATTTGCTTTTTCTTTCTTCCATTTACCTTCAATATTGGCATTTATTACTTTTGCAACCGTTATAAACTGATTGCCATTGTCCGAAATTATTTTCAATGGTGCGCCTCTTTGCGCTACAAATCTTCTTAAAATATCCAAGAATGAAAATGCAGATAGATCTGTAATTATGTCTAAATGGATTCCTCTTGTTGATAAACATGTAAAGAGCGCAATCCAAAACCTGACTTTTCCTCCTTCTATTTTGCACATAGAAGGTCCGAGATAATCCACTCCAACAAATTCAAATGGACGTGATTGTCTTACTCTTTCTTTAGGCAATATAGGCATATCCGGCAGTGCAAATTTAGGCGAACTAATTCTTTGGCACTTTTTGCACTCTTTTATAACAATTTTAGTTATGCGCCTTGCACATGGCGTCCAAAATTTCATTAAAAAGTTTGCAACTGTTGAGTCAACTCCCGAGTGACTCAATTCTTCATGCATTTTTCTCAATAAAAGTTTTATAGCAAAACATCCCTTAGGTAATAAAATCGGATGTTTAAAATAATCTTCTGCTTCACAATTAATTATTCTTGTTTTTAATCTTATTAATCCATTCTCATCAATTATTGTCTGTAAATTATCGTTCTTTTCGTTTTTGTAAGAACTTTGTGCAATTTTTAAAACAAAAATTTCAACTTTTTTGAAATTATTTGCCGACATACGATTTTTCAAATTTATTTCACTAAGAAATTTTTCTTTTACAATTTTTCTGCTCTTTTCTATCCAAATCCGAGCAGCTATTGTTACAAACATTAAACATTTAATTAATTTATTCCATGAGTTCCAATTATTAAAATTTATTAAATTATCTTCTTCATCTATCTTTTTATTTAAACAACTTAATATTAATTCCTGATTATCTTCTTCGCAAGTATCTTCTTTTTCAATTTCAAAATTCAATTCATTTGGCCAATTATTTTCAGGCCTTTTTAACCAATCAGGACCTTCCCACCAAATATGGCATTTTTCTAATTCAGATGCCATTATACCGCGAGTGGCTATATCTGCTGGATTATCAATCGTATTAACATATCCAAATTTAATTCCATTATTTTTTCTTATTTCATTTATTCTATTTTCTATAAATTTTTCATTTTTGCCTCCTGCCTTTATCCAGCTTAATACCGGCTTTGAATCACACCATAAAAATTTATCTTTAATTTCAACTCCGATTTGTTTCTCTACAAATTCTAAAGCTCTTTTAGCAATAACCACGCCTAAAAGTTCCATGCGTGGTATTGTTACTTCTGATTTTCTAGGTTTCAAACGATTTCGTGCATATAATATCTGTGTATGAATTTTTCCTTCAAATTCCGATTTTATGTATATGCAAGCAGCATAAGCACATTTAGATGCATCAGAAAATGCATGCAATTGTTTTACACTTTTAATATCAGTCACTCTTCTATTAATCTCGATGGGATCTAGTGTCCATGACCTAGTGATTTCTATCCATTTCATTGCATTTTCCTTACTAATTTTATCATCCCACTTATTCTCTTTAGTCCATAATGACTGAAAGAATAATTTTGCAGATAAAAGACTAGGTGAAGCAAGTCCTAATGGATCAAACATGCTTGCTAATTCACGAAGAACTATTCTTCTAGTCACGCTTTCAGCCGAATTCACTATTGGAAATACAATATTTATCTTATCTGAAGATATTTCCCATGGTATTCCCAAAATTTTAGGCTTATTCTTCTCCAGCCTATCTTCGAGTGGGAAACTTTCATTAAGCTCCACATTATTACTGATGAATTCTCTTAAATTCATTTGAGCATCTCTAAATATCTCTTTTAATCTTTTATAAGCGAGCCAAGCTTCATTGGCCGATTCTACTCCAATAAATATATTATCCACATAGGAATTTTCTTTAGCAATCTTTGCAACAGGGTCATCACACTTCTCTAAATGATGTCTGACAGTCGCTGATAACAAAAATGGACTCGAGATTACCCCAAAGGGAACTTTTGCAAATCTTAGATATTGAATATTCTGGGTTGATATGGGTTTCTTCGTATCTTTTACCCATATAAACTTAGTCACTTCTCTATCTTCTTCTTCCAATTCTAATGTATGGAATGCCTTTTCAATATCAGCCCACATGGCAATTTTTGGCACTCTAAATCGAATTAATAATCCTGCTAAATCCGGCATAATTATTGGCCCTCGATATAAACATTCATTTAAGCTTTTTCCTTCTCGCATTCTTGCGGAAGCATCATAAACTATGCGCACCTTTTTTGTATTAATAACAGGGTGGTGGGGCAGAAAATGTTCTATTTCCCCTTTCTTCTTTTCAGCCTTTTCAATCACACCTCTTTTCAAATCATTATTAATTATTTCCTCGTATTTATCTAATAAATCTGGATTTTTCTTTAATTTATCCATGAGATTTAGAAATCTTTTATATGCCAATGAAAAATTAGATGGCAAATTGTCTTTCTCAATTTTCCATGGCCATTTTACTATATAACTTCCATTTTCATTTCTTTTAATCGTACTATTAAATAAATCTAAAGCAACTTTATCATCTTTACACACAGGATCATCTTTGACTCCTATTGTCTCTAATGACCAATAATTGTTAAGTTCCTCATTTTCCAAAGTGTTAGAACTTAATATAGTACACAAATTTTCCTTTTTATTTAATCTTTTAAATTTTTCACCGCTAATTTCGCCACAAATTATTGGCCCTACAGTCGTTTCAACTTTAAATAGATAGTCCGATAATGGTTCTATTCTTTTAAAGAACCTCCAGAAATGCTTCATACCTATAAGCATATCAGGGACTATATTTGCGCAAGCAATCTCATTTGTTCTTAAGTCTGCGCATCTAAATCTTGGCATCAAATTCTTATTAATACTATAAACTATTATTTCTTCAAAATTTCCATTATCAAGAAGAACCTTTAAAGAATAACACGAAGTTTTTAGCTTTATTGGCTCTTTTCTGAAAAATGGGACAACTCCTAATTCTGTTCTTTTTAATTTTTTCAATTTTAATTTTTCAACAAGTTCATTACATAAGAAATTAACTGTTGCTCCTGAATCAAAGAAGCATTTTGCATTTATTTTATTATTTCTCTCTTTTAACATTAAATCTGCTTTCATCAAAACAATATTATCTTCGCCGTTATCATCAATATTAAGCATATTTTCACTTATTTGATTAACGCTTTCATTTTCCTTAATCTGTCCTTTCTTTTCTTTTTCAACTTCTTTAGGACAGATTATTTTATTGTGGTCTCCTTTACATATACCACAACTATATTTCACATTACAATCTATTTTGGCATGGCCTTTCCTTAAACAAATCAAACATCTATTTTGTTCAGACAGAATGCTCATTCTCTGTCCAATAAATCTGACTTGCTTACAATTTCCAGCTAAGTGTGGACCATTGCAAAACAAACATGAAATTTCTCTTTTTTGGTTCTTTGGCGCTGTAAATACACGCGCAGGTTCCGGTTTTCTCTGATTATTTGTGTTTCCATTAAATCTCCTTTGATTAAGATTCGGCACATTTTGCCAACTATTTTTATATGCCAATGACCTCGTGCATCTTTGTGCCTCTTCTCTTAAGGCCACAATTTCTGCAAGTCCTTCTCTTAATCTTCCTACACTCCAATTTACTTTCTCCAATTTTTCCATTTTTAATAATTCTAGAACAATACTTCTTGGCAATTTATTCTTAATTGCCATCATAACTATAGATTCATCTTCTAATTGCCCCATAGCAGTCAATGATCTACAAATTCGTTCAACCTCCTCGAGATATGAACGTAAAGACCATATTGATTCGTTAGCCACTGGCAAGCTAATTAGTTCGGCATGCAGTGTATCTCTAATTGCCTTTTCATTTCCGAATTGTCTTATAAGAGCATCTTTCAAAGGCGCATAATGTTCTGATATTGGCCTATAACCCAAAATTGCCCTTTTTGCCTTACCTCTAAGACATTGTATCAAATAGTGGGCCTTTAGCCCGTTATCAATATTCAAACAATCCACCGTTCTCTCAAAAGCCTGCCAAAATTCAGGCCAACGTAGAGTATCTCCATAAAATTCTGGCAGTCTAGTCCGCGGAAGATGAGGTGGAAGCACCTGCTCACTTCTAACTGGGACTTGCTCTACATTTATATTTCTGCGGACTTCATTTGTCCGATTTAAGCCAACTCCTATTTCCTCTGAGATCTCTGACTGCGTACTACGAGCATCAGAACCTTCAGCAAGAACAATTTCTATGTCATCGATAGCCTCTCTTCCTGAGTCTATCCATTCTAAAAAATGCCGTTCCTCTATGGCATATCTAGCAAAAACACCTTCTTCGGCAACTCTTTCATTTGCCGGTAAATCTTTAATATATTTTTCCCATTTTTCAACTTTTTCTTCCACGAAATTAATTGCCCTACGGATTTTAACTGCCATTCTTTGGAGTAACTCTACTCCTTCTTCAGTGCGTTCAGTGGCATCTATGATAGGTCTTACCTCTTCAAGGTATTTTTTCAATCGTACTATGGATGGCGCAATAGTACTTCTAATCGTTCCTGACATCTTTTAATTTATTTTATTCCAATATTTCCCAATTAATCTCTTTTTTAAATCCTTTTTTACCGAGCTTTCCAAATCTCAGCTCTTCCAATAATATTTTTTTACTGAGCCTTTCCTTTTCACGGCTCTTCCAATAAATCAATTGAGCCTATAGCTCTTCAATTTATTCTTCTAACTTTTTCTTTAATAACCCGCCGTTGGGTCGTGGCACCAAATGTAAAAATACTTTCCCCTTTCTTAGGGAAAACTATTTCACCTTCCTATTCTTTAATAGGGAATTAAAATATCTTAAATTAATTATTCCCTCGGAATAATTAACTAGATAAAACAAATTAAATAAATAAACACAAACACAACTAAAATTCTTTATCTTCAAACAAAATAAATATTCACACAGAATATTAAAAAAAATGAATATCTCAAAAGACATTGAAAAGTGAAATTTCTGCCTACTTTTTATAGGCAAAAATTTCTATATAAAAATGATGCAATGTTAAGTACATTGCAAAAAAGTACATAAAAAATTGTCAAAAATGGAAAGTGACTCACTGAGTCACCTCCAAAAATAATAAACAAAATAAAAAATATCAAAAATATTTCAAATCTTTAATTCTTCAATTTCGTCATCGACAATTGTTTTTGTTCGATATTTTTTATTTACATTTTTAATTTTCAACTTGATTTAACGCCATTTTTCTATATAATCTATAATTTTTTCAATTTATCTTTTATTATTCTTTTGCTAATATAATTAATGATAAGTAAAATTTTTGGAAAGTGAAACTACTAAATAAAAACATAAATAAATTTTATTTACAGCCATCGCTTTTTCGTTGACCTAAATTCGTTGACCGCTGTATACGCTTTTAGTTGGATATAAACTAATATTCTGATAATATTAACTCCGCTAACAATTTTTATAATAATGAAAATATGTATTATAAAATTTTTTTAATTAATTTTCACCTTAAATCAATGTATTGTCTAAACACTTTTATTTTTATTGGTAGGTAGTTTATTCTATAACATTTCATGTCGGTCATAATTTCAGTAATTGCTATCTCATCTACTATATCAGAACAACAGATTTCCCATAAAATCCCTCATTGTCCTGTTTATTCCCGTCCGGTGAGCTTAATAAAATGAAGAATCTAGGTGAATTACTTGAATAAACGAAGGATTTTAGATGCTGCGTCCCAACGGTGATGTAAGGAAATGTTTGCCACACCAACTAAATCTGTGTTTAAACGCGCTAGAGGATTCTGCATTGGTGATTTTTGTAAAAGTAAATCCTTGCCCCTTAACTTGTAATGTATAGCCAAAATTAGACCGTTAGACCGCCTATTAGGAATAGATTTCTTTGAATCTATTGAAAATTTTAAGAAAATTTATTAATTAAGATTGACACAAGTGGAATTTGTTGCTACCATAATCAGGTCAGTTTATTTTAGCTCCTGATAATAAATAAGAGAATAAGTTAACAGGTTGACTACTTTTGTTGTATGGATATACCGGCCAGATTATGCCCTTCCTATCGAAATGTTACCGTTGTAATTCACAACAATTTTCCTCAGAGTCAATTCCCTGTAAGATCATTTCACTTTCGAAAGGGTGTTGAAAAGGAGATAGCCGACGGAATTCGTGCTGCTGCTGCCAGCCGAAATTAATTTAAATATAATCGAAATTTTATTATTTTCAAATATTAATAAATAATATATAATCTAATATAGGAATAAATGTCTTTCATAAATAAATCACCGAGATTTTGAATAAAAATTAGATTAAAAAACCCTCCATCCATTTCATGTCCAGTAATAGCAAATAATCATCACAGTGAAAAGGATAAACGGAGCGCATAAGAATGTTGATATAAAGATAATACGAGGTGAAGGCATCCAAATAGAAAATCCTTGGATATCCAACTTGTATTTATCCTTTTGCTTCGTAGTTTGTTTGTCAAAATTCGAAACTGCAATAATTCATATACATATTTAGTTAAATTCTTAAAAATACTTTTATCTAAACCATTTAACTTGTTATCATCCTTTTGCATTCTAGAATCTTCATTTGTCTTTTTTACCTCGCTGGGCATAATATGCGGATATTTGGGAGGTTCAATTTTTTAACTAAAATAAATAAATATTAATTACAAAAAGTTATAATTAATTAGTTTCTATTTATGTATTTATAATGATTTGTTATTTTTAATAAGTATAGAAAGCTAATTAAATTTTACAAAAGTTTCGATGATTCAGCTATTTCTATACATAGTTGATCATGCGATATTTTATACTAATTTTATTCTATTAAAAATTTTTTGAATTAGCATTAATAATATAATACAGGGTGCGGCAACTTTTCCGCCTCTTTTGTTTTTATCATTAATGAAAATTGATTGTTCTTTTTTTATCTTTTTTCTCAACACTAAGAAAATTTTTGGAATCAAATATTAGAAATTTGGTTCACTATTGTTAAAGATAGGTATTCCCGTCCGAACATCTAAAATCGGCAAAAAATTCTCATTAATTTTAAAGAAAGTTATGATAAAAACAAAAGGGGCGGAAAAGTTGCTGCAGCCTGTATTTGGCCTGAATTTATTAACAACATTAAGATTAACTATTAGAGATAAATGAAAGCGTTGATAATAAGTTATTAATAATTTTTAACGTTAATAAAGCGTTAATACTTAATAATTCTATTCAATCAGTAAACAGTTAAAATTTCTTAAATAATAACCTTATATGTCATAATTAACATACGTGGCAATATTGATAGCTACATCGATTTTTGAGTAAAATTTTATCTCCAACATGTTGCTTATATAAATATACTATGTTTAAGCATAAATGAAAAGCATAAAAGAATGACAATGAACGCATAAAAATGTGAACAAACAAACGAACACGGCGAATATTAAAGAAAATTATACTTACTTTAATACATATATGCATATTATTAAAGAAAGTCGGCATGGAAACACTTTATTAAACAATAGGTGTTCGGTAATTAACAAGTGCCTTCAATTACTCTCTTATTGTTTTATATGTAGATCTCGATTAAAACGGCAATTTTCAGAATGATGTTTTAACGAGAAACAAAGTGTTGGATAGAAATTATGTAAAATGAAAAGGGAATAATTAAAGTCAAGTAATCAAATCGATCTAAGATAATTTCTAATCTTGGGAAAAACAAATGTTCAAGCGATATCCATATCTTACCGTAAAGTGCATTGTCGGAAGCTTTTACGGTCTACAAAGATTTGTTAATCCTTTAAAGTGCTAATTGTTACATCATCAAAGTAATAGACACCTTGTCATTAAGTCAAATGATTTAATAATTTAGACGTAAAAGAGAGAGAGTGAATAATTTAGAGGTTAAGAGGATGCCGACAAACTCACAACAAATCAACTACCGGCAAAATCAAAGATAGCGGCAAGACTAGCCATTGCTCCTTCCTTGCACTTTAAGTTTTCTTAATCCCTTTCAAAATTCTCTATCCCCTAAAGATTTTTTGCCGCCTCCTTCTCTATAACTGATTTGTTTCCTCTCTTATCATTATCCTTTTTCTCAACCCATGGCCAATGCTACTGACGCGCAAAATGCAGACGCTTGTCTATTTCCCAATCACATCAAAGCAACGCGCCTACATCCGTTTTCCTTGTATTTATCAGAGGTCTGTCAACAACTACTCAGCCAGTCTCATAATCATTCAGTCAAGTCTTAAAGCGGATCCACTGTAATATTTTTATTTATTAAATAAATTTAAATTAAAATAAATTATTAATATTTAACTAATTACTAATTATCTTAACAAATTCCTTTTAATTTCACTAAAAGAGATATAAAATTTCAGATAATCCAACAACCATAATGAATTTGGATTATTTTCTCGTGACTACTGGAATTTTGGTTATTATATCCATTACAAATGCCCGTGTAGGTCGAGTTAGATTCGAAAGCAGAATTTCAATGTCCAATCGGCCTAGCAGCAGTGATGGATATATGTATCCAAAATCAGTGCAAAAACAAAATCCCGCAAAATCTGCGATGAGAGGGCCAAAAGTTACTCACAGCTTTAACCACAGAGCTACGCCAAATGGTCATGAAATGGAATTCTCAATGCAACATGATATGTACCGCCCCAAGCCACGCTCTAAACCAAAACCAAAGCCTGAACCAAAGAAAGAACCAGAACCAGTTTCTTCTGCTGATCCTGAACCAGAACCCTATGAAGGCATTGAGGCGTGGGACAAAAAAACTTTGATTGAGAATGTTATAGCTGCTTACAAGGATACATGCAAAAGCTCCGATATTGTCATTTTTTCACCAGAATCAAAACATAAGTTGGTCTCATCAGTCAAAAAAATGCCGCTAGAGGTTAATGATTACCCTTGGGTTATGAATGTCGAAATGTTTTGCACTTTAAATTTTTGGCGTGTACATTCTTGCTTCAGCATGCCCTTGGAGGATGGATTCAAAAAGGCTCTAATTAAAAATGGCATCGATTTCACTGATGGGTTAAAATATCTATATTATAATCCATTTATAACTTTTATTTTAGTGGAGCGCATGGACCTAGTTGCTCATTGATAAGAAAGTTTGAAGCGAGTGAATTGAAAGAAACAAGAACTGTGGCCGAGGATGAGCTAAAGCAGGCTTTGACGGATATCTTGCTTGAAGAATTTCATAAATCTCGATCATGGCCCAATCCAACTAAATGTTTGTTGTCATAATATCCTTTTAATAATTCTACATATTTAGTGTTCGAGATACCATTTCCAATGAGAGGAGCAAAGGATGCTTATTGGACACTGTCGACGAAAATTAGGAAGTTCAACACTCATTTAAACGAACAGCCAAATGATTTCTGTACTGCATTTCATACAGATGCACAATTATTCGATCATTTTGAAAAGTTTACAGCTGGTACTGAAAAAACTAAAGTGGATGATGCTTTCCGTAATTTGACAAGTGTAATGAAAGACATTCCGTTGGAGAAGGATAAAGAAAAGGGTGATTGGTTTTTATTAAAAATTAATTACATACTTAAAATAATTCCTCAAATTAACAGAAGGAAGCGAAGAAAATTGCACTTATGATCTGTTTCTCTTTCGCGTTGAGCTCGAATTTTTCCTTGCTCTCGACACAGCAATTATTGACTGGTTGTCTAAATATGTTAAACCAGATAATCACAATTACGAATATTTTTGCCGTGAGAAAGAATATTGTTTATATGCTCAACTTCGTAAAAGAATTAGGGAATCAAAGGAAATCACTGAGAAATTGATCAAAAATTTGGGAGATTGGTTCGAGGGTCGGAAACATGGTCTCATCAACGATGATTTTAAATATTTCGCGGCTAACTATGTTGCTGAACGCTTCCGCATTAAAATTCCTGCACCGCCGGAGCCTTTGAAGTTGAAAGTCAAATATGAACACGGTGGATATAAAAACAAGGTGCTTTACGAACATGATGGAAGAAATATGAGAATGTTAACAAAAGTATCTCATCCAAAATCAAAGATACAAGGAAAAACATTTCCAAATTCTAAAAACTTTTCTTTCCATCATCAATATAATAATGGAATCCATGGAGATGTCTCAGAAGAAGACGGGGAAAACGAGATGTACATGCCAAAATCGGCTTATGCAAATCCCAACAATTTTTCTTTCCATCATCAATTTAATGGAACTCATGGAGATAGCTCAGAGGAGGGAGATGAAGGAGTTGAACACGAAATGCATGAGGATACCAGTAATGGTATGTCTAAAATTTATTTTTCAAAATAATTTTATTTTTTTCAGAAGAAGACATGCATGCACAAATGGAAATGAACCATGAATACGACAACCAGTATGATAACATGCATGACACGTCATTTGAATTAGGTCATGAGGAAATAACTGATAAAAATGGAAAGAAACAAAAAGTCAATTACCGTTGCCGCATGGGCCCGCATCAAATGAATTACCAATTTGGCTATGATCCTGCTTGCGCAGTTTAAAAACTTTTATTTCTTAGACCAATCTTTAACTATTTTTTTCCTTTCTTTCATCTCTATTAGAAACTTAGCTCTTTACCAACCTATTTTACTTTTATAAGCATAATTACCACACCACATAATCCAATACTTTTGTGCCCAATAAACAACCACAATAGAGAATGTCTTTAAATTTTGTTAAATTCAGTATAATTTGGAATTTAACTTGAAAATCCAGAAATTTAAAATAAAACTTATTAAAGACATATTCTACATCTTTTATTTTTTTATTAAAACCACCACACTTCTCCACGGAATTTGAAGCAAAACTTGCAATTACAAATACCGGGTCAACCAATAATTGAATAGTGGAGAAAGAACATCAATGTAAAGATGATTAAGAATTTTTAATTAAATTATTTTAAAAGAGAATTTCTAATAAATTTATACATAGATAATATTAATTTATTATAATATTTCCTGTTCCTTTCCAAATTTCTTGTAATAATTTTTTGAGTAAAACTTTCTTTATATTTTGTTAGAATATTTTTAAGAATTAAAATTATGTTTAGTATATATGTTTAGTAACCAAGATTTATCATTCAATTTCCATTAGGGAATTAGGCATCTGAATAATCCCTGCGCTTTCTAACATATCGAATCACAAAAATACTATAATGATAATACTTTAACAAATACTATTGAATTTAGGTATAAAAAGTTTTTGAAAATTATAGGCTAAAAAATACAAGTATTTATATAAGTATAGAAAGGAAATTTTGAAAACCCGTCCCTACTTTTTCCCGACTCGTGACATCCCTGAATTATAGGCATTATTATCTTAATAATAGGTATGTTAATCTAATATTCTGGATTTCTTGTCTGAAACTTCTGATACGTATGCACTTTTTTCCACATGCACTTTTACATTTCCTGTCGGAAAGATTTCATAAATATACATAGCGTTGAAATTAAAAAGGCAAATTTTTGAATATTGAATTAATTTCGCAAGCAAAACATCATGCGCCTATTTACAATGTCTGACATGAGAATGATTGATTTCAAAATATTTTGCACTTTTATGAAAATTGAAAAGAATTTTAAAAAATTGAGAAAGGCACGTGCAATTAACAAATAATTGTTTTAAAATTTATAAAATATATTATTTCGATGCGTTTTTATTTTCCTTTACTTTTTATCATTGTCTTGAAACTATCGGCTGCCTCTGGCCTTTTCTCTTATAAACTTTGGAATAAACAAAGGCTTATTAGCGAAGTTGTTAAAAACTATCTTTTGAGTTGTCAAAGATTGGATATTTTGAAGAATGTAGAAAATCTTAAAAAAGTTTTCCAGCTTGGTATTGTCCAAAATGTCAATTTTTGGGAACAATTAGAAATACTTGTTGATTTGCCTAAATTTTGTGATCAAAAGGAATTGATGAGTGCAAAATCTGGACATTTAGATTGTTTTGAAATGCCAAAAAACGGAAATTTACTTCGCTTATTAAATGAATATAAAATTCAAGTAGATAAAAATGAAAAGTTTATTAGACGCTTATTGGTATGCAAACTTATTTTCAGGATGGATAGGCCCAAAGTTTCAGAGAAAAATGTTAAAGCTTTGATTGCTGATTTTTTAATTGAGGAAAGGAATAGGCCAATATATTTTGAATCAAAAATAAACAAATCAGTAAATTCTACAAGTAAAGAGAATATGGAGGATGTTGATAGTGAACACAACAAAAGGCTCGTGTTAATAGATTATGAAGCTTCTGAGTGGCAATTGCGATTGGAGAATTTGCTCAATAACCTTTATCATCTCTATAAAAAGTCAGAAATAATCACTGGTCTTCAAACAAATATAAAAACAAAGATAAATATAAAGAAAAATGATGTTGGGACGAATGTTCGAATGCAGACAAGCATTCATTCAGAGAGGTTTTGACAATATAAAATTTAATAAATAGTATTTATTTTAGACATTTGAATGATGCTTGTAAGATTTTAAAAAATAACACCGAGATTTTCGATCTCGTTGAAGCGCATTTAGTTAACAAGGCGGATCGTTCAAATATAGAAACAATTTTTAATAATATCAAGGGTATTGAAATAAAAATTCACAGGAAAATTCTTAAAAGAAATAAAAACTCAAGATATGGTAGTAGTTCATCTGAAAATAATACAAGTAAGCGAAACCCTGTCCATTGTCAGAAAATATTTAGAATTTCAGTTGATAATTCTAAGTGTATTAGTGATCTTGTAACACTTACTGCAATCATCGAGTTATATCAGTCATTAATTGATGCTATAGCACAAAGGATTCAGACTTTAGAAGATAATTCTTATAAAATATTTTGCCCTGAAAAAAATTCAAATTGTTCCAAAGATGATTTGATGAGAGTTTTATTTAAAATGAGGAAAAAGGCTGAATTGTTAAATGCTTCTATTAATTCATGGTTTAAACGCAAATTAGTAAAGAATGAATACGAGGAATTACAATACCAGTTAAGAAGCAAAGTTGATGGGCATTTCCCCATTTTGATAATTGACAATGAAATGCCTAAACATAGAGGAATCGTTGCACGAATGGAAGACGGATTGAGGAAAATTAGGAATCAAGTTAGCTTTTTATTTTATACCTTCGAATCTTAAAATTATATTAAAAAAAGATATATCAGCCTACTTGGGAAGCATCGAAAAATAAGAAAAAGATGGGAAAACAAGGAAGAAACCGATACCGTTATTTTAATTCAACGCCAAGGATTAAAAAAATTTATAAGCATAAACCTCGAATTCTCTATGTAGTTGATGAGCCATCTCGTCCTGCTTATTATTATCAGAAGAGATTGAAGAGAGGATTTTGGAATAATTGACTAAATATTTTTTAAACATAATTTGATGTATTTAATTTATATTCCAGCATTGTATTAAATATGATGCTGGAATTATGTCGAATAATTTTTTTTATTTCATATTTCTTTATCATTTTTCTTATCAGTTAATGTTCCTTTCTAAATGTCAATAAATTTAGATATTTTCAAATATTATTTAGCAACTTTTGTCTAAAATAAATAAACTATTTTAATGTTTATAAATAGCAAAAACTACTCAGATTTCCTATCGGAAATTCGCAACATTGGTGGCGAATTTACTTGGATTAGAAAAAATAATTTAGGAAAAATACAAAATGCTGGTCGTTCAACTAAAGAAATTGCAACTGCAATATTTGACTCTGAAAGAATTAAGGTTTAATAATCTTCAGTGGATTATAAATAATCTCTTGTAGAAGGTTATTAATGATGAGGCTAGTAGAAGAAATGTTAAGGATGATGTTGTTTACTCTGAAGCAAAACAAATTCTTTCCAATATGGCCAGTGACTTTCATTTACATTCTGCTGTACAAACAATTGGTTATTCACTAGCCAAGATATTTGGAGTATTGTTATAATAATATTATTTTTTATAATATATTTTAGCGTATATTCTCTCATATTTGGTATAATTCTGAAGCTTTAGAAAAAATTAAAAAAATTTCCTATGATAGATCAGTCAGTGTTGTTTGGTTACCTACACACAAAAGTAATTTTTATAAACATCTTTGGCATGATTCTGATCACTTATTTAGGTTATCTAGATTTTCTTTTGATCTCTCTTCTGTGTTATCATCATCAAATCCAGTTACCCGCGATCTGTGCAGCTGAAGATTTTCAATCCTCTAAACTACTTGGAGAGGCTCTACGACGTTGTGGGGCGTTTTTTATTAGGAGGAAATTTAAGGAGGTTTTTAATTGCTATAAATTTCAAGCATTAATATAATATTATAGGATCCCCTTTATTGGGCTATATTTGCCGAATATATTCAACAACATATACTTCATTCCGATAGACCAGTTGAATTCTTTATCGAGGTAATTTTATCTATTTACATATGTTGGTGGATATCGTTGTCCACCAAGGACATTGGTGGACATTGCTGTTGGAAAATCCATAGACTGAACCTACGTAAAATAAAACAACAATTAAGGGTCAGAGGAGTAGAACCGGCAAATCTCTCTTTCCTCGCACAGGATTGCTGCAATTAGTTGTTGAGCTTTTCATGAAGGCTCAAGTCTATGACACGGTTCAAATTAAAAATTTAATGTGATTGTCGATGTTTTTTTATCTCAGCTACTTGTTCCTATTACAATAAATTATGATCGTATTCTTGAAGAATCACTCTTCTCCTATGAACTGCTTGGACGACCAAAACCAAAAGAGAATGCTTCCGGCCTTTTAAAAGCAAGACAAATATTGTCTGATTCGTTTGGCAGCATTTTTATTACAATTGACCATCCAATATCACTTAGAGAATATTTTCTTAGTGGAAATATTAATCTGGAATTTCGTGGTGAATTAATGAAGGTTCCCAATTTTTATAAATAAATTTTAAAGTAATCCTCAATTTATCAAACATACATATACAAAATTAAGGACAAAGATAACTCATTTTACGACAATAAATTAAGAGAATTAACTGAAAGTTTGGCTCTTAAAATTGTATCAACTCAAAATAGCAATAATGTGTTAACTATTTGGCCATACATAGCACTAGCTATATTAAAGGTTTTGTTAATTATTTAAATATGGATATATAATAGTTACTCAGATTATTAATGATCCCAGAAGAAATAGTCAAGAACATTTTAAAATTAATATAGCAGAATTAAATCATGTTGTTGAAATGCTTGTTGGAATTTTCAACAAATGTTTCGATATAAGGGAGATTTATACTAAAGGATTTATAATTAAAGATGCCATACTGTATTGTTCCTAATTCGATAAAGATAAATATTTTAATTAGATATTATCTTCAATTGCATGGGAGCTATGTTAATTTTAATCCAAATACAAATAGCATTGACTTTAGAGAGATGTCATTGCCTCAAACTTCAAATATAGCTTCGAAATATTTGCCTACTATAATATTATTGTCAAATTACTCCAGCATAGCAGTTCACTCCCTTGCTAATTTTTGGTACCTAAATTTTCATTTAATAATTCGTATTAGATTCTATTAATAATTTTTTCATGTATTTATTTTAATTATAGCTTCTTCTCAATTTCGGAAAATATTTCAATCATACCATCACAAGTCTTTGACAACTTTAAGTATTTAAAATAAATTTTTAGACTTTTTATGAATTTTTTAGTTTCCTCTTCTATTTGTTTAACAAGGAGTTTGTTTCTGATCCTAATCAAATTGCCGAAAATTTTAATTATGCGGAAATGAAGTGTAAACATTTAAACAAGGTTGAGTGCCACCTACTGGCTCAAATAATGATAGTATTTTTATAATAATAAATATTACTTATGCCATTATTCACGGTTTTCAGCCTTATATTATTGCTTATCATGCAATTTTCGAATTATTTTTGGAAATGAATAATGAAGAAAAGATTAGCAACCAAAACGAGTTTTTTAAAGCAATTCATCAGAAGCTAATTTTTAAGATTAACAATGTAACGAACAAATTGCCATTACAAATTGCTTCTATAGATCTAATTAAAAATGGATTCAACTTTTTAAGATCTGAACAATTAATTAAAGTATAGTATGGTTTATATAATTAATAATAATTTTTGTTTAGTTAAACCAAAATGAACATTTGTTAGTTAGTTTTGCTGGAATAGCACAAATTGTAAAGAAACTGGATAGCATTTTAAGATTAAATTTTAAAGAATTCAATAAAGAATTATCATTAAGATCAAAAATATAATGATTTATTTGATTCCAAATTTATCGTTTTGTTAAAATTTACATAAAAATTCGGGAAATAATATATTATTCTAGTTGGAAAAAGACGAAATTAGTTAATGTAAACTGAGATAATTACCCTTTCTCTCAAATAATTACCCTCTCTAATAATTAACGCCTTGTCTTCTTACTCTAATTTTAAAAATATTTAAATAATTATACATATTTAATTATTGGAGCATTTTAAGACTTAATATCAAAAAATAATTTAATTTTGCCTGTTAACTACTCCCTCCAGCGAGAGATTGAAACAATAATTACCCAGGGTAATTATTTCAGCATTTGTGGTAATTTTTGATTCTGGAAAAAGAGGGTTTCTAAACTAAGCCGAGTCTCATGTATAAGTTATGTTAAAAGTGCATCTATTTGTTTATCAATAATTTCCTATGACGTGATGCTATTTAATTTTATTTTTCAATGATCGGATTTAAGAAATTTATTTCTTTTTCTATGACGTGATTAAAAAAGAGTGGATTACACTCAGAATTCACTCAAAAGAAAAGAGCGCGTTTCAAGACAGCTTGAAGCTCGGATTGATAATTTGATAGTTTCTTTGATTCTTCCATGGATTCAGGATTTTATCATTTTGGCTATGATATCCACGTGAATTCTTATAGTAACTTTTCCCATTATAAAATTAAGAATTTCTTAATTAATTTCACTTAAGAAAAATATTTCAAAAAGTGCAACCTAAAAAGTGCAATTTCATTTCCTAATGAATTCATAATTTTATATTTCAAAATAAAAAAAAATTTTTAAATAATTTTTTATATAAGAAGCATGACATTATATAATGTCAGTAAAATAATAATTACTTTATTACTTCAATTTGATAGTAGGATATAAGTTTCCAGGCTTCTTTATTAAATTAATCTGAAGCATTTTATGTAGCTTCTTACACCTGAAATTATTCATCTTCGTAGCTATATATTTTAATTCTTCTCTGTTTTTTAATACAAAATAGTAAAGGAATTTTCATGTTAAGAAATACAGACATTTTTTATAAATGTTTTTTAATTTCTCTCAAAAGTGCAATTTAACGAGTATTTAGGCAGAAAATATCCTATTAATTTATGTATAATTTAAATATTTTTGACAATTTAATTGTTAATATTCTTGAATAAGATAATTCTAAATTAATAATAATACAATAAAAATATTATTTCAGTAATGGGAAACAGTATGGCTGCGATAATAATTGTTTTACAATTCATTATGCTACTTTTTAGCTATTCATTAGCTCATTACTCAAATATGAAAACTAAATTAAGTTTTGGATACGCTCCTCCTTCTGAAGAAGAGTATTATACCGCAGAGGATGGGGAATCTTCCGAAGAAATAATAATTCCGAAAGGTGAATAAATTTAGAAAATATAATATTTTTAAAATATTTTAGAAGAAATCAAGGTTGTCCTGAACGATTCCGAACTTTTTACCCTTTTGACTGAATTGGACCTTCCAAGACAATTCAACGATGCGCTATCTGTAGCAAGCGGTGGAGCTAGTCGTGGTGAAGAATCGCATAAAGCTCTTTATTCGAAGATAGCTTTCAAAACATATAATCTTCTGGTTGAGGGCAAGAGTCCAATTGATTCCCTAAATGAGGCAATTGCCAAAGTAAAGGAACATTTGAATACTACCTTTAAAATGAAGCTGATCCTTAAAAATCGTAAGAGAACAAACACAGGATATAATAATTTTAACAAATATATTAAGGTTTTAATCAAGCTAACTGGCCCTATGACATGTTTCTCTTCCGCGCAATTTTGGAAATTTTCGGAAAAGCATTTGCAGCTGGCCTTCGTCGCAAACACATTCTTCTTCCTCAAACAAGCTTAGTTTGTTCGTTGTGCGTTAAGCCATATAATATGCCATTGGCCGGAGGAGGATATTGCCCAATACGTAAATGTGCCCAAAAAGTCGATTTGAGTGCCCACAAGCTAATGAATGATGAAAATATTAAAATGATAGATGTTTGGTTCGATGATTTCAAATTTTTTTCTCCTCAAGATGCTCGAAAATGGCAGAAACAATTTCTTCCCAATTATTTACCTGGAAGATTCTTGGTGGAGATCGTTAATACTGAATTAGCTGAGGAATCAGAGGAAGGTATGTTTAGTATTTTTAGTTGTTGGGTTACGACGAAACTGTAAAGATATCTCATTAAAATATTTAGAAGCAGATCCAAGTCATTCATATCAATTCAAGCATTCATTCAACTATGGGCCTCAGAAATTTGATGCAAATCATCAATTCGGCTACTCTAATGGAACAAATCAGGAGCATAGTTTTGCCTATTCATCTCCTCGCCGTAGTCCTGCTCCCCATAATTTCAACACGAAAATGTCATTCAACTCACCTGACGGAAAGCGAAATAGAATGAGCACAAAATTTTCTTTCTCAAACAACCACGATAACTCCTTTGAGACTATGCCCCCTAAAGCAGCCCCCAAAGCAATGCAGCATAAAATGAATGTTAAATTTGGTCCAACGCAAAAATATGGTGGAATTAGCCCTAAAAGTCAATTCTCTTCGGCACATTCGTTTAATGGCCATGGATTCAAATATAATTATGGCATGAATCATTTCCCGCAATAAAAACAAGGAAGCGGTTTGAGAGGTAAACGACTTGGTTAAAGAAACATTTAAATGAAAAAAAAGATTTTCTAAATCTTAATCCTTTCACTATTGTAAATATCTTATCTTCCGTTCAACCTATTGAGTTATGTAGTTTAAATTTAAACGATACTTTCTTTGATTTTTATAAGATTATGTAAATTTAAACAATTAAATAAAATAATATTCGTTAGAAAAATTTATTTTGTTGAATATTTATAACTAAATTTAAATAAAATATTTTAACCAAAATAATTTTGGAATCATTTATTCTGTTTCTTATTTATGAACAACAAAAAGGGAAAATTATGGGAACATCATTGCTAAATAACCCTTAGGGATCGGATTTTTATGTTACCGAAAATGTTAAAATAGGTTCAAAAAAAGCGACATACATATGTATGTACGCTAAAAAATCCTATCCCAAATACTTATAATAATATTATACCGAATATTAGTGATAAATGGAAGATGGAAACAATCTTTGAAAAAAATTTAAAAGTATTATATTATGATTTAGAAACTTGAAATATGTAAATTTAAAAAGGTACTCGTAATAATACATATAGAAATATAATGAACAACATGTAACTATTAAGGTTGATATCCGTAATTTCTTGAAACGCTAATTTTTGCGCAATTGAGGGATTAAATATATGAAAAAGTATTTAAAAAGTGAAGTAATTTGTAAAGAAGTATTAATGAAAAGATTGATTTTAGAGTTTATTCCTTATCCAGAAAGTCGGGGAGTGTGAGAATCATTACTCCCCTGGAACCCTCAACTCCCACAATTAATTCTTATCAGATATGCGAGACTAGCTCTGCATAACTTCAGTCTGTTCTCCAAGTAAAACAGGTAAAAGACAGCCGACATTTGGTAGCTGGATAAATAATTTTAAAATTAAACTAGAAATATTTTTACAATATGGTCGGCGTTCGGACTAAGCTCGCTAACATCTCCAACGCCTGAAAGAACACCCACTGTTGTACCAACATTCGCCTGCCGGCCCATGCCCATATCTGCTGCGGTGTCTCCCACCATTAAGGCTTCCTTTAAAAATAATTTTTATATATGAAAAATAACAAAAACCATACCTTTGGATCAACACCCAATTCACGACATATATGTAAGGCATTATGGGGATTCGGTTTCGGTTTTGAACCAGCGTCATCCCCACACATAACAAAATCAACAAAACGTTCCAAACACAAACTTTTCAATGATGTTTCGGTTCCAATACTAAAAATAAGGATAACAAATTTAGAGAAGAGTAAATTATTACCGGCTATCAGCAGTACAAATTGCAATTTTCAATCCCAATTCCTTAAGTCCGGAGAATAATGCACTCAAATCATGGATTTGTTTAAGGGTTTTAGGACAACTTGTGTTGCAGTCAGTAACAGAATCGCTGACCTTATAGTTCAAATTTTCAAAAGTTTAAATTCCCTTATCCCTACCATCTCGAATGCTTCTTCCTCTTCCATTCCACATTCAATCAACAATGCCTTAATTCTTTCCCTAATTTGTTGCATTGTTCCATGAGCTAGAAGCCCGCTTCTCACACGTTCTTGAATGGGACAATAACCAAGCAATGAATAAACCTCATCCGCAATCTCTAATTTCGAAGCTTCACATAGACTTAATTAAATATTTTATAAAATTTCTTTAAAAACAATTTCTCACTTTTTAACTGTTTCTTTCGTCCAAGGAACCCACATGGACTAGAAAATGATAAAAGGTTAAGAAACAAATATTATAAAACCACCTGGAAACAGATTAATGTGCCATCTTTATCAAAAATAACTAGAGAATGCTTATTGCTCTGCTGTTTGCGATTGATCAGCTTAATATTTATTTCTACTTAAAATGATTATAATTTGAGTTCCTTACAATTTGATCTTCAATATTCGCTTTTCCTTTTTTCATATTGACTGGAAGAACATTTAACTGGGGAACATTATTTTTATTGGATGAGGGACGGGGTGGCCATTGTTTTTGTTTGGTAGAAGCCATTGAGAAAACTTCAATTTAAGGTCGAATAAATTTTATTAACTGAAAGATACTCACATCCTGAAGTAGTGGCAATACCATTACGGATATTACTGAGACGATATAATGTTTCAATAGAATGTCGAAATAATCCACACATTGTTTATTGAACTCTTGGAAGATTTAGCTTGTTTTTAGTAGGCTGTTCGAAATAGGAATATTTTTGAATAAGAATAATTAACTTGAAAAGTTATTTTAAGTTTCAAACTGCAATTATTAATAAAATTAAGAGATTATCAAAAGAATTTAAGAATGATGTAATTTTTGATTAATCTATGGTTTGCACCTCTCGATTGCAATGTTTAAGATTATCGAGAGTTGTGCAAGTTGTGAGAGTGAATGTTTAGTATATCATGCGGTGCACAAAAACTGATAGTATTTGCTAAAAAATCATTCATTAATAGGAAGAAAAATGTTGGTAAATTTAAAGTAAAATTTTAGTACTTTTTTAAAAGTTTTTAAAATAAAAAAAAATATTTATTCTCAAAAACTAAAATATTACAAAGAATAAAGGTTAAATAAATGAGCAATTTGGTATATAATTCACCTCTCCCCGCCTGAAACAAAACATTCTATCACCCATCTACCGCCACGCGCTCACACATATGCTTTTAGCAATATTGCATTTATTCTCCTTCTTTCAAAAGAATATTCTCTCTATAGCCTTCCCTAAATCCCTGTCAATTTCAAAAGCTAAAAATGCTTCGCAGTAAGAGTCGCTGTCGGGGACAATGCTGGGCTAGGCGTGGCTAAAAGCAGCTGAAAAAATGAAAAGGGAATGAAGAGAAAGGCATTGGGAAATCCAAATGGGTAGATGTGGGGGATTATGTTCCAAAAATAGAAAAAAAATTTCTTTATAAAAATTTACTTTATAGTTTCTTATTCTTTTTAAATAGAAAAAAAAGTATTAAATTTCTCAAACATTCTAAGAAAAAATTATTTTTAATTTAGATTTATTTTTAATATTAATTCTGAATTCCGATCATTTTATATGGCGGATCAGCCTTAAACAGAACGACAGATTGTTTATATATTTTTTGTCCCATTGGGAAAATTCCCATAAAGGAATTCCCAAAAAGAAAATATTTTTAGTTGACGTGATTTAAATAATTAAATTTAAAATCTTAAAATAATTTTAATTTGTAGTTGTTGATGAAATTGAAAAAAAAATAAAGTAAAAAATTAAAACAAAAACAGAACAGATGTGAAATTTTAATAATAGTAGTCTTAAAATAAGTTTCGCTCTAAGTTAAAATAGATAAATTCTTGGGCAAGCCATTTTTAACTAACCTAAAAATTCTACATTTATTAACTCAGACAATGAACAAAAATAACAAGCTAACAAAAACAAGAGAAACATTTTAAACGAGTCTGAACTTGAACTATTAATTAAAATTTAAATTAAAATAAAAAGAGAATTGAAATTGATTCTCGAACATTTGTTTCGCAAATTTCTCGAATTAAACATTAAAGAAATGTGTGAAAAGTAGTGACGTGAAAAGTGATTTACAACGTTTAAAAGGCAAAAACCCTAGAACATTGATAAAAAAGAGGATTTCTGTTTGTTGAACCTTTGAGGAAATAAAAAGCGAAAGGGGGAACTCAATCCTTTGATGAGAGGAAATAAAGTTATTTTTGTGGATTTTTAAAGTTTGATCATTACTTGAATATTCTCAGTTTAAACTTGGATATACGTTGATAGAATATAGACTTGGAACGGATTTTTCTAGCTAAACAAGCAAACACTTAAAGGGGTTTATACTCAACTTATAATTTTATAAGCTAACCTATTCTTAACTAATGATCTAAAAATAATTATAACAATATTTTTTTAATTTTTATTAATGTTAAAATGCATAGATTATAAATTAGCATGAGAACATTAAATAATAAATTATACATATATGTTAAATTAAAAGGTAAGATAACATACATTATAAGAATGGAATTTACTTAAAAAAATAATGATAATTTTAACTCATCATTGGAAATATAAATAAAATATGAAAAGTTTTGATTTTTCATAGAAAGTTTATCTCTATGAAATAATGAATTTGTAAAATTAAAAACAAATCTGTCAGTTAAAATTGTGAATTCTATAAAAATAATCAAAACTTATTTTTTCCTTTACAAAAATATAAAAGTAAAGGAGTATCATTTAAAAAATTAAAACTGGTATATTTTTGAATAAATTAGAATGTAGGTAAAAAAAACAAAATATTTGTAAGAAAAAAAATACATAACAATTATAAGGCTTAAAAATAAATTTAAAAAACTACAAAATATAAAAATACTGGTTTGGTTAAAATTATTAAATAAGCTTCTTATTGTTAGTTAATTTAATAAATAATTGATTCTTTAAAAATTTAAACTTGCAGAATTTAAGCGTTAAAACGATTCTTCAGGATAAGTTGTCCATCACCCCAATATGAGAGCAATCGTGTAAGCTGGGCGTTATCAGCAAGTCTATAATTATAAGAGATTAAATTTTTCATAAAACAAAAGAATAATTACCTATGGCCACAGTGTTGTTCATTAGTATATGGAACCTCGTTTGGAAAGAAGCGTCTGAAAATTAAAAAAAAGTAAAAAAATTCTTCAAATAATCAAATTACTTGAGTGCCAAATAATTTGCATGCCCACGTTTCGCCAATTCATCAGCCTGAAATACTGGTTCTGGTAACGAGATTGGTCGGCTGACAATTTGATGGTTAAATGACAATGCCATCAAAAAAGAATATAATGACCGTTTAAACATTAATTCTTCCAAATGATCCTGAAAATAAAATTATTGACTATTTAAAAATAGAATTAACTATAACCTGTCTAGCAGTCTTATAACGCAACAGTTTAGCATATTCTTTTAGCTCTTCAACAGTACAGTTGAAATTTATTTCATTAGTAAGAACAGCATATTCTACAGGTTTTCCTGTGCCCTAAAATAAAACACATATAATCTTACTAACAAATTAATAAGAATAAGTTTTTTTACACTCACTTTGATTGGAAAATGTGATTGGAGATAAAATTCAAATACATCTGGCCGGACAACTTTCTCTTGTATTATAGAACCGGGTGGCATATTCTCCGCCTAAATGAGTTAATTACTAAAAGAAAAAATAATCGAAAAAACCTTATCAACATCATTGCCCACTGCAAAAAACTTTTTAAAATGACGCTTTGAACCAATAACCAACACAAATTTAGGCATATATTTCGGATTATGCAATTCGAATCCGCTCCTTATTGCGGTTAATTCACTACGATACGCCTTTAGAAACAAATATACAAATTTTCAAAATAATATTTTACCATTTCATACTGCCCTTCACTCAAACCATCACGCAAGATAAAGACATATTGAGGGAGTTTTTGTTTAGGACGGTTATGTTCTAATGAAGCCAAAATCCATCGACTTCTTTGTTTCAAATCAGACAAATCTACTGCTTCTTTTCGTGATGTCTTAAAATAAAGATTTTTAAAAAAGGAAAAATAATTTTAAAAAACTTGATAGAAATAATCCCCAATAAAACTATGGGGATTTTCGGCCATATTTGCGCAAATCTGAAAGAATTGAAAAGAATTTATCAACTACATAATAAAATTACCCCAACAACAGAAGGCTCAACAGACGTAAGTGTAAATTCGTCCTCCTCCATCTTCATTTCAAGATCAGGTTCATTTAATCTAGGTTTTTTTGGTTCGTGAAGCTAAATTATATTTTATATTTAAGGATCAAAAACAAAAATTAAATTTTAACAAACTTTATAAGTTGGGTGAGATACATCATAGCCTATAACTAAAATATTCCCGCTGCTTAAATCAAAGCGTTGCTCAAATTTTTTAAGTCCAGGTAATTGAGGCTGTGCTAATATAGGCTGATAATTAAGTCCTCCAAACTTCACATTTAATTTGTTCACAATATTCTCCAAAGTCTGTCGGTGTCCTTTCACAAGAATATTCTAAATTCGCAATTTAAAAAATAAATGCATCAGAAACATACTTCAACAGTTTCGGTTGTAATTTGTTGAGTGATGAGTTTAATAGACTTTGAACGTCTATAAACTTCAAACAACTTCAAAAGACCATGAGAGTCATTAGCCTTTGAATCGATCTATCGAATTAATGAAAAATAAAAAAAAGTAGAAAAGAAATAAAAAGAAACCATCAGAATAAACGGAATTTTCTCCTGTGCACAATGACCAAAAGCATTTCGCCACTCAGTTGCAATAGGCATTTTTGTTTGAGAGTCAAATAAATTTTGCGCAACGGGAAACATTCTTGCATTACCAAAATTCATTCCTAAATAATTTTAATTTATTTTAACAAATCCCAAATATAAAAATACCCTTTTCACAGCATTTTTCACGTAATCTTTTTATAAAATCTTCAATTAATTCTCGATATCTAGAATCAAATAAAACAAGCCACTCTTGGGGGAAACTGGCTGGTACCAAGAAATTTCCACTGTTCCTAGTCCAATCACCCTGAAATTAAAAATGATATTATAAAAGCAGCTTTTTGCTTCTGTTGCAACCTTGTCATCACTTGGAGCTACTTCACGGTTATTCCTATATAATAAATGTGGTAATGGTCGGACATCAATATTTGTATCATTTGACTCCGATTGGACCTGACAAGATTAAAAAAAATTTATTTTAATTGCGGATATCGAAAAGAAGATAATAAATTATCTCCCCTATTAGGAAAGATATTTTAAATATTAACCTTAATTGAGAACGCAGAAAGAACGTTGTTTTTGCCATTCCATAAATCTAACTCAAAGCCACTCTGACGAATATTTTGATGTCGTTCACTTGGTGCGATAGAATTTCTCTGTACAAATCATAAATAAATACGTATAATTAAAAAATAAATAAGCTACCCTTAAAAGAATATCAACCAAATCGGGAGACTGTTTTTCCTGAGGAATTTTTTGACCTTCTAAAATAATCAACTGCTCAACAGGGAACTTTTCGCTAGGTTTTCCTGCCTAAAAATTAGTATATATTTGATATATTCAATAATAAATCACCGGGTGAACTCCAGGAAATTGCAAATTATTAAGACGTATATTTTTCGTGTCATTGAAATAATCGATCAACGATACCAAACAGACTTCACCATCAATTGTTCTCTCAAACCTAGAATTAAGAAAAAAATAAAAAATTATAATGCTTAATTTAAAAACATACTTCTCTTCACATAAAGGCTTGTCTCCAAATCCTCCAATAGAAAAAATTCGGCTCCGGTTATATGCGCATTGAACTTTAACTCCGCGTAAAAAATTAAACAGCTTCTCCATACTATCAGACTGATTATTGCAATAACGCATAAAGTCATTAATTGTTTTTTCTACAGTTTGACTTGTCAAAAAAGCAGAGACTTTTGCTTAAAATTATCAACATTTTTGAGTATAATATTAAATTATTTTACCATCCAAAACCACAGCTGCTTGTACCTTTCCATTATTATTACCCTTAACAATACGAACTCCTTTGCATATACCAGAATGGAAGGTTATATGATTTGCGCGAAAATAAGGGCATCCATCGGGTATCCGTTTAAAGAGACGGCCACTTCCCAAGGAAATAAACTTGTCACTAAAATTAAACTGAATTAAGAAACAATTCAGCAAAACCTTTCCAAAGTCTTCTGGGCAATAGCCAATTCCAAAAAAGTGCGTAAAGACCGATCTTCTTGTATTAGTGAAGTATTTCCTTCATATTGACTCAAATCGCTCAAATCCAAAACACGATTATCGGTCTGACATGGCTTGAGTATAACCTAAATTGTAAAAAAAACTAAAAAATAACAAAGGTATACAAACATTAAATTTTGTCTTTCTGTCAAATGTTTGCTGAATTAATTTGCTCACTTCAGAATAGGAGATGGAAACGGCATCACACTGAATAAATAAATTGAGAATAAAAATTTTATGAGTAAAACCTTCTGCAATTCAGCTGACGAGTAAAAAATAGAACGTCCATCATATACATAAGCATTGGGCGGCGATAGAAGGCAGTTCGTTTTCACATAAATACCAACCAATTCAGAACTGATCCGGCGATTAAGATCGACTAAAGATTAAAAAGTTGATAGAAAACTTTAGAATAAATTAAACCTGATCCTTTAGTTAAACTCCACCCTTTGTTTGGATTGTCAGAAGCCATGATTTCAACATCTATAAATTAAAAATAAACTGAAAAGAGTAAAGACAAACCATATCTATAAGCTTTTTTTCCTTGATCTACATCAATTAAGAATATTGAAGATAATCCAGGTTTTGAAGAAATATTGTCATTTGAAGCGCGGAGATTACTAAAAATAAAAAATTATAAAAGTCTAATAATTAAAAAAATATTTTCTAAATATTGAAGTAACCTTGACGAAGACATTGTTAAATCTATTCAGTTGCTTTGCACACCAATTTAGAGTTAGTTTAGATTAATCTTAAAAATATAAGGAAAATTAAATTATAAAAAACTGAATTTTTTCGATAAAATAAATCGTATATAAACCCCTTTAAAATACGAATAATGTATGGAATTTGTTTAAAATCAAATTCTGGACACGAATAATTAAAACAAAATTACTTTCCTTTCTAAAAATACAGAGATGGACAAGTAATACGAAATATCAGAGACACGTCTAAAACGGCGCGCAGTCATAAAGGCGCAAAGCCGTAACCTGCTTCAGGACTACCCAATCTTACCAAATGTAGTATTAAACGACTCCTCTCATCGAGCTAAAGAGATTGAAGCCAAAATTGATAAGCGTCTGAAATTTTCCAGCTAGTCATAGCTTTGCGCCGTTATGGCCGTGCGCCGATTCGGGCTGTACCAAAAAATATCACGTGCATAATTGACGAAATATTTTAAGAAAATTTAACCAAAAATTCTCAAAAAGGAAACCAATTTTAGCTTTATTACTAGAATAATTATTCCAAGACGTAAAGAAATTTTTAGAATTTTTACCAAAACAACTCTTACATTTCTATGTGCACAGAATAATTTTTGTAAAAATAACCTGATTATGAATTAATAGTTAAGAAGCATCAATAAGAAATTAAACACCAATAGGAATTAACAAGGGCCGAAGTTGAAAGAAAAATTAAAAATTAAAAACCTTAAAAAGAAAATTTAAAGTCAAAATTATAAACATAAAAACAGGCAAAAAAAAATAAATTAAAAGATGAAAGAGAATATGGGGAATCATGATTGGGGAAAAATATTATTTGTAAATAATGCACTTTAAGCAAGCGTGTAACTGAGTCATAAGAACTTAAAACGACGACAGTTAAATTGATAGCATCTACATAATATCACGTGAATCAGAACGTGTACAAAACGTTCAAAGCTCCAGCTCGTCTTGTTCCTAACTGAAATTAGAATGCTGCAAAATCGCATTCCCAGGATCCCCTAATGGGATTCTTTTCAAGATTTTTAAGGGACGGGATCCCGCGGGATTAATCCCGTAAATCCCGTTTGTAAAGAACAACCATATCCGAGATGGGATCCGTAAAATCCAGTACGGGTCCCGTCCCGCACTCTAACTGAACTTCTTTTTGAGACTGAAACAACCCGCGAACTGAAGGGAAAAGCCGGTTCAGTATCGCCGATTCATTATCCGCCGATTCAGTTTTCTTGTTACAATTTTCTTGTTCTTGATCGATCCGAATAATTCTAATATCATTCGAAGGTCTCGAGATTCGACATCTTTTTCATAATTATTATTTTACTCTGATCTCAAAATTTAGCAAAATAGTTAAACCTTAGTGTTTGAAATTTTGAACAGAAACCCAAATGAAACGTCGTCATTCTTTATCAAACCGTCAAACACGATACAGTAATGGTCAATTAAATGAATTTTGTACAAATGGATCAAACTATTTATCGTCGGAACAAGTTATTAAAGTAAGCAATTATAATTTTTGAGATTTTTTTTTAATTTTAGCAACGCTCACATTCAGCGCCACCAGATTATCAAGAAGAAGCATTTTCTCAGAAACAAAAAGTTAAGGTTTTATATTTCTATTATATGACAAAAATATTAATTAATAGGAATTATCTAAAGAGCAAAGTAGAAGGGGTGCCGCTCGAAGAGAAAGACGGAAAAGTAGAAGAATTCAACTCAGGAATGAACAGAAAGCGTTGAAAGAATTGAAAAGAATTGAGAAAAAGAAAGAAAAGAAGAAAGAGCGTCGTGATAGAGGATGTGGAATTCCGGACAGGTTTAAAAATTTTTTAAAATTCCTATTTTTTTAAAGATGGCTTAAATATTCTGTTGCTGGCCTAACACCGATTGAAGGTACTCGTTTCATTGCTTTCAAGACTCCCTTACATCCGTATTTCTTCGCTTCGGAAGTGACAGAGAGACACCGTTTTGACGTTGATGCGATCGTTAATCATGTTAGTTTTATTCTTTAATAGGAAATAATGTTGTTTCCGGTCTCTATTTTTTCCTCCCAAACTTTTTTCCATATACAGTCGTCGACATAAAGATAGGGACAAGAGTAATTAAAATAAAAATCAACTATTTCTCGGTCAAAAAATACGTTCTTTATAGCAATCGAAAGCTCTATTCGTATCTCAGTTGACATGTTTCTACATTTTTTATGAAAATGAAAACTGGCCGAGATATCCGGATTAAGCCGGATATCCCAAATCCTATATCCGCGGAAAAATTTTTCGGAAAATATTTGTAAATGGAATTTGATAAAGCATATTTTTGTGAGTATTTACCACAAAACCGCTTAGAAATATCTGGTAATATTGAAGAGTATGGGCCCCATTTTTTCCTCCCTATTTTTCCCCTATATATTTACAAAATGGTCAGACTTTTTCCTTCTTTCCATCCAATTTGCCTTTCTAATTTTTGCCTTGAAACAAAGAAAAAGGATTATTTTTTGATATTTAACAAGTATGAGTTTTGGGAAGACTCATTTTCTCTATTAAAACGGGAAATAAAATATCAAAAATATCCTTTTTTTTTGTTTCAAGGCAAAAATTAGAAAGGCAAATTGGATGGAAGGAAGGAAAAAGTCTGACCATTTTGTAAATATATAGGGGAAAAATAGGGAGGAAAAAATGGGGCCCATACTCTTCAATATTACCAAATATCTTTTTCCGGAACGGAGATATGAATTTTTGAAAATGGCATTTTTTGCTTAAAAATTGAATTTTTTGCAAAAATAGGCTAAAAATGCCATTTTCAAAAAATCATATCTCTGGTCCGGAGAAAGATATTTCTAAGCGGTTTTGTGGCAAGTACTCACAAAAATATGCTTTATCAAATGGGTTCGTTAAATTTTTTCCGAAAAATTTTTCCGAGGATATAGGATTTGGTATATCCGGTAGATCCGGATTATCTCGGTCAATTTTCAATTTCATGAAAAATGCAGAAATATGTCAACTGAGATACGAATAGATCTTTCGATTGATATATAGAACGTATTTTTTGACTGAAAAATAGTTAATTTGCATTTAAATTACTCTTGTCCCTATCTTTATGTCCACTACTGTATCTACAGAATTGTCAGATTTTTCCCTTTCTTCAATTCCAATTGCTTTTCTATATTTTGCCTTGCGAAAGAATTTAATAAAAAATAATCCTTTTTGATCGTTTGTAGGCAAATATACAAAAGCAATTGCTGTAGGAAAGTGAAATGTCTGACCGTCCTGTACATAAATGTAAAAAACTTAAGGAAGAAAAATGACGTGAAATGACACTAACACTAAACACACAAACTGCGATTCGAATAAAAATAAATTTTAAAATTTAGATAGCCTCACAAAATAAAACGCTTGGTCTAGTGATTGATCTCACTGACACAAATCGTTATTATGATCCTACTAGATGGATAAAACACAAGGTAATTAATAAAGTAATGATTTAGAAAAATTATTTAGGTTGCCTATAACAAGTTAAACTGTCCTGGACATCAGGTGAATCGCAGTGAATTTTTCTTTGAGACATTCCATCAACTAATCAAAAATTTTATTGCTCAAAATGTTGATAATGGTAACTTTGTGAATTTGAAAAAATTTATTTTCTTTAACAGACAAACTTATTGGAGTCCACTGCACACATGGATTGGTTTCTTTATAGTTAATATTTTTAAATATTTTTATTTTAAGAACAGAACTGGTTACTTGATTTGCCGATATTTAATACAAGAGGACAATTGGAGTGCTACACAAGCAATTGAAAGCTTTGGATCTGCAAGAGGTTACCCTATAGAACGAGGTGCGTATATACAATCCTTGTACAAGATTGAGAAGATGATGAATCCCGACTGATTGTGATGAGGTTGATTTGATTTGTCATTTTTTAAACTTAAGGCTTATTCGAAACTTATTATCCTACTTTTGTGGCATTTGTTTGTTTATTTTTAATATTGATAAAAATAAAACAGTGGAAATTTTCCAAATCTAGATAAATAAAGGCATAAAGTCGCCTCTCTCAATTGGCCTTGCCTAATTCGTCTCACTGAACAAAAACCACGATTCGTCCCCTGAATAAAAATCTTTAATTCCTCCCACTAGAATTCATCCCATCTCAAAATGTCCAATAGTGCAAAATTCAACTCGTCAACAAATTTGCCTGTGACTGTATACTTTGCCGTTCTAAATCCCATTTGTACATTAAAACAACCAAGTTTTTATAAATTTTAATTCGCTTCAAAAACGTAAAAATAATTAATAAAATTAAAATACACGTATATTAAAATTAGCTGTATAATAAAGCGGCAAGATGTACTAAATATCTCTTTATATTTGTCAGTAAAGATGGATATATTCTTGAAATTCCAAAAGATTTATGGCATAAAGTCGGTAGATTCTCAGGAAAAGACTTTGAAATTTCCTAAAATTTAATGAGGAACAAATTATAGTTAAATAACACTCACATGGAATGATTTTCCACGTGTTTCAGGTAACAGTTTTGAAACAACAATTATGTATATCACATTCATGGCAGCAAACGGAAGAAGGACATACTCAATGCCCCATTGGTTCATTAAAGGAAGTGCTATTGTCGTTAGAAACCCTCCAAAAAGATTCTAGAATAATACATTCCAATAGAATAATCCGTAAGTTATTCATATACCTGTGTCATTCCAATTAATGCAGTGCCCATTATACGATCCTTTTGCGGAAACAATTCTGGAACAATGCTGTAAGCGCTCGCGCTAGCGACTGCGGCATTGCATAAATCTAGAGCTGCAATTACCGGGAGATCTAAATTGGCATAAAATTATGTTGATTAATATGTAAAAAACAAACGTTTTGGACTTATTAGAGCCCCAGAGCTAAGAACAACATAAATTGATATTAGGGCGCAAAACACACTACCAATAGTTGGTAAAATAAGTAATTGCCTTCGAGAAATCTCTTCAAAGCAAAACAGTAGAGCAATGGAAATCATTGCCTCAAGATAGAAAAATTTGACATTAAAAATTTGGATACTTCAAGTACCTGAGGGATTGACATCCAAAGTGAAGATTTTTGAGCTATTACGGTTGGCACTCCAGCATTCTCAAAAGCTTGGGTAGAATAGGAGATCCAGAGCTATAATTTTTTAAAAATCTATTGAAAATTCCCTGCTAACCCAATCATCCAAATGTGTAAAAGTTAAAATAAATGCACCAAGCATTAGCGGATAAACAAATTTCCCAGTTGAAAATCGTGATTTCATTATAATTAAGGCATTAGCACTAACATTTTGTTTCAACAAAAAATGTTCCTCACGATATTGTTCCGATAATTCAGTTCGAATATCTTTCATAGAGACGATCCAATCCTCGGAATTCTTTTAAAAATTAACAACAATGAATTTTGGAAGAACCTGATAGAATTGAAGAGACTTTAAAGCTTTGTCCTCCTTGCCTGAAGTAAGTAATGCTCTTGGCGAATCTGGCGCTGTTGCAAGGAAAAACATTGCAAATGGTATAATTAAAACAGGAAAGCCAAGGGCAATGTGCCATTTATCAGGTGTGCCAAGGACCTGAATAGGATGAATATGCACGTTTTAGCCCTTTAACTTTGTACTTACATTATTCAGGCTTATACACATGCCAAATAATTCACCAAGACAAGCCCAAACAGTCAAAGAGGCAAGTGCAATTCCCCTTTGCCGAATAGGAGGTATTTCTGCGAGCATTGCGGCACCAACAATCTAAAACATACATACGTAATAATTTGTGCTTGTTTGTATTTTAATCACACGTGTGCTATTCCAGACCCAATTCCACTTAAAAATCGGCCAATAAATGCCAACTGGATACCGATTTGTGGCTGCCGGATAAGTGATGAGAGAGCACCACCCAACAAATTGAGCAAAAAGGCGAAGAGAAGGGGCCTAAGAATTTATGAGAAAGTAGATAAATCTGTCGTATGAGCCGCAAGAGAGATCAGTAAGGGGTCGAGCTGTCAAAACAATTCTTTACCGTTTCCTGTTTTGGAGATTAGAAATAAGAAAAACTCCAAAGCACCCGAACGCAAGGCCATAAATTCGAGCCGAGACTATCCAACTCCATGCGAGATCGGCTTAAAAATTTTTTGAGATTAAATAATTGCGGGTATCTCTCACCCTCAGCTTCTGAGCCGTATAGATTGATAAGATAATTGCGTGCAACTGGAATCAGATTGTCAACAACACTATCGAGGGATACCTTAATTGCTAATAAGTTGAAGGTGCCACTAGAATATGACATCCCTTACAAGAAACATAGAACCAGCTCCAATACTGAGCACCACAGAAATCATTCTCATTCTAGCCATAAATTGGCAATTCTTATTTGAAAAATTATTTGATTTATCTGAGCGTTTAGCAGTTGTAGAAACAACAGCTGGCAGCTTTATATTCATTAAAACAGGAGATGAACTCCCATTCTCTCCTTTGTGTGAATTCTGAATATATTTAAAAATATTTAAATTTCATTTTAGAACACTAATAAAAACAAAATATTTTTTGAAATAAAAATGGATTAAAAATGTACTGAGAGAATAAAATAAATAATATTTATTTTAGATTTAATCGCGTTTATTTTTTATTTACTAACAATGTTGGTGATTACCAACTTTTTTCTTTAGATTACGAGAAAACGTGGCAGTTTTTATTGTTTTTTGTCATTAAAATATAAAAAATAAACTCAAAAAATTTTTGAAATTAGAAAGTATAGGGTAGATAATCTATCAAAATTATTAAAATATGTACAAATCCTACGTTGTTGCTTTCAGCAAGGCTCATTGCAGAATTCATTTAGTCAACAATCAAACATTCAAATTGTTTTTCGAAATTTATGAAGGATTAAATAGTATGTTATTAGTAAAATAGTAGATTAGATCAACATGTAGTCTTTAACAAATTGGTACTTATCCGTTATACGCCCACGAACTGAGTGTCAGTCGAATTTGATCGACTACAACTTTTCTAAGGATTGATTAGAGCTGATTTATCCTATTAGAAAAAAGATACAGCTTATCGAGGGCTTTTAAATGATATAAAATTCATCTGTATTAGATCAAGCATCAAAATGCTGGATCTAGCCGCAAGTCGGTTGGCACTAATTTGTAAGTTTGTGAGAGTATAACGGATAAGTAACAGAAAATCTTACTAATCCAAAATTTAAATTGACTGTATTGAGCATTTTAATTACAAAAATTATAAAAAACTTTTAGAGAAAAAATAAAATTTTGTTTATCGAATAAAATTATTCTATGAATGACTCCATTAAATTTTGGATTGTAAATAAAAATGGATTGGAAATAAAGTGATGAAACATACATAAATTTACTTTATGGTGGCTTTATGGCTTTTTTCGATATATGAAAGAATACTTAGGTACACTTTTCAAAATACCTGAAAAATGGGAAAAAATAAAGCTGAACAATCATAAAAATATTTTGTAAAATAAAAATTGAAAAATGAATAAAGCAAATTTAATTCTGGAATTAAATCAGAGATTAAATGATGGGATCGATCTGTTTATTTACATATCTATGATTGAGTTAATCATTCATAGTAAAGTATTTAATTAGTAAAATTGAATAAATTAGAAGGTTACTAATTACTGATTTACACATTCATTTACAATTAAAAATGCATCCATGTTGACTAGTTATAATGGTCTAGGATAGTTCTGTTACTTTAAGAGTCATTAAATGGTCGAATTATTATTTTGGAAAAAGATGAATAGATTCTTCAAATGAACTCTATTTAATCACATTTTGATCTTTATATTTACACGAAAAAAAGTTGGAATGGAATGACTTATAGATGGCATCATCTCCAAATAAATAATTACGCTAGCATAAAGCTGCTTTTATTTTCATTCTCGTTTTCAAATATTTTATAATGCTAATAGACTATACTAAATAATATTAATGGATAAATTTAAAAAATTGATACATGTACTATACCCACATTTTACTATTCTTAAAGAGTAAAATGTCGAGTAAAATGTGACTATTTTTGAAGACTTAATGGAAATATTTAAAGGATTTTCTATTGATACTTTTCCGTTATGCCTACTACTTTGCTTTATCAATATCTCATTGAATATGCCATAGGGAAATTGAGTAAAATTGAATGAAAATTAGAGGGTATCAAGGAATTTTTGAAAGGATCTTAGTTCTTAAATATGAAAGCACAGTATAATTTTCCCCAATAATGTGGAGACCTCAAAATGTCCTAGACTAACCATAAATAAGTCATTTCATTGCTAGAATATATTTTTATTTTCATACTGTAGTATAAGCTAATTAATTTTCATTAATAAATTTTAATTAAAATATTTAATTAATTAAAATATCTGTTTTATTCTGTGTGGCATTTTTAGCTATATGAATAGCTTTATTAAATTTTAATCCTTTTTCCATTGTAGTAAATTTAATTTTGCTTAAATATTGGTACATGTTTAATTATTTATTTAAAATAGCTTTGTATTCTTCGAATTAATATGTGGCTTGGTAATATTAATAAATCTTTTTACTCGCTACTATTAATTTGGCCAAAAGAATAAGAATGATTGTTTTAAGCTATGACTAAATCTGCTTTTAATTAAAAATATTGTTCATTATTTACTTCTATACGCATTTCCTGTCAATATTTGTTTATAAAAATAAATTTAATTCTACCTAGGAATATTTTTTAAACATTTATTATATTAATTTTTACATACTTAGATATGTATTCGATTCAGCTTATCGAGGCGCATCGAATCATACCAGATCCTGGATTGACAAATTTGAACGCTGAGATCACGGTACGTTGACCTGTTCCCGTCCACAATGCTGTACTTATTCTCAAAACCCAAACTACAGATTCCCAGTTTGGATATCAAATGTTCGGTCCTTTTCTGCTTATCTTTCCCCATAATTATTTCGGAATCACTCTCGAGATAGAAATATGCTTTTTAAATATATGTAATTATGTATTTTCTTAGAATAATTATTTTTTATAATTATTTTTAAAAATTAAATTAGCAATCTAAAAATTAAAACCTCAAAATAGAAAACAGCAATTTAAATAAAAGTAATTATATACTAGGTACGTTAAAAAATTTTTTTATAAAGCTTCAATTTTAGCAACATTCATTTGTAATTAAAGTAAATATTTTTTTGTTTTATTATTGAAATTTATTATGTGTTCTGTTTATTATTTTTAAATATTCTATGCTAAAATATACTTACGTAAACTTCCAAAAATTTAATGAGATGCGTAATATTCCCTAGGAATCATTTTATGCAATTATTTGAAAGCTTTACGTATATAACTTGGCAAAAATAAATTTTCTGAAATAAATCTTCATGTTTCATTCTAGGATTATTTCTTTAGTTTTACGTAAATACTACTAAAATAATATGCCTACTTTGAACGATACAGAATCAAATAAAAGTGTCAGATTTGGTATGTTATCTTTAATTAAATTTAAGGTTGGCGTTCAGGACATCCAAAAGTGAAAAAAGACCATGTATCCGTATCATCGGTTCGGTTATCGGTTCCTGATACCTGAAGATTTCCCAGGACAGCCAACATTAATGCCAACCTGTTCAATTAAATTATAATCATTAATTTAATAATATAAAGACACTGTGCGCACAATATATTCTATAAGTGCGGGATTGAGTTTTAGTCTTGGCATAATTTTGAACATGCTTCTTGCTTGGCTAATTCTAACTAAAACAGTGAAGGCTATGCGCATGTACTCGCGCCTGCTTCTTCACTCATGTCTTATGGCTAGTTTCTTAAAAGTATTTTTTTTACCTTACAATCTTCAGGATATTCTAATCGTTATTGTATCTACGCTCGTTCAGCCTATTCCGGTAAAATTAAAAAAAACTTAGATGAAATTAATTTTTCTACTCAAAAAATAGATTGTTGATCATGGATACCGCGCTCTATTCCAAAATGGAGTTTTCCGAAACCTATTGCCACAACCCTATGCATATATGGTAATTAGGACATTCGAATATCTGGTTTATATTTTAAAATTCAAGTTGAATGTCCTCTGGATTCAACTTCTGCTATTTTTTCTAGCTTCTACTACAGCGCAGTTCATCTTCCGATACTTTCTTCTTTCTAAGTTATATTTCTAGTTATTTGATCATTCAAAATTTATTCAGAGATGGCCATATTCCTCGAAGCTTGATCTGGCTTATGGGCGTCCTGGCTTTCCTTTTAAACTTATTTCACATTATTTTACTCGCTTGGGCTGATTATCCACGCCCTAACTATTACGAAAAAATGGAAGAATTATCAAAACTCGTCACCCAAGAAGCTGGCATTACAGACGTTAAATTCTCCTCATTTACCTGGGCTGTAAGTTTAAACAAAATTTTTGGATGACAATATTTCTTAATAAACTTAGCGCTCATTTCCATGGTTGATGCATTGTGTCATCATGGTCTTCCTCTTCTCTACTTGCTATGCCGTAATCACGGTAATATAACTAACAATTTTTGTATCTTCCTATCTAACTAAAAGATTTGTGTATTCAAAATCCGTAAGTATGTGCGCGAGGCATTCACCCTTAGTGTGGATATAGGTGAAAAGGATCTTTCGTTGGAAAAGCTGAAAATGGAACGTTTACGTGATTACAATAATCAGCTTACTTATGCTCTTATTGTTCAGGTAAGATTAGAAAACAAGCCTAGTTTAATCTTGCCCTCACAAGGCAATTCTCCCTACATTCGAAGTGATCGCAATGAGCACACAAATTCTACTCCCAATTTTTTACCCAACTGGAACTACTGTATTTATCATTGTCTATACAGTTATACCGCTATATTTTGCCCCGGTTTGTTTATATTCAATGAAATTTTTAAAATAAATCCATCCGTATTGTAAATTTTGAGGTAATTAATCCCCTGTCCACAATCTTCTTGGTAAAACCCTATCGCCGAGCTGTTATAAACAAAATTTTTGGTAGAAACAACGGTGAGATGACACATGCAACTATAAAAAATAATACAGGAATGCCAACAAGTAAGGATCAGCAACGGTCTTTTAATACTGTTGCACCTATGGAACAAGGAGGAGCATCTAGTATCAAATGCTTAAATAAATCTAGAAATATCTTATTTTAGATTAAGTTGACGTTAAGGATATATCTGATAGTAAGAAATTTAATCTGAAGATGAAGATTGAAAAGGATAAACATCTGAACTTGAACTGAAGATCTGATTATTTGTTTAGTGAGTGTAGTTGTTCCAATTTTCCTATTATGTAATTTCCTTTTTTAAATTTAAAATTTTCTCCTACTACAACAATTGTACTCATAGACTTTTATAAAAAAATTTTATTTGAATAAATTTAGATGATTTATAGAAATTGTAGTTCCGCGTCAGTCGGTAATCCCGCTAACTTTGTTTTATACTGATTGAACATCTCCCTAAGCCTGAGGCAGTATTCAGCATGAACTTCGTCCACTAACTCTTCGCTAGGGTTCTCATTCTTTTTCACAGGGATTGGTGCTCCAACTGATAAAATTATTTATTTAACTTTAAAGTTGAGGGAGCTTACCAACGGTGACCACCTTATTCCTGAAGGGGAGAAGTCCAATAGTTAACATTCTAGGCAGTCTGTGGATATAGTCAACTGGCAAAAAACTTGCTAAAAAATTTTGGCCATAGGCAAAAGGAAAAGCAACACTAGTCCACCGCTTTACGAGATTCTAATAAATGTTTATTTTCTAATAAAACAGGCTTAAACCTGAAATTTTCTTGCTAAACTGAATTCCTTGGTACTAATCTGCCGGAAAAGGCTGCTCTCGCCAAAGTGATAAACAGGGACCAAGGATGCACTAAAACAATGAATAATTAAAAATAGCTAATTATTTTAAGTGCGAGAATTTACCCATGCTTAATGGCCAAACGAACAAAGCCCTAAAATAATGATCTATAATTAAGATATATATAGAAATTTTATATAAAATATATCCTCACTTTTCTATTTTTTAGTATTATACGATGCACATTAGGGAAAGATTCTAATGATTCAGCAGCACCTCCAGGCACAATCCCGACAGCGTTCCCCATCTTTGGCCTACTTAACACGTAAGAAATTGATTCAGGATTGCAGCTTATTATGCCTGAATGATTTATGTAGATTTTTTTGTCGAAATAACCTCACCTAAGGCCATAAAAAATTCTCTCCTTATCGGAAACCAAAAATTAACTCCCAAAGTAGCACCATGCAAGTTAATGCCAGGAAACAATTTTTGAGTATTGTGAGCATTACTGGAGAATAGAAGCATGCTGCTAGAGCCAAGAATTCCGTGCGGATGGGCACTAAACTATTTAAAAATTGGTCAAAATTTAATCATTCAACCTAAAAATGTAGTTTTGTGTAGGAGGTATTTCAGCAGTTTTGTATATTTCAATAGGAAAATAATCAACTATATGCCTCCATATGCTCCAGTTTTTTACATATTCACTAGGCCTTGAACCACGGCAAGGTTGTTTTAAGTCATAAAGGTACCAGATGAGGTATAAACCAGCAAAAGGCCTTGAGAAATAAAATATTTTCTCTCCAGCTTTATTAAATCTAACCATAAAAGTGAGTAAAATCCAAAAAGTAGAAGAATTGAAATTATACAAAAAGGAGCGACAATTAATGTCCAGAGGCTGAAAAGCACAGCTAATGTTTGCTTTAGCCGATTTGAGAAATGTTTATGGCAGGGATATATTTCCTTGGAAAATTTTTTGGGAGATTTTGAGCTAGAATTGGAAGACATTTTAAAGTTTTTTGATGATTTAATAAAAGAGAGAATTAAAAATTTTAAGGACGATTATTGAAATTGAAGGTATTTGAAGGTGTTGATCATAAAAAAAAATTTTTCTTGTTTATCTTAATGATAATAAAAGTAATTAAAGTATGGGTAAACAAGTAAATAAATAATTTAAAATCATCATGTTTACTACCTTTTTGGAGTAATATCTCAAAATAATATCACAAAGCGAGTGGTAAATAATAAGGGTAAATTTACAATTAATGAACCATGTTTGTTTATAATTAGAAATTTTATAATTGATTAAAACTAAAATTGGTATTACTGATAATAAATAGGTTCACGTGAAAGTTTTCACGTAAAATAACAAACTACGCAAACAAAAAGTTGAATAGACAAATTGATCCAATAAATGTTTTGCTAAATAGATAAATATTTGGACAATTAATGATAAAAGTACAAAGGGCCTTTTTACTATTTTTATCATTTATGGCTAGAATAGATCACGCAACCGCTGGCGCGACCTGTTTTTATGAGGAAGGAAGCGGGAATGCAATTCAAAGATAATAATGATCTTTCATTGATAATTTTGTTTATCTTTAATTTTAAAATAATGATAACAAAAAATGATATAAGAATATTAAACAATGAGGAATCTCCCATTAATAAAAATTATCAATTAAGGCATGAAGTCGAAGAGGGATCACTTGCCAACCACGGACAATTCTGTAATAAAGTATTTTGAATTATGAAATGAAGCTCACAAATTACCAGATTTTGTTGCCCACAAGGATTATAGCCAATATAACAATACCAGTCATGGAAGAAAAAAAGCAACATAGTCGCTACCAAAAGTGAAATATAAAAAACTAATGAACATATTTCCAGTCTTCTAATGGCTAATTGCCAATCCCTATCCAAATCGTTTTGAGGGATTAAAGCTGAAATATCATTGCGAATTGAGTGGATAGTATCTGTAAGTCTGCTAAAGTTGAGAGCCATTCCTTCCAAGATATTTGTTTGTTGTATCTGTAATCTTTGTATGATTATAATCCTAAACATTTTGGACATATCTTCGTAGATATATACTAATTACTACCAAAAAATCCTACGTTATTTCCAGTCAAATATTTATAAAAAAACATTACCAGGTATCTGAGCTTTAATAGAGCCCGTGATCGAGCTTTTTCGAAAATTAAGTTTCAGTGAAAGCTTGAATCATTCTAATTATCCAGCTACCTTTGTAGCTAGCAATAAGGCTGGAACTACAAACCTCCAACATTGAGGTAACTAGCACTAAGCTTAAAATCCTCTCCAACCTTCTTCATTTTCGGCATCCACTGGGGGACACCCTCACCACAAAATATAAGTGAAACGATAACATTTACAAGAATAGGGCTAATTTCAAAAAACTTATTCTCTCCTTTATAAAAATCTTTAACGTGTTGTATTCTCTATGGAAAGGCATACTTAATTCCTTAATGTTACAATTATCTCTCATAGCCTTTCCTTTATTCTTTCCTTTTCCTGTTTTTCTCATCTTTTCTCTCAATTCCTACGTTATTTCCAGTCAAATATTTTATAAAACAGGTTTTATTTCTAAATTTTAAATAATAAAAGTCAACCAACCAAAGGACTTTCAGCGTGTAACAAACTATGTCGCTTTCTTTGGGATAAAGCTGCTGCTGCTGGTGAGGGAGGAGGTGGAGGAATTGGAGAATTCGATTTTCTAAGTTTAATCCCTTCACTTGAATTTAACTGTTCGTCCTTTCTCTTTTTGAATTTTTTATCTGGTTGACAATTTTCTTCAGGTTCTTCTACCATAACCTTTTTTCTTCTACTTAAAGCTTTATCTTGGCGAGAGCCCGAATCTCGATCACAAGAAATTAGCCTCAAAAGGCTAAGTGCCACATTTTGTGTAGTTGCATTAATATTAGAAATGGATCCACTAAGCCTATGTTGAACATTCAATAAACTTTGTCTATCATCTGTCAATAATTGCTGTTGGGAGGAAACAATACCAGAGCCCACAAAGCCATTTAAATGACCATGTGCTGGAGGGGTCTGGAATTTAAAATATATTTAACTTTAATTTACTGTTTAAACTATTGTAGAATGTATCTGTGTTGCTTCGTTTTCAAACGCGTGGGCCCTTCTCCGTTTGGTAGAAATCCCTCGAAAGCTTAAAACAGAATTTTAAGGAGTTAAGCTTGAGGACGTGTACCTCAATTGCTTCTTTTTCTTTTCAAACGTAATTAACCAACGTAGGTAAAAAGGAATCCGATTACGGATCCTTACATTACGCTCCATGTAAACAAACATCTTTAAGGTTAAAAAATTTTTTTTATAATTTCTAATTTCTCCTTAATTTTCCAATTAAAACATACAGAAGTAGTAACTGTAGAAAAGCTCACAATTACTAGCAACATAAAATAATAGAGACCTAGGAAATTTAAAAAACGGATAAATTTTCGTGCGTTAAGACACGAACCAATTAGAGGTATGCCAGAAAATGATCCCCGGCCTTTACGTTCTGACATACTAAATTTTGGCATATCCTGAACTATGGCTAACAGAATCCTTAAATTTTAGACGTTAGTTTTGAATCAGAAAAATAAAATTTTACATCGACATGGACATAAGCGTCATTATGCCTTGACGAAATTTTGCGTCTCTAAAATTATAAGAAGGTTAAAAATATTTTAATTAGCCTCATGCCGATTTTTCCCGCTGCTACTGGGAGTGTGGAAGCCAACGACAGCAACAAAAGCTTAATAAAAAAATTTTTAAATTTACTTTTATAAATCTATCTGTAAGTAATCTCTTACTGATCATAGCGCTAGGAATCACAAGATTAAAAACCTGAAAACTCCTTTAATATTAAATTAACTTAGAAATAATATTACATAATAAAATCTCTGTCTTGAGACCACCAAGTCAATAACCTTAATAATTTTAAAAATTATTTTATTATCATGCAATCAAATCAGCTTACAATCATTTCCCAGAAGAGGGGAGGATCTAAGTAATCGTACAAAAAACCATCTGAAGTTATATGGCTTTCTTTCTAAAAATAAATTTAGAAATAAAAAACTTCACGTAGCACTTGGCTATTTATTTACCAAATCTAGTTGCCATTCTTGATTATCATAAAAATCAATTAGTGACAAATTCTTGGAGTATAACTGAGAAAGGACAAGAATTTGATAATTAATAGGAATTTTGCTACCGAATATTTAATAGAATCATTCGAATGCGCCCAGGAACCGAGTAGCAAAGTGCATCGCTGACTAATAAATTTTTTTAATTTTAAAATTTTTTAAAAATATTTACATATCAAAAGGAAAGAATTTGACATCCATACTGCATAGGGATTCAGTCGAGAATGGAATCCAGTAACGAACATGCCCAGTAAAATTAACTCTTACATCGTTATTTGATTGTAATTTGACCTTAGATTTAATAAATTTCAATAATTATTATTTAATACTTACAGCATCGTTGAAATTAACAGAATAATAAAGCGAAAATTCAGGAATCCAAATATCAGTCGAAGCTTTAATTGATAAAATATACCAAACATTAATCAAGTTACCCAAAAATATCTCTGTGGCACCTTCATAAGTATCTGGTTCCCACTGCAAAAATTCGTCTTGCCAATACTAAATATATTTTTTGTAAATATTATATCAATCCCGTTACTAGCTAGCAATATAACAAGCTACAGCTATACAAATATGGCCAGTCCCGGCTGTCAATAAACAGCCGAATAGGGTAATTACACAACGGTGATCCTTCCAGCTTAAAATCTACTCCCCCAATATTTAATTTTTATTACCATTTCAAAGCTGCCAGAAAGTGAGATTGTATTCTTCACAGCATCGAGTTTGATAATTTGATATAGAAAGACTGAAAGATTAGATTTTAATTATCCAATTTAACAAGCTTTACCGCTCATAGAGACATTGATGATCTTGCTAGGATGAGTAACAGGTCGAGTGCCTTTGCGATAATAACGAAGTAAATCGTCATGTAATCGGTATGTAACAGGAATATCTTTTCGATGGAGAGAGCTAAAGATTTTTAAATAAAAAATTAATTCCGGACTTGGGGAAGCTTTTGGTGACCTTCCACTTTTAATTAAACTCAAGAGGAAAATTACCGAAAATTTTCTGGCAATAAATATTCCGAATGGCCAAAAGCCTCCCTTCCACTCCGACTGCTCTTCATTTTCCTTCTTTTAAAATTTTTTATTTCTTCTTCCGTTAAATCATCTTCATCCTCTTCCTCTTCCCTATAATCCCTCAATTCTTTATCAATTAATTCATAATAGAATTGCCTCCTTCTCGGCCTCCTTTCAACTGCCTTTAATTTTTCTGGAGAATTTAATTGAGAATTCTTTGCCAAAGAATATTTTAGGTTGTCAGTAAGGATAAAGTTGGGAAGGAAAACAATAAAAAGGCACACGTAAAGAATAACAAATCGGAGAAAAGAGCCGTTTATGGCTAATTTTAGTAATAACATTGAGCTGGAAATAAATATTAGTTGAACCTCATAAAATATGCAATAAGAGGCTGATAAAGCACGTAACGGATTAGGCGAGATTAATAAGATAATTATTATCTGTCATTATTTTATTTGAATAATGAAAGGTATTCAAATAAAAAGAGGTATTTTTAGAGCAAATAAAGGATATTTAATTAATCAAAAAGCATTAAAATATAACATCATTTTGAATATTTATTGATAAAAAATTACTCAAATTGAGTGTTCCTTCCAAATAGAAAATTTCTTTCAAAATTTAAATGAGTTTTTCTTCAGTTTTTTAATCTCTAGGGAATTTTAGCAAAATTGGAAATGTTGCCAATTATTCAATGAAATAAAACATTAAAATGAAAATAATTTAAGAATATTTTAAATTGGTATTAATTAATATAAAGGACATATAAAATAATTTTAATTAGTATTTTATTCAAGCATTTTATTGGGATGCCCTAAGGTCTGAAATCTTTTTATTTAAATTTATTTTAATTTTTATTTTCTTAGAGGGCTGCGCGATTTTGAAAATTAAAAATCCAGTAAAGGTTTCAGCTGTTTTAATTATCCCTCTTATCTCTAAACCTATTTTTACTGTATCATTTGAAGTTTAAAAAAATGCCGCTTTTAACTGGACCCCTTCCAGACGCATTTGCCAAATTGCTTGGAAGTTGGAGCCCAACTTTATAGCTTCTTCTTTCAATGGAGAAGATTATTTTTATGGAATGGACTAGTTAAAGGGTAATATTGAATTTCATATATGTATACCTTCAAAAGCGTTTATGAGAGTCTGAGTGTTTCTTTCCAAAACGCTTTAGCTTTAGCTAGAAGTGCCATTGAACTATAAGAAATAAACGTGAAAGGAAAATAGGCTTAAATTGAGTAGGGGAAAGAGAAAAAATTAAAATTGAAAGTAATTGACCTGTCTGGATGTTTAAAAAATGAAAAATATTTTTAATAAAATTAAATAAATTTAATTTTCCCTTAAACCTCAAAACTCTAAATAAATTGAACAATGAAAGTAAGAAATAAAAATGATGTAAAAAATTTTTTTGGCAGTTTCTGCACATTTTAGGATGCTTGTTGTTGTTAGATTTAGTAAAGTGAAGGAACTCAAATCCCTCGAGAACCATTTCAAAAAAATCAAAGAAAACAAAATTTTGGCATTAGCTAAAGAACGTTTTTTTGCTAAAAGAATAAAATTGAAAGAAGCTTGCCTCGAGAATTTTTTTAATTTTTAAATTAAAAATATTAAAGAAATGAAAAACCCCAAAGATGAAAAATAACCTAAAAAAGTAAGTTGATATTTAGTCATTAAGAATAAAAATAAAGAAGCTTCGTTTATTTATTCAGGGAATAGGCTCATTTTTTTAATTTAGCCTAAAGGAGTTTGCAGAAATATTAAAAGCAAACATGGGCAATATCAAATATTTAGTAAAGTGTCCAAGAAAGCAGCAGCAGAAAAAACCTATCGGTATCGGCTCGTTTGCTGCACGCATCGAGTGGGAGCTTGATTTGTGCTCTGAAACATAGCCTATGGTTTTTGGCAAATTTTTCGAGTTGGCAAGATTGCGGACACGCTGTAGCCCTATCCAAGAAGGGCAGTAACCCCTTCAATACCAGAAAGATTTTTTGTTTAATGTGCCGTCTGGCACATTAAAAACACATCTGTCACAAAGGTAATTAAATTTGCTTTATTAAAATATTAAAAAACGTGTTCGTTCTCAATTTCCGTTGCCCACTCATTTCTTACTAAATTTCCTCGTACAAATATTATTAATTAGATTGCTTATATTAAAATTGCACCTGCGGCACGCGATTGTCTGTACTAATTTCAATAAAAAGGAAAATAAGAAATATGAAACTGAAAGAGGATACAACGAAACATCCAGCTGCTATGTCTATGGATATCGTGATAATTCACTTAATGATTCATCAATGATCTTTTTTAGAAGTTCAAGTTTTTTAAATAACTGGTGAATAATGCAATGCCCTCACCCCTGGCAAGAAGTACGTGTGCGAACAAATCCAAAATTACGAAGCAATGCCTGCTAGAGTGAAACTATGATGTTTTTTATCATTATTATTTTTTCTATTCAAAAAAAAAAACAAAAAAAAACTAGCCTATTATAATAATGAGGCTAAATTATGCATAAATAGCTTCCTTTAATTATACTAAAAATGAGGGAAGGAGGATATATTTTGACGAATTTTTGTTTATTTTCGTCTCAATTTTCAGTTTATACTGAGGAAATTGGGAAATTTTTTTTAAAAATTTTGGTAGTCTGGAAATAATCATGCAAAGGGGTTCAGTCAGAAGTATTGAGTCTGCTATATAGGAGATATATGGAAATGAGATATGAAATATAGAAGATTAACTCTAAACAGAAAGTTCGAGTTCGAGATTAAAGAAATTAAATGAAAAGTTTTTAAATTAATTAAAAATTCATTAACGGATGCCAGGAAATAATTGAACATTAAAGTGCAAAAACAAACAAACAGATAAACAAGTAATGAATGTTAAAAAAGCTTTAAATAACAGCATAATAATTCTATTCCCTTGGGAAACTAAGGGAATGCTTAAAATGAAAATATGAACTCATTGTTAGAGGTGAAGAAAAAATGGAAATTGAGGAGAATATACTAAATGTTTGTTCAAGTTTTTTCAAGAAAGCTTTCTTCTTTAAAACTTTTGTTTTTTTAAAGAATGCAAATTGGCACTAAAAAATATTTAAATAATTTATTTACTTGGCAACATCATCCAAGTATTTTTATTATTGTTTGGCACTTGAAGGAATCATTGACTTATGAAAGGAATAAATGACGTTACAAAAATAGAGGGGTGGAAATGAAAGTAATTGAAATAAAAAGGTCAAAAGTTTGGCTTGAAAGACGTGACTGGGGAAGTAAATTTGGCAATCAAAACATTCAATCCCGGGAGTTCAAGAATAAAATATTAGTTAAACATAGAAACATAATGCGACTATGCTTTATTGACAGTCTTCTAAAATAAATAATTAGTAAAAAAATTTTAAAGGAAGTAAAGAAAATTAAAAGGGTATTCATTAAATCCTCTTCTTTTTTAAAATTCATAGCCGCTATTTAAGCGAGAAAGCTGTTGTAATTTAAACATTAAAATATTAAGAATCTAGGAGAGGTAAAAGATGCAGGAATGGGATTTAAAAAATTAACATAACAAAAACTTAAAGAAAAAATTTCAGAGCATCTAGCATTAATGTTTGGCATTGAATAAATTAATTAAACGCCTGATTTATTGGATTTTCAGACATGTGTTTAAATGTCTGACTTAACCGCCTGATGCTTGTCAGGCGCTTAAATCGCCTGACTTAGCCGTGATGCTTGTCAGGCGCTTAAATTTCATGACAACCGCCTGATTCTTGTCAGGCGCTTAAATCGCCTGACTTGTCCGTGATGCTTGTCAGCTGCTTAAATCGCCTGACCTAGCCGCCTGACTTAAGCGTCTGACATGTCAGGCATTTTCATAACCTTTGTCTATATAGGGATTTTAACGTGAAGCGTCTGACTTGGCCTTTTCGTGCGTTCGCGTCTTAGAAAGGACGCCCACTAAATTTTGGCCTTTAAAACGCCATTTGGAAGATGTTGTGAGGAGTCAGTCAGTAAATAGTAAGGGGAAGTCTTCATATTAATAGAATGTTTGAAGATTTTGTTTTTCTAGTTATATAAAGATATTCTTTTTAGATGCTTAAAGTGGCATCAATGTTTTACTTGATGATTCCGTTCCTTATTCTGTTGTGCTCCTTCTTTCAAAATTGTGGTGCACCACAAGCAGCTGTAAGCAGTTTGAATGGAATTAGCATTCCACATAAAACAATTAATGCAGCAAAAACACAAATGGGAAGTTTGGGCAATACTCATGTGAATCATGTTCCTTTCCCAAGAAACCAAAATTTCAACAAATCTGGCATTGGTTTGACTGTAAGTGGCCCAAAACAGCCCGTTCTTCGTACCTCCGCAAAACACGATAATCAGGATTTGTTCAGCAATGACGAAAACAACGATGATGGTAAGTAAATGCCTTGTCAAATCCTTCAGATTTGAAAATATATTTTTTATTTATTAACCTTTGGCCGAAATTTTGTCCATATATTTTTGTCTTTATTTTTAAGCCCGCTCAAAAAAATGTTAATTATGGCGGGCCAAAAGGCCTTTTTTGAACCTTGCATCCCTGCTCTTTTTCTCCCCATTCTTTTAAATCTCAGGCCCGCTCAATTTAACTAGGAAAAGCCCTATTGTATTTTTGTGTATTTTGATTCGGCCTTAAATATGTCCTATCTCTTCCCTTTCGTCTATCTTTGCAACCCTTTGCACTGGTTGTTTTGGCCAACTAATTTTGAATTAAAATGTGCAAACACCTCCCTCTTTTTGCACATTAAAGCCCGAATATAAAAAATGGAAAAGTGAGCAGTTTGGCTCAGTTTTTTGAACTTCTTACTCATTCCTTCCCCCAGAAAAGAGTTGTTCCCCGTTCAGTTAGATTTGAAGATTTGCCCCTTTTTATTTTCTTGATATAAGTTTGTTCTCTAAAAGATTTGGCCCCATATTTTGTTAAAAGAAAAGATAATATTCTGTTACTTTAAATTTGTTTGTCCCCTTCTTTTGTTTGGATTTTAAAGAGATTATTTTGTTAACTTTACTTATTGGTTTGGAAATAAAATTGTTAAAGCTTTGTTAAATCATTGAAGATTAAAGTTATTTTTGAGTTCAATGTATTTTCCCTCCCATTTATTAAAATTCTTTTTAGAATTTTACAGCTCAGCCGGTGACCACCCGAGACCTATTTCTAATTCACACTTTTTAGAATATATGTATTTTTTCCCTTGATATTTTTATTGTCCGTTAGTATTTAAAAGGTTATATTTTGTTTGATTTTAAAATTCCGAGTTATTTATTTGTTTTAAATGAAATGTCACTAGCTTATAGAAATCAATTGTCCCAGCTTTGTTCCCTCACTAAAGAAATACTTCTTCCTAGCCCCTTCTCTTTTCTAATAGAAGATTATGATAATTTGAAAACCCAATCTCTCGAATCTACTCAGGCTTTAATTAATGAAATAGACCTTACCTCCCAAGAGATTACCAAAATCCTAAATGACTTTAAAATGGCCCATAATTCATGGCAAGATTTAAGAATTTCAATGTCAGAAACTGAAAGGGCAGCCGATAGCCAAATCCTAGAGAAATTCCTTCAAGAAACAAATTACATAAAAGTTATGTACGACCTTAAACGGTATCTACGAAAGCTTCGGAATTCCCGACATGAATTAGAAAGTAACTTACCGAAAATTGAACCCCCATTGGACCATTCTCATCTCCTTCCTGAACTTCCTCTTTTAAACCCTTCCCAGAATAAGCAATTCAATGAAAATACTCAAACCTCATTAAAATCAGTTTATGCAAATTCTATGGATAATTCTTATCGAAACCGGCCACCTATTCAATCTAATTTGTTTTTAAATCCCCCAGCTAAAGGACAATTTTCTCTTTCACCCGTTACGCAAGAAGAGGCGCCGACTCTGGCATATTCGGCTAAACCCAAGCCAAACATATTTTATTCACCTCCTACTCACACCCGACCTTATATTTCTCCAGTTTTTCGAGATTATCCGTCTATTAATGAACAAGTCCATTCTCCTCAACAACCATTATTCCCCGAGTGCCATTTTAATAAAATCAATTGTCCAAATAATAAAATGGAAAGATTTAACCCTCTTGCTATCCCTCCTGGCTTTTCCCCTATAAAAGAAATAAATGTTGAAAAGAATCCTAACGAGTTAAACAATCAGATAAGTGAAGATGTTGTATTGAATAGAAGATTTACAAATGAAATTATTAATAAAAGTCCCATTAGTCCCCCTCCCGGCTTTACTCCTATTGATGAAGTTTGTATTACTAAAAATATTTGTGAAGAATCTACCCCCTTACAAGAGATTATAAATGAAGATAATGAAGTTAGAGCTTATAATTATTCTAAAGAAATGCCCCTTGTTTTAACTGACAACTTAATTCCCGATTTATCCTCAGAACGTCCCCTTATATCTCTTGAAAATTTACAACAGTCTATCTTATATGTTACTTTTAATTCTTCAATTGGAACTACGAATATTAATTCATCAGAAAATGATTATATTCCTACATCAGAAGAGATATTGGAAGAAAATAAACCATTACCCCCCACTCTTAATTATCTGGAAATTTTTTGCCTAGAAAAAAGAAAAGAAAGCCCAATGTCTCGTAAAAGACAAAGAAAAAAATTGCCCAAACAATTAAACCGAAAATCAACAATTATAAACAATTCCCAATCCGATGTTACTGCCTGTCAAATACATCCTAAGACATTGAAAATAACCCCTCCGAATAACCGTAAATACTTTGTCATCCCCTCTAATTTTAATGTTCCTTTAAATGATTTTAAACAAATCCATGAAGAGAATCCTTGCTTTTCCCTACCTTCATTAAAAATGCCCCGAATAAAAGGAAATGATATTCTTACCCCTAAAACCCTGTTTTCTACTTTGTCTAATCTTGATTTGTTTGAAATAAAATGTGTTCATCATTCTGTGATTAATTGGAAGGAGATTCTTTCGAAAATTAAACAACACGATACGTTGATGCATATTATTTATTAGGCCACGACATGGATGAGGAACATGACCGAGAATAAACTTACCGTCAACAAAAATTGGTAAAATTAAATTTAAATATGAAATAATTCCCCCAAAATTTTACCCTTTTCTTAATGGACCAACAATGCTTATACGAAGAATATGAATATGACCCCTCTAATCTTAGAACATGCCGATAAATGAAAATAGAAAAGGACGAGAAGGGCTGATCAGCCAACCTGTGACAGAAATTTGGAAGAATTGAAAGGAAAATAGATGACCAATTCTGTTGAAATTTGTTATACTTACCCGGACCCCCTCCACCCGTCTCTGCACCTAAACTCATATTCCACCATCTCCCTTACGCCTTCATCTAAATTTTTTGGGTTTCTCCCGAATGTCAAATCCTTCAGATTTGAAAATATATTTTTTATTTATTAACCTTTGGCCGAAATTTTGTCCATATATTTTTGTCTTTATTTTTAAGCCCGCTCAAAAAAATGTTAATTATGGCGGGCCAAAAGGCCTTTTTTGAACCTTGCATCCCTGCTCTTTTTCTCCCCATTCTTTTAAATCTCAGGCCCGCTCAATTTAACTAGGAAAAGCCCTATTGTATTTTTGTGTATTTTGATTCGGCCTTAAATATGTCCTATCTCTTCCCTTTCGTCTATCTTTGCAACCCTTTGCACTGGTTGTTTTGGCCAACTAATTTTGAATTAAAATGTGCAAACACCTCCCTCTTTTTGCACATTAAAGCCCGAATATAAAAATGGAAAAGTGAGCAGTTTGGCTCAGTTTTTTGAACTTCTTACTCATTCCTTCCCCCAGAAAAGAGTTGTTCCCCGTTCAGTTAGATTTGAAGATTTGCCCCTTTTTATTTTCTTGATATAAGTTTGTTCTCTAAAAGATTTGGCCCCATATTTTGTTAAAAGAAAAGATAATATTCTGTTACTTTAAATTTGTTTGTCCCCTTCTTTTGTTTGGATTTTAAAGAGATTATTTTGTTAACTTTACTTATTGGTTTGGAAATAAAATTGTTAAAGCTTTGTTAAATCATTGAAGATTAAAGTTATTTTTGAGTTCAATGTATTTTCCCTCCCATTTATTAAAATTCTGTTTAGAATTTTACAGCCTTGTGCCAATTAGTTAGAAAGGATTAAGAATATTAAAATTAATCTAAATATAAATATAAGACAAGGATGTAGCTGAACAGATTTTAAAAGGCGAAAGTCAATTTAAAAATTGAAACGGCACATCCCTGGTATAAGGGTAGAGGTAAAATTGAGACAATGAACAATAACTTATTAAACAAATAAATTACTAAAACTTTTATCTAAATTCCTTATTCAAGATCTGTTAGCTGAATTACAATATTACATCAGGGAATATGAAGAAAAGGAAAGAGATCATGTTGCAGAAATTAATCTTAAGGATGTTGAAGAGCACAATAAATACATAGAGGAACAAAAAAAGTTATTTGAAGAAACAGAAGGAAAAGAAGGCTTTGACATTGATAAGATTTCAAAGAATCTTCTTGATAAAAGACATGGTAAAAATATTATTCTATAATTGTTGAATTTGTTAGTTTACTAATTTTACTTCGGCCTAGGGTTGTAAACAGCCTAGAAATATAACTAGCTGGAAACTGGGTGGTTTTCAGATTATCCAACAAACTGTTTCGAAAATCGGAGGGATGTCGAAGAAATACATTTGTCCGACCCTAGTTTCGTTTATTTTGGTAATAGCAATTAATGATTCATTAATTTTTCAGAAAGTTACAGTGAAATAAGTTCATATCAACTTATCAAAGAATTTTATGACATTGATCTGGAATATAAAATTCCGAAAAAAACAATTGAACAACGAAAAAATCTTGTAAAAAGTTTACTTGAAGGTTTTATAAAGATGATAAATAAAAGGAACAAGAAAGAATTGGATGGAATGATAAGCGCCTTAAAAGATGAAAATCATAAAGAAAAAAAGGGAGAATTTGATGAATTTTTACAGTATCTAGAACGTATGTAAATTAAATTTTAATTAATATATTTTTCAAGTTTATTTATTTTTAGTGTTCGCACCCGATACGATTCTAGTCTCCTTTCTTCAAGTAATTTATTATTTATAATTTATTAGTGAATTTTTAAAATTTAATTTATTAGATTCCTGATGAAGGTCGACAACTTTTGTTCGAAACTTTTGATGAAATATTAACAGATTTAAAAAATAGTAAAAACAAAAAAGACAAAAAAGGAAAGATAATTAAAGGCAATTCTCAACATCCAGCTGTCGATTTGAAAAAATATCACAACAAATTAAACAACATTAATCTCAATGCTCATACAAAAAAACGAATTAACCAATTCTTCACAATTGTTCAAAACGACTTTAAGCAACTGCCAGCATATTTAACAGAGAATTTTGCTAGTCTTTTCAGAAAAATTGCAATATTAGGACTCCCGGGATTAAAAGAAGCATTAATCCGTTACTTGGAAGTATGGAATTATGCAAATCCTCAGGATCAGCAAATGATGGCAAACGCATTTCCTAAATTGGCTTTCTTCTACAACGGTAAATTGCCGATAAAGGCTTTAATTACGCGTAATTTTTTATTTGGCCTAATTTTCTAAAAATATTTTCTAAATTTTAAAGATTCAAAATCAATGACTATGAATGATTGGGCTTATCATTCATTAAAAGGAAATTTCTTTTATAAAATTCCACTTTTGATATTGCTTAAAATGATTTTCATGAACAAGCCAAAATTGGAGAAAAATGATAGTGCTTTATTTAATGAATTGCGTGAAAAACTAAAAAATGATTTTAGCGCAAACAAGAAGCTTATTGATGAAATTGGAAACTTTTTCAACCGAGGAAAAGTTCTTGTTGGTTCACCCGAAATTTTGGAAAATTGAAAATACGAGAGAGATGAACGAAGTGATATGTACATATGTATAAAAAAAGTCAAGAAGGATCATTTGAAAATTTTTTTAAATCTTTCCCATATTATGTAAAAACAAAATTTCATATTATTTAAATTCCATATTATCATTGTAACTAAAATTCCAAATTCCACATAACCTCAAAACATTTCACAATTTGTTCAACCCCCCCCCCCCCAAAAAAAAAGTTAATGCTATGCATTGTTTTCTTATATTTTTTGAATGTTAACAAAGTAAAAATTTTTTAAATTGTATAATTTTTGAGTTGGCATTTTGCCTTTGTTTTTTATTTACTGGAGGTTCAGGGTTCCTACCAGACCTGGGCGAAACTCAAAATTTTTTTCTGACGAAACGAAACGAAACAAAATTTTTTAAAAATCGTTTCGTTAACGAAACGAAACGAAACAACCAAAATCTTACGAAACGAAACGAAACAAAACGAAACATTTTAATATTCAAAAAATTTTCAAAACTGCATTTATTTCGAAATTATTCGACCTCAAATACGTTATTAGTCGACTATGACTTATAAATGATTTAGTTATTGGTTTATTTACAACAATTGTGTCCCATAAGCCAGGCCCGTAGCAAGGAAAATTTTCGGGGAAGGGGGGGGGGTCAATCATTTTCGAAGCCAAATTTTTGGCGACGCTTTTTTTTAAATAAAATTGAATATTTTTCAAGTAAAATTTTATTTTAAGCGCCGCAGACGAAAAATTTTAAAATTTTGAAAGGCCGTAGGCCAAAAAATTCACCATCTTGCTCCATTGCCTACCCAAATTGTCTCCATATCTCCATTTCGAGAGGAAGGCGATATAAGCTAGTGCTTCGCCGGAAGTTCCGGTTCCAGTATTTCCGCAACTCGCAATCCGCAATTTTTAAATTATGATGCGAGTCCGGTAATAGAATTTGTCGTCGATTAAGTAATATGTATATGTGGATTAGGGAGTGGAGTATAAACGGATTTGTAGTATATAAGTAATTGCTATCTTCCTTTTTCAGCGCCGCAGGCGAAAATTTTGACAATTTGGGAAAGCCAAGAAGCCGAAATTCTTTTTTTTTCAGCGCCGCAGGCGAAAATTTTTTAAATTTTCAATAAAAGATGGTAAATTTTATAGATTTTGGCCTTAGTTTAGGCTTAAAAAATTGTTTCGTTTCGTTGAAAAATCACAGGTGTTTCGTAACGAAACGAAACGAAACAAATTTAAAAGTGTTTCGTAACGAAACGAGACGAAACAGTAAAAATCATACGAAACATACGAAACAACGAAACGAAACGAAACGTTTCGCCCACGTCTGGTTCCTACGGGATGAAATTTGGAAAATGGAAAGTTTAGAAAACAGAAAACTTTATATTCTAAAAATATAAACTTAAAAAATAACAAATATTTGTGCAAAAATTAAAGCATGAAAGAATTTTAAAGAAAATGGCAAAGATTAAGAGTGGTCCTAAAAACAATATACTAATTCAACAAAAAGAGAAAATAAGAGATTAAGAACAACAACAATCCAAATAAATAGAATAAATTATATAATTTAACTGTTATATTGCTAAAGGCTTTTTTTAATGTTGATATGAAACTTGTTTTTTAGAATTAAACCGAGATAATTATCTTCAACAAAAATCCTCTTAAAAATCCTTACGTAAAACAAGAGTTAGAAGGGCCATACGTACATATTCTCCATATTCTGCTTGTTTCATAAAAACTGCTCGCTCATCTGTATCCAATTCAGTACTTATTTCGTCATTACGAGGAAGTGGATGCATTACAATTGGAGTTGGATGACGACGATCTTTTTTAAATATTAAATCAAAAAATAAAATTTAAAAAACCTGATGTTGAAAAGAACGTTTCTTGTTCAACTCTACTAGATGCCATATTTAGTAATTTTGGCGTAAGAATAAATTTGCCTTTGATATTTTCATATTCTGAAGAATCAGTAAAACGTTCCTTTTGTATTCGAGTCTGAAAAAAAAATAAAAAAATTTGAAATAATTTTAGACTAAAATAATTAATTCACCATGTAAATCACATCAACATTGTGAATACCATCTTCCAGGGAAGTAAATTCTTTCTAAAAATAAAAAAATATTTAAATAAAAAATATAAAATCATACCTGAATAATTTCTTTATTATATTTTTTAGCATATTGTTCAACGTATTGTTTAACATGTTCAGGCATTCCCAAAGATTTTGATGGCGAAACATAGTGAAGAATAATACCATCATATAAACAAAGAATTTTTGCAAGTGAATGAACTGCAATTTTAGTTAATTTTCTAAAATAAATTTAAAAAAACAAACCAGTACGCCCATATTTCAGATCGCCAACAATAGCAATTGTTTTATGATTTATACTTGACAATTTTTCACGAATTGTATAGAGATCAAGTAATGCTTGAGTTGGATGTTCACCCGTTCCATCACCAGCATTTATAATAGGTACTGGACGATCTAGAGTAGATACAGCCTGTAGAGCAAGTTCACATGCATTTTTACTTGGATGTCGGAGAACTAGTAAATCTGTGTATTGTCCCATCATTTTGATTGTATCTAAAAAATTGTAAAATTAAAGAAATTGAAAATAAAGATTACCCTCAAATGTTTCGCCCTTCTTCTCCGATGAACATTCCTTCTTAAAAACATCAACTTTGCCATCCAATCGAAACATGGCATTTTTAAATGAATGATTAGTCCGAGTGCTAGGCTCAAAAAACATAAGACAAACAATAAATTGACGCAAAAATCCTTCAAATGCCAAACTACGATCACGAACTACCTTAAAATTAAGATTAAAAATTTCTTTAATATGCAAAAGACCTTCTCAAAACGCAGTGCCAGATCTAAAACCTGTTTGACCATTGGTTTTGTAAATGATTCAACGGAAATAACATTACGTCCATACCAAAGACTAGTTTCAGTAATAGACTTTAATGGACGATCTGGCGAAGGACGCAAATGTTTTTCTTCATCAGTATCACTGTATTTGACGTCAGAACTCAAATGGAGAAGTTCTAAAATAGAAGTTTAAAAAAATAAGATTGTTATTAAACCAGATGTTGGTAAAACTGATCCATCTTCATTATCATTAGAAGCAAGACGAACATTTGTACCGAATCCTGGAGAAACGAGGAATTGTCCATCAACATAAACAGTAACACCACGTATAACCACAGTTTTAACACGACCACAAACTTCTCTACCCGCAAATGGGGTCCAACCAGCTTTTGAAAAGCCTCCTTCCTTAGGTATCCTCCATATTTCACTCTTATCAACCTTTAAAATTATATGAATCACAAAACTAAAAAGAAAGCACTTCAATGTAAGTATTAGGTTGTTCAGGCAGTCCAAATATACGACGTGGATTTGTATAAAGACGATCAATTAACTGTTTCTCAGTAAGTTTTCCATCCTTAACTGCTTGAAGTAACAGAGGAAGCATGTATTCAATGCCAGGAAATCCTGGTGGTGGATTTGCAGAACATTTCTCATCCCAAGTATGTGGAGCTAAAATATCGACATGAGAATATTTAAAAGTTCTAAGTGTGTCAACCATGATCAGTAGAAAAACAATCAATGAATTCCAAATTTTCCCATAATGCTTCACAATCAGCAACACTTATGGCCAAGCGAGGACGAACTTCTTGAACTCCTTCTGGTAATTGATCTGCTGTTAAAAATAAGTGATGCGGGCAAACTTCACATGTAACGGGTTGTCCTTCAATTTTGGCTAATCTAATCAAGTTAATTTCTTCAGAGGTAGAAACATGACAAATATGCACTACAATAAAGAATTAAAAACGATAGATTAAAAAATCTTACAGGCTCTTTCACATAATTTAGCACAATATAAAACAGCAGCCAACGTTTGTCCTTCAGCATGAACTACAATTGGACGATTTGATGGGAAATTTTTCATATGTTTCATCCATTGATCCATTTTTGGTAATTGAAGGGCAGCAAATGTTTGATTCAAGTACATTTTTAAACCAGCACATTTTTGGCCTATGACAGAACCATCTTTAACATTATCCATAGTTGCACCCATATAAAGAGCATAATCACAAAAAGCTTTGGTTGAGGCGAGTTTGTCGATTAAATTGAAAGACACATCGTCGATTAACGGCGGACTCGTATTTGGCATTGCAAGCACCTAAAGTTAATTCCTTAAAATGAATCAACTATTAAAAAATTAACCATAGTAACACCACCAGATATAGCTGCACGAGTTCCACTCTCCCAGGTTTCCTTGTGTTCTCCTCCTGGTTCACGCATATGAACGTGAACATCGATCAATCCCGGCATTCGAACCAAGCATTCATTAGAAATTGAATCTATATGAAGATTCACTGGTGGCATTTTTGTATTATAAGGGGATATATTCAGTCTACTGAGAGCCTTAAATAACAATCAAATTTGAAAGAAAATAATATAAACCTGAATAAAAAGTTTAGCACATTTAATATCAGTAATGAGAGGGATTCCACTATCAATTGCCATTCTGCGAGTTTTATATCCAAATGTTCTATAAGCACTAACGCGATAAGTTCCAGATCCACGAATTGGCAAATTTATCTAAAACAAAGTTGAATAAAGTTTTAAATTGAAAAAACCAACCATAAGATCAATATTCTTTTTTGCAACATAGTCAGTTATTGTTGTATTGACAGTAGACATTTTTGAGGTTGATAAATCATTGCAATCTTCTCCCGACGTTATATCATCAAAGGGCCACTCAAGTTGTTTTATCTTAATACAAAAATTTAAAAGAATTAAAAATATTCTTACTGGAATGCCTTTACAAGAGTAATAATAAGCTGTTCCTTTACTCCCATAAAGAACATATCCGAGTTTGGATAAAATTTTGACACTTGGCAGCATTTCATCTTTAGCCTAAAAATTATAATAAACGTATATTTTCACAAAAAATATAATACAAAAGGTCCGCCGATCGACAAGAAAATTGCCCTAGTAGGTAACTGAAAACCAGTTGAAAGAAGTCCTTTAAGGTAAGCCTCTTGACGATTAAGTCCAAAGCAAGCAACCTCGCCTTAAAATTATTAAGCAATATAATAATTTATATACAATTCAAAAACCAGTAGAAAGCATTTCAACACCCATAACAACATCTGCGCCAGAAAGACGAGTAAAAGAAAATTGTGGGACCTAAAATACAATGAGTATTTGTCAATAAAAAATATGTAAAAATACCTTTACTCCAACTTTATTTGGTTTTGGTGGAGGTTTAAAAGTAAAATCCTTTGGTTCGCCAGAAAACATCATCGCCCTAGTTGCGAGACCAACAAAATCAAAATCAAGTGTTTTAGAAATGAATGGAAAACTTCGCGAAACACTAAAAAGTTAAATAGGAAAGACTAAAAACAAAATTAACCGTAAATTGCATTCAATAACAAAAAGTTTATTGTCTTTAGCAATCAGTTGAAGATTAAATGGCCCAACAGCCATAAAACGCCTAGCGATGCTTCTAACAATTTTATTAATTGAAATCCTTGTCTCCTCATTCAAATCTTGTGGAGGAGTGACTAAAGTTGCATCTCCAGAATGAATACCTTAAAAACTCTCGAAATTAAAAAGAAGCAAAAAAGCTAACCAGCATTCTCAACATGTTCAGATATTGCCATACACAAAACTTTCCCATTTAGACAAACCACATCGACATCGATTTCTTTAGCATTTTCAATAAACTTGCTTACAACAACAGTTCGCTCATCAGCTACGCTGTGTGCCACATTCAAAAATTGATGTAAATCTTCAACACAATGTGCGACGTTCATCGCAGCTCCAGATAAAACATAGCTTGGCCGAATTAAGCATGGAAAACCAACAGAGTTACAAAATGATTCGGCATCCGAAGTGTTTTTTGCATTCTTCCATTTAGGTTGTTCAATCTAAAAAATATAAAATGGTAAAAAATGTAAAAACCTTTAGTTCATCCAATGCTCTGCTAAATTTAAAACGATCTTCAGCTTCATCAATAAATTTAGGAGCAGTGCCAAAAACACGAAAATTTAATCCAGTCAAGTTAGAATCCAGTGAAAGGGCAATATTGTTCGCAGCTTGCCCGCCAAAAGCAAGAATAATTCCACTCGGTCGTTCATACTCATAAATTTGTGAAACAACTTCCAACGAAATTTCCTCAAAATAAAGCCGATCGCATTTGTCATAATCTGTTGAAACTCTTAAAGAAAATATTTAATATAAATTTTAATAAAATATTTGCTATAAAATATTTTTGATTCTTACGTTTCTGGATTGCAATTAATCATAATAGTTTGACGACCCATTCGCTTTAATTCTTCTATACATCCTACGGAACAAGCATCAAATTCAACAGAAGAACCAATTCGGTATACGCCAGAACCGAGAACAATAACACTATCAGTCTGAAAAAAATTTACAATCTACTATTTCAAATGGTCATACATTTTCATAAAAGTCGATGTCGTGTTCATTTCCATTATAAGTTAAATATAAGTAATTCGTTTTTGCAGGCCATTCTGCAGCCACTGTATCAATTTGTTTGACATAAGGAAAAATGCCAAATTGCTTTCGCAGATTCTTTACATTCAATTCAGTACTGAATATTTAAGTAAATTTAATTTTTAGATAATTTGACAAATTTAATACCTATCGATAAGTTTAGCAATTTGAGCATCTGAAAATCCAATTTGTTTAGCTTCTCTTAACAATGAAGGGAAAGTATGCTTATTATCTGTAAAAACACAAAAATTATTGTAAATAAAGAAATCAAACATTTAATTTTCTCCGAACAATATTGCGAACAATGATGTTTTAAACGTTTGTACATATCAACAATATTACGCATACGATGAAGAAACCATTTATTGATCTTGCAAAGTTTATAAACAAAGTCTATATAATCCTGACCAGCGTCACATTTCAATTCCTCAGAGAAAAGAGCTCTAGCTAAAGCAAAAATTCGAAGATCAGTTGGTTCTTGCAAATCCGCTCTTTCAACTTTTCTTTTGAATAAATAAGGAGAAAACCCTTCATAATGTTCATTAACCATTCTGAGGGCCTTTTGAAGTGCTTCTTCAAAGGAACGCCCAATAGCCATAACTTCCCCAACAGATTTCATTGAACTACCTATCTAAAAATTAATTTTCATTTTTCAATTGTTTTTAAATCAAAAACCTTCGTACTAACACGAGCAAATTTTCCCAGATCCCATCGAGGAACTTTTACAACACAATAATCCAGAGAAGGCTCAAAACAAGCTGTAGTTTCGCCAGTAACAGAATTTTGTAGTTCTGGCAGTGATGCGCCAAGTGCCAATTTAGCAGCAATATAAGCGAGAGGATAGCCAGTGGCTTTACTTGCTAATGCAGACGAACGCGACAAACGAGCATTCACTTCGATTATATAATACTAAAACGGAATAGAACTATCAACAAAAAAAAGCTAAACCTCCATATTTTCAGGGTTCAAAGCAAATTGGATGTTACATTCACCAACAATTCCAAAATGACGAATTACCCGCAACGCAGTTGCCCTCAAAATAAAGTACTCATGATCATTCAACGTTTGTGATGGTGCGACAACAATGGACTCTCCCGTATGAATCCCAACTGGATCAATCTTTAAAAAATTCTTAAATGGAAAAATATTAAAATGTCTTACATTTTCCATGTTGCAGACAGAAATGCAATTGTCATAGGCATCGCGAACAACTTCATATTCGATCTTAAAAGAAGTGCTCAAAATATTAAATTCATAAAAACCAACCTCCTTCCATCCTTGAATACTTTTATCAATAAGTACTTGATTAGAATGAGCAAATGCTTGTTTTGCAATTACATTTAATTCTTCTTTGTTTGTTGCAAATCCAGACCCTAGGCCACCAAGAGCATAAGCAGCACGAACAAGAACTGGATAACTAATCTAAGATAAGTAATAATATAAAAAATAAAAATTAATAACCTTTTCAGCAGCTTTTTCAGCATCGATAATATTTGTTGCTGCACTTCCTTCAGCAACTCTCTCGCCAATTTTTAAAATCTCGTGCTTGAACAAATCCCTGTCTTCAGTTCGAACGATAGCTTCTGAAAATTTTAGCGTTTAAAGAAGTAAAATTAAAGAACCTATAGGAGTTCCAAGAACACGTACATTAAATTCTTCCAACACTCCATCGCGAAATAGATCAATGGCGCAATTGAGAGCGGTTTGACCACCAAAAGTGCATAAAAGACCTGTCGGTCTTTCTTTTTTAATTATCTTAAAAATCAAAAATTCAACAAATTATGTAAAAATAAAATAACCTCAGTGACAAATTCTTTAGTTACAGGCAAAAAGTAAGCACGATCTGCAAATCCTTTCGTAGTTTGGACAGTAGCAACATTCGGATTCTAAAATAAATTTAATTGACAATTTTAAAAAATACTCACCACAAGAATACTTTTAATCCCCATCTCCCGTAAAGCTTTAATTGCTTGAGAACCAGAATAATCAAATTCACCGGCTTGACCTATTGATAATCCACCACTACCGAGTATCAAAACTTTCTTTTGGTTAGAGACCTCCTCTCTGAAAAATAAAAATAAAAAGGATTTTTGTTTCAAATCACAGACCGATAATTAGTAGTAAAAGCCAGACGCTCATTAATTAGCTGATTTAAATTAACAGAATCTTTTGTAGTTTTAACTATTTTCATTGATTCAACAAAAACATCAAAAAGCCACTCCGTATCGTCTGGCCCAGCACAATGTTCAGGATGAAATTGAACACTAAAAATTCTTAAGAGTTAATTAATTAAAAAATAAACAGACCTAAAATAAGGTTTGCTCTCATGAATCATTCCCTCGTTTGACCTGTCATTTGCATTTATAAATAGTTCATTCCAATTTTTAGGTAGTGAATTACGATCAACAGCAAATCCGTGATTTTGAGCAGTAATAAAACACCGCCCAGAAGAAGCATGTAAAGCAGGTAAATTATGACCTCGATTGCCAAATCTGAAGAAATGAGAATATTATACTGATGGGGAAAGGGAAAGCAGTTCAACAAAACCTCATTTTGTAAGTTTTTGCACCAGCAGCAGAAGCCAACAATTGATGTCCCAAACAAATACCGAAAATAGGTACATTTGTTCCGGAAGATAAAAGTGACGCAATTCGATTAATTAACGAGGTACATTTTGCAGGATCTCCGGGCCCATTAGAAATGAAGAGGCCATCATAATCTTAAATTATTAAGTAATAAATTTATTATTTTAAAAACCTAAAATATTAAATTCATAATCCCACGGAACAACCATAACTTTGCAATTTCTTTGTAAAAAGCAACGGATTTGATTAAATTTTATGCCACAATCAATAGCCAAAACATTAAATAGCGAAGTATCTGATTCATTGCCGAACAATTTTGGAGACTAAAAACGATTTAATAAAAATTACAATTTGTAAAACTAGCCTTTCTGCTGACAGATGCAACTAAATTTTGTTCATTAATGTTGACAAATTGAATATCATCTTGCTGATCTGAATCAACTACAATCTTAAAAGGATAATGAAAATTCGTTTTAAATTAATTTATAAAATCGAAAACCTTAGCTCTCAACGTTCCGTAAGTGCGAATAATTTTTGTAAGCATCCGAGTATCAATCCCGCACAGACCCGTAACACCTTGATCACAAAGCCATTGAGAAAGAGAAGTGGCCTTGATAAAAAAAATAAAATTAACGACAAATATAAAAAATTTACAGCTTCATAATGACTATACTCGCCCTCTTCACAAATTCTGTCGACTATCAGAGCAGCAGGCCAAATCCTATCTGATTCAAATCCACCTGTAAGAAGCTCAGGCCATTTAGGATCCGATTTGCCAAATTTTGGGACGCCATAATTTCCAATCAGAGGATAGGTAAGAACCAAAAGTTGCTGCGCATAACTGGGGTCAGTTAAAGCCTAAAAGATCAGTTAATCCTATTTATTATTAAATAAAATAAAAACCTCAATATAACCACACATTCCTGTCTGAAAAACAATCTCTCCACTAATACTTTTAGTTGCACCAAAAATATTTGCACGAATTTGCGTTTGTTTTAATCCTTCAGGAAGTTCTAAATAGAGTGTTGCAGATCTATTGATTTCCTCAAATTCATCGTTAATATTTTGTTGGATCACCAGAGAAGTCATGTTATCCTCTAAGAAAAACAAACTTATCTAAAAAATAAAGTTAAGATTTGTAAAAAAATTAAAATAATCTGAAAATTAATTTTCCGGAAGAATAGATGTTACGTTTTGTCATATTGACATTTTGATATAAATTGAATATTAGAGTACCAAGAATAAGACTCTAGCATTTCCGTAACAATCGGGCGATATTAGTTTCAAGGTTGGCGGATCCTAATATTCGGATACGCAAATAGGCCGGATATCCGGAAATTTCCGGTTCGGACATCGGATCCGGATATCCAAAGATTTCCAACTATCCGCCAACGTTAATTGCTTGTGCGAATTTATGGCCGCACCAAATTGGCCTTTTTATTGAAAAAGGCGTCTTGTAGCAGATTTTTTATCTCTTTTTCTAGGCAAATAAAAAAAAATTTTAATTGTGCAAATTTTTGTTTTTAGGATGGGTTCTTATGCTGAACGTCTCGATCAATCGCTAAAAATACTTGAAAATGTTTCCGTTGATTCAACCGATTCAAAGCTTCAACCAACTTCTTCTTTAAAATCAAGGTTTTTTCTTATTTTTGTTCATTTAAATTAATTATTTTAGGAGGAATCCAAAAATTTCATTTGAATGTGAAAAACATGCTTTGTCTGAGTTTTCTATATTGTTAACCAATTTGGATTCTCTTGGTGCTGTTGGAAATCAACAAATTAGCCGTGAAAAACTGAGCCGAGCAATTGCAGTTCTCTTTCAATTTATTAACCACCCTGAGCAAAGTCTTCGTTTTTTGGCTGACCAAATATTGGACGAAATATTTAGAGTATTTTTTAGTTTTTTTTAATTTTTATCCTTCATTTTTCCAGAAATTTGTTCTTAAATTTCAAGCACCAAAAGTTATTGCTTATTTACTGACTGAATTGGACAAAAAGAAATCTCCTGGGCGTTTGATTTGTTCCGTTTTACAAAAATTAAGTTGGGTAGCTGTTTACACAAGAGCGCATAGAGCAGAGTAATTTAATTAAAATTTGATAGATTATTTTTTTATTTAGGGTTTATAATGCCCATTTTTTATGTGGAATGATTCAATGTATTCAAAGCCTGGATGATTCTGTTCAGCAAGCAATTCAACGATATTTTCCTGCAATATTTGATTTTTTTGGTCCTTTTATTTCTGCTTCGCATACAGAACGAGCGACTGAATTATTTAATGTTGCAATGAAGAATTTAAGTTCGGGCGGTGTTAAAAATAGGTTTTTTGCTTTTTGATAGTTTTTTTTAAATTTAAATATTTTTGGAATTCAGGGCTGCCTCGACTGTTATTAGTTGTCTTGCTAAATTTGTGCCTTCTATTCTTCATAAATCGTTTTATCAACTATCTGGTCTTTTTTAATTTTATTTTAATAATTTTTGGGCTTCCAAAATAATAATTTTGACACTTATTAAATATATTTTAAGATATAATCCTGCAAGGTAGAGATGATGATGAACAACATCAACATGAAATTGCGGGTGCTTTAAATACTCTTTCTGTTATTTTACCATTTGTGTTAGAAAATATTAATCAAAATTTGGCTTTTATGTTGAAAAATGTATTTTTATTTTTTTATTCTTTGGGCAATGTTCGAAAGTCGAACAATTTTTTTTATCAATTTTATTTTAGTTACTATGTCGTGTACTTTGTTGTCTTTATAGCCGTGGAAATGAAGTTGTTCTTGCTTCCCTTGAATTTTTACAAAAATTTGTTTCAAAACACCAACAATTTAGGGATTCTATTCAACAATTAGCTCAATTTGATCCTTTATTTGTTCAAATGCTTGGATCTGAGGAAAGATCTATTTCAAAGTATCGATTTTTGTAATTTCGTCCTTTTTTGTTTTATTATTTTTTTTCAGATCAAATATTTATTGTGTTGATGAACAAAGACCAAGTTGTTCTAAAAGTTTTGAAAAAGAATTGGAAGAAGGTAATTTTTATAATTTAACTTTTTAAATAATTGATTCAGTTGAAACAATGAGCTGTTTCTCTATGCGCACGGGTTATTCTTTATCTAGACCAGCTAGTGCATGGAATTCTCTACAAGATTTATTGGCAGAACAGAAAATGCTGGGTTTAAATTTGGATGAACAAGCTAGCGATGAACCTGAACAAAGTAAGGGGACTGTTGACGATGCTGAAGAAAATTATCTGAAAATTGATGAGGTATTTTAGCATTTTTTCAATCAGTTTATTCTTCCCATAATCAATTTAGAATCTTCATGAAAATGACGACAATGTTTCTATTAATTCTGCTGAACTCTTTGTTGACCCTTTAATGAACTGTCTTCATCAACAACAAAAATCTATAAGAAGTTCTTCATGGTCGCTTAGTCAAAAATCAAAAAATGTAAATATTTCTTTCAAATTATTTTATTTTTTTATTTTTATTGTTAGTTAAAAAGTAATGATGGAACACTTTCTATGAGAACAAGAACTAACACCACTAGTGGACTTTTGACACCGATTTCAATTATTAGTCGATCTGTAGGTCAAAAATCATTTGAAGATCAGCAATATACGAGCTCTGTTGTATCAAGTGAAGAGAATCAAGGAATTTTAGAATTTCTTCCTGACAATTTCTGTAAGGGTTATTTTTATTTTATTAAACTAGAAAATGTTTAAGGTAATACTGGCGTCAATTTTTGGATCTATTCATCATTATTTATTGCTAAAAAATTTTTATTGGCTGGCAAAGGAAGAATTCGTTCTAATCGAGAAGTACGAGTATCTCAAAAAATTATTGCCTTGAATTATATCTCGGATTCTTTGCTTATGGAAAGTTCACTTATTCATCAGCCGATATTTGATTGTATTTTTTTGACTATTTTTAGTTTTATTTTGCATTTTTAGCTGATGGCCAACATTATTCTCTTCTTGATCTTCATCTTTATATTGGTAACGATGATGATAATTTGGCAATAGCATCTTTAAATTTTTTCTTTAATGTTGAGAAATGTTGTTTTTTCAACGATCCTTCGCAATTTGATAAATTTTTTGTGGAGAAAAGTATCAAGTTTTTTTCTATTCTTAAAAAATTTTGAATTTAAGGCAAATTAATTTGGTATCTCAAAAAGACTCTTCATTGTCAACGTAATTCAAATCGTCTCAAAGGAATTTTTCAAATATTTATCAATTCAATACCTTTTCTTTGCTCAACTGAAAGTTTGTTGTTAGCATCTTGTGAGTATGCAATTAATGCAGTTGACATTGATTATTTTCGTGTTAAGGTTTTCTGGATTCTCTTATTTTATACTTTATTACGTTTTTAGGCAGTTAGAGCTGAATTTATTTCTAAAATAAAATGGTCTTATACATCACCACAAATTCGTCAAAAATTGTTAAATGAATTTTGCCGTGTTTTTCTTGTCCAATTGTTTGATAAAGATCCTCGGGTATTTGTTTATTAAATTAACATTGATTTAATTGTTGTTTTCAGGTTCAAAAAGCAACATTGGATGTTTTGCCTTTGTTCGTTTTAAATATTGATCTCTGTCAGAATACAAATATTTTTGCGCCATTTTCTCTTCCCCATTGTTTAGAATCACATTCTCCATTACCTGTGGTATTATTAAATTTTTCTATTATTTTTTAGTTATATATTTTTCAGATAATTGGATTAACTGATAAACAACATTCCTTTTTTCAAACAAAAATCTGTGATGAAAATTTCTTTTTTATTTTTAACAAAATTTATTCACTTACTATGGATCAATTTTTTGATAAAAAGTTTGGATTCGTCTCTGCATTGGAAGTGCTTATTAATAATTTTCCGCAAAATTATTTTTCTTTAATCAATGAGAAGCAATTTGGAGGGAAGACAAAAGAAAAAGAAAGGTTTTCAGTTTTTTATAAAAATTGGAAATAAATTTCTTTTAGTAGGTCGTTGACTAATTCTCAAAGAGGAGAAATGCCATCTGTTTATAGTATGTTTCTTCTACTTCTGGATTTTGCAGAGAATATTATTTGTTCATTAGAAGAATTTGGAGTAGTCATTAGATTAATAACGAAATTGTTTTCAGGTTGCTTTTTACATTTTAACAAGAATTCTTTTCCAGATTTTGACTAAATTAGTATATTCAATAAATTAAAATTAAATCTTTTAGCAATATCAACTTATCTTATAAATCAAAATTCTACTCTTAATAATACCTCAACTCTTTTACAACTTTGGAATCTGTGCCAGACAAATACTGAAAATGCTCAACAACTTTCAAAATCCAAACTACCCAACAACACCAATTGTATTGAACGTTGTTTGTTGCTTTATTTGAGAACTTTAAATTTATTTTACTCCATTGTTGCTGAAGAAAAAGTTAGAAGACATAAACTTTTACTGCATCGAACGGGTTTGATTGCTGGTAATTATTAATTAAATAGGTACTAGTTTATGATAAAAAAATTTTTAGAAGGATTTGTAAGCAACGCTGCTTTTCTTCTATCAAATCCATCTTCACTTATCCTCCCTGAAAAATCTGATTATTTTTCTACGACTGCTAAATCACTTTCAAATACAACATCGCCAAATGCTAAAGCAATAAACCTGTCTTTTCTTCTTGGGTCAACTTCTCAACATCATGGCCGTCGTCAATTAACTAGTTATTCTAATTCAGTTGTGTTGACCTCCCTTGAGATGCATTTACGAAATTCATACAAATCGTTTTTGGTATGAGTTTTATTAAATTTCTTAATTCACTGATTTTTTCAGGAATCTCTCAAACCTGATTTACACAGTCGTTTTCTCGATTTATTCAATTCAACAATGGATGGATTTTGTACATTTTTGGAATTTGCCGAGTTTTCCTTAATTCGCCCTTTCATTGACGAGTTGGTAATTTTCTTACGGATATTGGTCAGTTTGAAGAAAAAGTAACTATTTGAAAAATTATTTTTAGATGGATATATCTTCTGAAAATTCTGCTCGTTTAGTCAGTCAATTGATCAAAAGTGCCTTCAGTATTAATTATTTTTCTTTGAAACCAATACATTCCAATCCTTTGTGTCAAATCAAAATTTGGGAAGAGCTGACAGATTGTAATAACGGTTCTTTTCTATTTTCATTTTGGTTTTTATTTGTTCCATTTAAAGCTGCTCCATTAGAACTATCTAAATTTATTCAATCCTTCAATACTTTCATCAAATTTTCCCATTTTTCTGAATTTTCATCATTGCTTTTGGAAGAGATGTCAGGTTGGATGCATTCTAATAGAATGAAATTACCTCTTGTTACTATTGTGGTAATATTTGTTTGGTTTTCAGACTTCTAAAAATTTTTCTTGTTAGGATGAAACTCAACAAGAACAAATGAATAGATTATTGCATCAATTTGAACCTTTTCTCTCGCATTTACTCAAATTATATCCATTGACAAATTCAAATAGGACGAGAAAATCTGTATGATTTTTTAAATATTTTAGTTTTATTTTTTTAGATCCTTGATTGTATCTTCATTCTTTGCCTTTGTAATGTACGCTATGAATTGCTTGATGCAAATGGGAGATTCAAATCAAAAATAATTTCTCAACTAAAACAATTATCTCCTGAAGAAGATGCTCCTATTCTTCCTTCTATGTTTATATTTGTTCTTTTAATAGTCCGTGTTCGCTGTCTTAAATTTTCTGAGGTTTTTTGAGATTATTCTTTTTACTTATTTTAATGAATACTTGAATAGATTGGCTTGGTTATTGAACAATTATTTGCACGAATGGATCATAAAATCTGCCATTGGTCACTCGAAGCTTTCAAAATTATTATATTTGATATACTTTCTCAATGTAGCCGGAAATCTCGCATATCAGAAGATCATAAAAGGATTTTAATGCTATTGAAAGATGGTCTTTTAAAGGTTTTGATTTTTTACATAATTTTATTTTAATTTTGAATTTCCTTCTAGATTTTTTCCATGACTTTTCAATTATTTCCTGAAGCATCGGCAGAGGTGTGGATATGCCTTTTACACGCTTTCAGTGATCATTTTGATAGTAAAAGGTTTTTTCTTGTTTATTATTTATCTTATCATTTTCTAAAGTCTGTCAAATACATCGTTGGATTTTATCACACATTATTTAAAATTTTGCGAAAAAATGGCTGTTAGTGGTCGAGAATTTACTACACCACAAAATTCACCAACTAGAGAAACAACGCCTCAACTAGATGCTAATGAACAATATTCTTTTTTAAATGGACATTCCAACATGAAAAGCAATCTTTTTCCAAATCCTACTCGTCAACTTTTTTTACATTCTGCTTTGATTAGTCAATGTTTAGCTTCTACCGAATTGTAAGTTGAAGAATTAAAGGTTTTTTTGAATTTATTATTGTACATATTTAGCAAAATTGATAACTTTCTCAACTGTTTAAATGGATTGTTAAAACAATTATTAAACGATTCAGAATTATTTAACAACTCCTTTATTAATTTGGCCTTACATATTTGTCCACTGATTTTTGTGCTATTTAATCATATTGATGAAGAAAAATTTTTAAATTTTTATGAAGCTCAAAAGAAGGATTTAATTGAAGAAAACATAAATCCTAAAAATTTGGAAGAATCTCACGTTGATTTTATTGCAAAGTAAGATTTATTGCTTTAAAATAATGTAAAAAATTATTTTAGAAGTATAGTCCATCTATTATTTCGTATTGAAAATTATATTTGTTCTGAAGCTCTTTTCGCAAATGATGGTGATTCTCATACTTTTCAAAACCATATTTTTCATTCTGATTCACAAGCTACTCTTTTGTTTTTAATTTTTACAATTCAGCAAACAATTAAATCTGGTATATTTTTAAATATTTTTTTAATAATTTTAATTTTAGCTAAATCCTCTTATTTCTCCTTTTCATTAAAAAAGCATTTATGCATCAGTTACACTTCTCTATCAAAAAATGTTTATGTTGAATTGGCACGTATTTCACATTCGATATGGTCTTTTTGGATGAACCTAAAATTTATTGTTTCGTATGAAATTTCTTTTGCGTGAGTTTGATTTTTTTCTTTCTAAATTTCTAATTTTAAATTCAATTTTAAGAGATTTTTATGCTTTACCTTCCAAATGTAAATATCTCCTTGTTCAACTTTTATACTGGAAAATTTTTGAAATTGAAACTGAATTAGAAGCTGAAATTTTATTCACTTCTATATTGGATTCTTTAAAATTGTCTTCTTCAAAAGCTGATTTTCTTTTGGAATTTTTACGAACACGAGATGATAAAATGTTTAAAAAGTGTTTAAACAAGTTGCCTAAAAGAATATTAGCTTCTATTGAGATGGAATTGATTCAAGTTTTTTGTCAAAATTGGGGAGAAGATGTTTTTATACCTAATATTGAATTGGTAATTTAAAAAATTTTTTTAATTTTTAATAAAATAAATTTTTAGAGTAGTCTTATTCCTCGACTTTTCTGTATTTTGGCCAAATCAGAAAATCAACAAATTATTAATTTACTTACAAGAATTAACGAAATTCCTGAATCTAATTCTTTTGACCGTTTCAAAGTTATTTGGATTCATTTTTCAAATAAGGTAATTTATTTTTTTATATTTTTGGGCTAGCATTATTTCTAATTTCTTTAGCCAGAACAAACATTTACTCTTCCAAGCTTTAAATTTACTTCTAAAGAGTTTTCAATTTTGCATGACAACAATATTTCAATAACCCAATTTTACAAAACTTTACTTTTACATGCATCAATGCCAGACGACTTTGAACAAATTATTGAAGGAATTTTAACTCTTTTAGAGGAAGAAATTGGTGATATTCTTGAAGCTGTAAATTTTAAATTTTATTTAATTATTATTTTCCCCGTTTTCTAATGTCAGCGTCCACGATGGCCTTTAAGCAAAAAATTTTTTGGATGTTTTTTTCTTGTATTGACACAAAATGCATCTAATTACGACATGTTAGAAGATGATAATAATTCTACCCAAAGAATTGAGAAAATTATTCAAGTTCTGTTTGAGCTTTTACTCGATACGAAGAATAAAAGAAAATGTTTTGCAGCTGAAAATGTTTTTATTTTAGCAAAAATTGATGGGTTGAGGAATTGTTTTAGGCCTCAAATTCTTCAATTTCCTCAACAGGTGAAAAAATTTTTTTAATAATTAAAATTTTAATGTTTCTTTTAAGTTATTTTCATCATCCTCAAATTTGTTGGAACGATTTTTAAATGACACATTTGTCCAATTATTTTCTTCTTATTATTCCAATGATGAGGAATTGCCTTCAGAATATTTTGTTGCTTTAAAATTGTTTTTTTCTCTTTATGATGTAAAGGATTACTTTGCCAAAAATGATTGTAAAACATTAAAAAGTTTACTTTTATTTTTCACACTTCTTTGGGAGCATGTAGAACAGGTTTTTTTTAATATATTTAAAAAATTTAATAATATTTTTTGCTTATTAAGCAAATTCCACATTGGAAGAGACTAAATATTGACAAACGTCACTGGCCAGTTCAAATTGAAATTGTTTTTGGAGAAGTTGGCTCTTGTATAGGTGATTGTTGGCAAGAAGAAGAACGAGAAGAGTTGGAAGAATCAATCAAAAAAATTTTTGTTCTTGTACAACGAATTGTTTTTTCTTTAAAAAATGATCTGATAAAATGTGAAGAGACAAAAGAAGCGTTTACAGCTTTGTTAGCAAATGTTTCTTTATTTCATCGAATGGCTTTGGTTCCAGAATCGGCACTTAGGTTTAATTAAATTATTCTTCATTATGTTTTATTATTTTAGATTGGATTGGCAACTTCTAATTTCTGTAAATACTGACGGAAAATGTTTTATTCCACTTATTCAAATACATTTGCTTAATGATTTTAATGTGTTACAAGATTTTTGTTTTAGAATATTTTCTTTTGGTAAGCATTTTAATATTTGAATTTATTTTCTAAAATATTTTGAGGCATTTATTTGCCATATTTTCTGATAACTCGTAATTGAAATATATTTTTCTAAAGGTTGGTCTTCACGTTCACAGTTTGAGGAATACTCTATGTCTCTTTTCGGGGTGCTTTCTTCAACTCCAACTACACTTACAGAGCTACAACAACGAACTGAATCAGATGGAATCAATGCAGCCCATCAACAATTATCTGCTTCGAGTTTAGCAGTTGAAGCCTTAAGTTGTGTTTTACTCCAATCTCTTCTTTATCCGGTTTTTATTTTAACTATTTTGAATTTTTTTCATTTTTTAGAAACCTGGTGATTTAATTGATAGTTTTTTTGTTGTTGTACATCGCAAAAGACGAGAGAATTATTTGTTTTTGGACACAGAGTAAATTTATATTCTTTTAAATTTTTTATTTATTTTAATTTTTGTAGACCTGGCAAAATTGCTTTGAGAGCAAAATTGTTTACAAACTTGCTTATTGAAAACGGTCAAGTCTCGATGTCAACCAGTGACCTTTTTATTGAGAATTTGGAATGTGTTGATTCTAGGGTATTTTTAAATAACCTTTAAATTTTTAATATATAATTATAGCCAGGGAAGCAATATGGATTAGGACAGGCTGCATTATATCATCTTTGGTCAGTTACTGGTTTGCTTGAATCTTCTGCTTCTAAAGATATAGTTGAAGCTCCTTCCTCTTCTACGTTTTATACTACACATGATGAGGCGGAATCTTCAAGCTTGAGGTTATTTTGTTTATTTCCCTTGTTTATGTCAGAAGTAGGGCTTTCACTAACGGTTAATTTTTGCCTTTTGGGACTCGAAGCTCTTGTTCTTCTCCATTTGAGCCGCCACAGGCAATTATTAACCGGTTATGAACAACTCTAGTTATAAGATTAATAACATCATTTTTGGATTTTTCTGATTTATCTTTTTAAAGAATTTATTTTTTTAGTCCTAACGAACTACTCAACGAGTGTGACACTGCTTCTTCACTTCGTGCACTTTTTGAAACTTTTATGCATTGGTTAAATTCTTCAGGATCTATTTCTCATTTACCTTTATCAATATTACATTCTACTTTGCGTTCTTTATCTTTATTGTCAGATTTATTTCAAGAAAAGGCTTTTTACATCCAAACTTTTTCGACAATTAAAAGTTTGTTGGCTAACAATCCGGTTTAATTTTAACATTAATTTTTATGATTTAATAATTTTATTTTTTAAGTTTTTGTTTACCGATCCTACTTGTAAAGGCTATTCATATTATCTTTTGCTTAAATGTGCTTCTGTTTTGGATTGGATGGAATTGGCTGATTCTGGTGAAGTGGTAAATTTATTTTTTCCTTTACATGGAAGTGTCTCGATTCCCTTAAATTTTTAAATTAATTTTAGTCAACCTCCAAGTATATTGAGGGAATTATCCATTCTGGATTTTTACAACAAGACGAGAAATTCGTTCAAAATTGTTCTCTTCATGGACTTTTATATTTATCACAATCATTAGCATTAGACAATTTACACAATATAATGTCAATTTCTTTTGATTTTGTTGTAAAAGAATTGAAACAATTGAGACAAGAAGGAATAAATTCTTTTGATTGGTATTAAAATTGTTTATATTTTTAATTAAAAATTTTACTTTTTTTAGTTTTATTTTTTATCAAAAATTATGTTGGGCATTTGCCTTTGGAATTTTACAAGAAGCTGTCCCTTTATCTAAAAATTCACGTGATGAATTTTTTCAATTAGTCAAGCTTATGTTTATTGATCCTCATTTACCTGACTGGCTAAAGTCTTTATTAACCCGTGGTATTGAATCTTTAGTTCTTCATAGTTGTAGGTATGCATAAAATAATTTTTTCAAACAAAAAGTTTTGAAATTTTTTAGTTATGCTTCTAATTTTCGTCAAATTGCCTTGAAATATTTTGATACATATCAACTTCAACCTGGACATTTACCTTATGCTCTTTCAATTTATTTTACTTGTGCTTATAGAGAATTAAACGAAGGTGGAGAATATACCTATGCTTTCAATAAAAGTTTTGGCGAAGATTTTCTTAAAATTTTGAACATGTATTTTTTTATAAATTAATTTTATTTTTTTATTTTTAATTTTCTAGATTTTCTTTCTTCTCAAATTCTCCAATAGAATCAAAAGTTCTTTCAATGTGTCATCTAATTTCTGATCTTGTTTCATTTGTCTGGGCAAAGGAGGTGGTTTTAGAATGTATTTGGACTCTTTTGATGCCTCCACTTACTCCAATAGCTTGTAAATATTTTGAGATATGATTTTAAAACTTAAACTGTTTTATTTTTTAGCACCAAGAAAACCGACATCGTCCCCCTTTTCTTCTCAAAATGATACCAGTGATCAAAGACTGTCAACTGATTTTTCTGATCCATTGCAATATCCTTCAGGAGCTTATAGGTTTTCGACATTTTTGTTAAGACCTACTTAATTATATTTTTTAGTTTTTCTGATAACAAGCCATTACTTCCTCAACAACTTATTTTAAGCAAATTTGATCAATTTCTTGTTCAATTAATTTTTTTCATTTTGAGAAAATTGTACAAAACTGACAAGTAATTTTAATACTTTAAAAGTTCAAACAATTTCTTTAAATTTAGAAAAGTTTGTTATGAATTGTTGGCAAATTTTTTTATTCCAAAATTAATGAATAGACTAGAAAATTCATCAGAAATGATAAGATATTTAACTTTGATTTTACTTTGTTCAACAACTAGCAATGAAGCTAATAGTAAAAGGTTTGGAGAAAATTTTGAATTATTCATAGACTTTGAAATAGGAAGTTGGGGGTCTTCTACTGGATAGAACCAAAAATTGAATTTTGTGTTCCTTTGTGAGTAAACATCCAATTTTCGTTTTGTGTTTTATGGGAGTGATCATGTATGAATTTCCTCTCGTCATAAAATTAAATTTTAAATCTAATCTTTCAATTTTAAGAGTCCATTTCCTGTTTCGATCTAATCCTTTTGATTCTGAATTTTTCAAAGCTATTTTTCATTCTGATTATATTAGCAAATTAATTAAAGACTTTTTGGATGAGGTAAAATTTTTTAAATTTATAAACAAAAATGTTTTTAATCTTCAAGTTCGATTCTTTCAAACTTGTTGAAGATCAAAAGAGGAGTGAGCTTTTAGAATTTTTTCTTTCAACATTATCAATAAATTATATTTAATTTCTAAAAATTATAAGATATTAATAGAGCTTTAAATTAATAATTTATTTTTCAAAGAAAAATTTACTTGAAAATTTTAAAAAGGAAACAATTTTTTGATATTTTTTATTAAGGAAATTCCATTTTTAGAGATCTAATTTGTATTAGCTTTTTGTAACATTCAAAAACATCTGCTTAATATATTATTTTTGGAATTTTTTTCTTGAAAATTCTTTTTTCAGAGTTGCCTTTTTCCAATTCGTCTTAAAAGCAATGAATTTTAAAATTACTAGAAGCAGATGTTTTGTTTTAATCTTGATTCTTTTGGCTCTATTTAATTATTTTAGAAACTCTAAGATTTCTTTAAAATCATAAATAAATTCTAAACATGTAGAGGCTATTTTATATTCTCCACAGAACACGTAGGATCTGGTCCCTTATCCCTTTATAAGAATCCGTATTAACTAATAAATTAACTAATTATCAAGCTTAAGATATTAACCTTAATACTATAATAATAATCTCAAAATGTCAAAATCCCTGTATGATCTGGTTCTACTCTTTACCGCAACAAAAGCAGCTTTCAGCATTCCAGCTATTGTTCTAAATTGTTCCCTAATCTACGTAACTATCAAATCTAAATGTCTTCGTAAAGGGTTATGTAATTGGCTTTTGGCTATTTATGATGGCTGTTTGGTAGTTTATCTGGCAACATTCCCTTTAGCGTTATTTCAACATTTACTGACCAAAAGTGATTTGATGCCTTTTTGGAAATGTTTCTTGCTTCAATCAGTTCCCCTCACACTTTTTGCAGCTTCTTTCCCTTTTATGTTAGCAATCGCTCTAGACAGATTTATTGGAGCTGTATTTCCGTTAAAGTGAGTATTCTAGATAATTACCGACCCTCCGAATTTAAGATACAAATCGTTGAAAAATCCCTACTATATTGGAGCAGTATTTTTTGCCTGTGGTTTCTACGCAACTTTTTACTTTGCAATTTCTATAAGTAATTTAATTCGTTATTATAAAAGGTAAAATAAATAAAATCCCTTTGAATTTAATTTGTGTTAAGTTCAATAAGTTGTTCAATGATTAATTTGCTTCTGAGCTATCAACGAATTATGGCTATAACAAATATCCTTTTAGAGGCCATTGCAATTGCATTATATATTGGAATTGCAATAATTATATCGAGGAGGAAGGCTACTATCAAAAAACTTAGTGAATGTATGTTTGACTATCTAATTTGTTTTTTTTGGTTTTCTAGTTTGGCACAATACCCAGTGCCAGATTACCGGAATTATCCTTCAGACTATGGTCGTTTACTTGGTCTTCAGAATTTTCAGATTTCGCCTACGGCGCTAAATAATTCTGGATGAAGATTAAGCCAAGAACTGGCTTTAGTTAATCAAGAACCGGGGATCAGTTAAAAACTGAAATTTAGGACTAGAAAACCGGCCATAACCGAAACCGGGGAATACTGGTTACTAAACTGTAGTGAACAACCCTACTTTAAACATTAAATCTTAATCCTTTTCCTCTCCTTATAGCATCATTTGATCGCCGTATCTTTAAATCCTTGTTTGCAATTGCGTCATTTGACTTTATCGGATGGACCAGCAATTCTAGTGTAATGATTATTCTTGGATTTTTAAATTTAGATGCATTGACTTATTACAAAGTCTTAAGTTGTATAAGCTATTTAACATTTATTTCGGCTTGTTCAAACGCCCCTCTACTTTATTATTTCAGGCAAGTTTAATAGAACAATGTTTAAATGCATTCTCGTTTAATTTCAGCGCTTTATACCGTCAGGCATTTAACAAACACTTCCCCTTCTTAAAATCAAAAAATAAAATCCTTTTACGGAAAAAGAATGTCAGGATTGTTCCCATGCTTTCAACAGTTCAGGGAGGATTAGATAAACATGTTACAACAAGTGGAACAGTTTAACTCTTGGAACTTTTAGTGATTACTAACAAATGTTGTCAAAAAATGAATTAATAAGACAAAAAAAGATATCTTTTACTTCAAAATTTACTTTAAATATCCAAAATTTACTTAAAAATCCCAAATTTACGTAAAAATGTTTACATATCCCATAAAAATGTAAAAAAGTGTGTTTAAATAACATCAAAAAACTTTGTGAATATATGGAGGGTAGAGGAGGAAAAAAAATTTAAAAAATTTTTAGATAATGTCGTTTGTTCAGATTTTCTTAAAAATCAAGCTTTTTTCTCTCCCAAAAACTTCTTGTTCTCCCACAGAACTTCACATAGAATCAAGCGACCGGCTTGACCGGAATTTGATTTCCAATTTGATCAAACAACGAGTTTTTCACTTGAGGGGCCGAATTTACTTTGGGAACATTCTTCTGTATTTCATCACCAACTTTCAGCGCCAATTCGGTAGCCTCCCGAACTTTCTCATTGAAGGCTTTCTTCTTCAATTCTTCATCCAAATCCTCATTTCCTTTACTTAACAAATCGTTATATTCAGCTTTTTTCAGCAAGTTGCTATTTAATTTATTCTCTTTAAAATCTTCCTCGTCTGATTCTTCGGTTTTATCCTCTTCACTGGCATCTTTATCGTCCTCGTCCGATTCAGCTTTATCTAACGGAGAGTTAGACAAATCATCCTCATCATCATCACCAAGACTATCGTTATCAAGACCATCATCATCAGGACTATCATCAAAATCATCATCATCATCTTCAGCCAGTTTTAATGGAGGGCTTAACTTGCTACCCGAAGTTTCCAATCCTGAATAAAAATTTTATTATATTTAGTAAAATTTTACTTTATTTAGTATTACAGGCTTGGCCTATAATTAAGTTTACTACCATTATTTCCAATTGGTTTCTTGGAGAATTTTCCTTTTCCACCAAACATATTAGAAGCTAATGGGCCAGAAACTGAGGGAATCGAGGAGTTACGCAACATATTTCCAACATTTCCTCGTGGCACAGGGGAGGAAACATTTCGGCGTAAGGTTTCAAATTTAATTGGAGAGTGTTTTTGTGGGGTTTCAGCAGATTTTGGTTCAGAAGCATGTTTTCCACCAGATAAGAATTCAAGAGTTTTAGGCATATTTGCCTTTAGGCCAACAAGTTTCTTTAAGGGTGAAACAGCAGCATGTTTCGCACCATGTAGTTCATGCGCTTGTTTGACTTTAAAATTTTTTAAAAATTATTTTAAGATAAAATAATCTAAAGATCATTCTTATAATCTTAAAGGAAGTCACTCTATGTTAAGTTTTGGACTTTAAAATTAATTTTACCATTTAAATGTCCAGGTTTTGCTTGAGCATTTTTAGGTCCAGAATTTGTTTTGGGTAAAGCAGCAGCTTTATTCTTTTTATGCGCCTCTTGGACTTTAAAATTTTTAAAAAATAATTTAGTTTTGATAAAAATAATCTGTTACTACTTTTTTTTCAAAAACCTAATTTTATTCTACAAAATATTAAAATAAGTAGTACACCTGCATTAAACAATTCATCCATTTCTTTTTTAAGAGTTTCATCGCTATTTAAAAGTTTTTTAATTTGGGCGTTCAATTTTTTCATTTTTTCTTTATTTTCTTTTTTAACTTTTTTCTTTTCGCTTTTAGATAGTTTCTGATCTTTCGGTTTTGGGTTTCCGTCTTGATTGATTTTTTTACAAACCTGGCCTAAAATTAGTTTCCAATTTATTTTTAAGATACAGCCGGGCCTTATAAGATAACCCAATATTAAACTTTCAATCAAGATACTTTTTTAAAATATTTTAGGCTGTCTAAACGATGCCTCTAGGTTTCGGAGCACCACAAAAGGGAGCACCACAAACACGTTCGGGCGCTCGAACTTAGATTTTTCCCATAATGTTGTTCCCCACTACAGAGTGGCCCAGAATTATCCGGGGACACTATTTTTGGCATAACTTTATTCAAACTAAATATATAATGAGATCAAATAAAGATTAAATAAGACTGGGGCGTTCCCGCTTATTTTATAAAAAATGTTACTTACAAGTAACTGCTTTAACAAAATTTTTCTTGTTACTCTTTTTAATTTCTTCTGGGTGTTGACTCATTTCAACCAATACATTTTTGACTTCAGTTTTGAGCTTGTCATCTTCGATCACCTTATCATTTGGCTTGTTTCCATGAGCCAATTTGCTTGCTGAATCTTTAACGTGTTGAGCTGCTTTCTTTGCACCATGTATGGCGTGTTGAGCTCCTTTTTTCGCCTCGTGTATTTTGTTAGAAGTTTGTTTTCCTTTGTTTTGTTTCGAAACTACTTTTTGCGTAGCTGGCTTTCCTCCTCCTTCCTTTTCAGTGGTTGCTGCTTTTTGACCAGTTTTTGGATCAGCTGGTTTAATAATAATGTTTAAGGAAAATTAATGTTCATTATTTAACGCCTAGGGGTTTCTAAACGTACAATACTACAGCTTATACCCTTATATGACTTAATATACAAACCATGCAGTTGAACTATAACCGCCAGCAGAACAACAGCCAGCAGAAAAAGGGTAGACGAACGCATATGGGGCGGTCAAACAATGCTTTAGGCTGTAACTTTGTTTATGAATTTAAGAGAAGTTGAGGGAGGAATCGAGTAATGAATGTTGAATTCTCGAAGAGTTGAGGGCTCTTAAAAAGGAAACGATGCGAGCGTTTTTAGAGGAGGGACTTTGAAATCCGACACATGTATAAATCGAATTTTTAAGTCGAATTTTCTCTAAGCCCCTCTTTCTTTCAATATTTCATTTTATCCTTATCTCTTATCATATAGCCCAGCCAATCAAATATTTCAATTGAAATCAATGCTTTAATGGCGATTAAGGAGACGTCGACTAAGAAGAAGCATCGGCTGTCAAGAAGGTGGGGGAAATAACGAGTCGAATAATTAGGGGAGAAGAGATGCCAAATTGGCCAATGTATAATGAAGAGGCATGTAGGGGGGATATTCTCGGGCAGTCAATGCCAAAGATGGCAATCATGAGAGAAGATAAGCAAAATGATGTGCGCAAAATTATTAAGAAATTATTAAAACATATTAAATTAAATTAAGGAGGGGTATTCAAGCTCTAATTAGTTTTAAACTCATTGACAAGAGATTTCAAGAAGGTGCACGTTTATGACTCCATCATCTCTATTCAATACGACAAATAATATAAACAAAACTATAAGACGGGGTTCTATATTCAACAATAGAGGGTTCTTAGAGGATCCGTTAAAGGGTTCTTATAGTTGTCCAGAGTTGTGTACTACAAATAGCTGGGTCTTATCCGGAGAGGATTTAAGCCTAGTAGAATTCCTATGGATAGTTCCGACAGGATGTTTCCTCCCAGAAGTAATCGAAAAATATAATTAGAATTGGCGTTAAAAATAAAATTAATTTAATAATTTTGCGCACACCTCTGGGAAAATCTTATGAATAATTCAATAACATGTGAGTTGGGGAAGAAAGCTTAATCATAAGATTCCGGCAAGACTGCTCATGTATGCGAGCGTTAAAATTGATAAAATTTAATTGATTTTTAATAATTTTATAAATAAATTAATTTAAATTTATTTAAAAAAGTCAAAAAGTTGAAAATTTCAAAGCTTCCTTAAGACGATCTCGTCCTTATTAAGGAGATATTGTATGTTTTGGTTAGGAGATGAGTTGGGAGAAGTTTGGGGAGTGATGAGGGATTCAAATGAGCAAGACCATGAAGGTAGAAGTTGCGGGAAGTAAAGGGGAACTTCCAAAACTAAAAGAGGGGAACCCTAACTTCAAAAAACTTAAAAACACAACTAAAGTAATTTAAAATCAGATAAAAATTTTTTATCTAGAAACTAACGAAAATCTAATACAAAATTCATAAAAAATTTTAAAAATTAAAGTAATTAATATGCTTATTTTTTTAAATTAAATAGTTTTTTATTCCTTTTGTGAATTAAAAAGTCTATACAAAATTAATTGTCTACTCATTGTTTGAATTAATTGTTGGGTTAATAATGGATGATTTCCGGATATTAGGGAAGCTAAATTATTTTTTAAATTAATTTAAAGTAATTTAAAAAAAAATATTCACCAGTTTCCCTTTGTAAAGGTATATTTTTAGTTGATTTAATTGTTGGTGAACACAACCTTCGCAAATTTGTTTCTCCTGTTGAGTGTGAATTGTTGCCAATTGAAACAAAGAAAATTGAGATGGGAAGGAAAGAAGCCTTGGAAAAATATTTTTTGAGAATTTTTTGAAAAATAAAAATTTAATACCTCAACAATGGTATCGATAGTATCACTTGGATCCCTAAGCTGCCCATTAGTTAAAATTATAAGTGAAAAATGAATGCTTGCTTGAGCCTTCTGCGCGACTTTTGCCAATCTAAAAATTAAAAAAAACTCAAAACTTATCAAAATTTACTTGATAACATAATGAATGACTTGAGAATATTGTGTAGGTGCAAATGGCAAAAGAGATAAAGAAAAGTTTTTGTAGCAATTTAAGATATCTGGAGTGCTTCTAAGCCAAGGAGAGTCCAAATTACCATTCTAAAAATGAAAAAACAAAAAACTGGTTATCTCAAAATCACAATGGTATGAGGATTTTCAAGACCCATGCCTTTTAAATTTATATGTGATCTTCAAGAGGCTGTCAGAAAAAATTCTGATCACCCTCAAATGAGTGAAGGGAACGTCTCTCACCTTATGTCCCTTCAACCTAGTATATGTTCCCTTATCCCCTTTAGCACTACTTTGTATAATCGATGTTTATTGAGGTGAATCGGAATATCCAGAGGTGACTGAAATCGAAACTATGACCAAGGAAATTCTAAAAAAATGTTCAGAAACCGAAAGAAAATAGAACATGGAATCCTAACCAGAAAATGGAAAGCGGAATCCCGAACCTCTTTTGTAAATAAAAATTTTAAACAAACCAGAGCAAAAAGATTTGAAAATTGAAAAGATGGAGGTAATTTAGCACCAAAACCTAGCAAAGCTATTCTTCGCAATCTGAAAAATAAAAAAATAAATTCCAAAAAATTTAAATTTCATACTTATCAATTCTAGAAAAAGTTGTTGAAACACCTTCTAAAACATGCGAATAAGCATTAGATATATGTGGATGAACTGAAAAACGGAAAAGAAATTAAATAAAAACCTTTTTAAATTAAATTAACTAAAATGTAGAGAATCAGGAGAATTTGGCCCTCCATTATTCGAAGTAAAATCAATTGCTATAGTTGAATAAAATTGATGGCCAGATTTAATTAAATTAATCAAGGAAGGCACAGGTTCATTACTGACACGAACAAGTTCAATAGAAGGATTCTGGTCTTTGTTTTTGTGTCCAGTTCTGAGCTGAAAATTTTTGGAATCAAATGTCATCAAAAATTATTTTAAATTAAATAACCAAAAATTTGACTGAATTCATTCCAATTAACTGATAAAAAGTTGTAAAAGCCTGTCCAATCAATTGATCACCCTCAATTTGATTATAAGCATAATTAAAACAAGAAATCCTCAGAGACCAATCAGCCGATGATGGAAAAAATTGAGAGGGGAGTAAAAATTCTTTCCAACGAGGATTCGCATTTTTATTACAAAATTCGCTTCTATAAAGTAAAATCTGAAGAGAAAATTGACAAAATTATTTTTGAAAAATTTAAAAAAATTTACAGGTAATGGAGAGGATTCTTCAACATTATTGGTGGGAACAAGTTCAAGTAAAAAATAAGGCGAAGGAATGAGGCCAGAATTGTCCATATTATGCCCAATAAATTGAAAAACTTGAAGAACATTTTAATTTAATTTTTGAATTTCTAAAGAAACCTGTTCCAGAATTAACCCCGCAATTTCCAGGCTGTGAAACCGCACATTGAATAAATGAAGGCTGGGAAGATTTTATTTCTTGGTCCAAAATAAGTGGGATTTGAAGAGATTCAGAGACTCCATGGAGAATTGAAAACAAATTGAAATTAGACTGGCCTATTTTCCTTTGAATTACTTCGGTTTTGTGATCTACAGAATATCTGGAAAAATTTTGGTAAGTAAAAATATTTTTAAAAAATAAGAAAAAAAATTTTTGCAAAAATTTCTAAATTATTTTTTTGGTTTAATTTTTTTATTTCCACGTCTTGAAAAATATTTTCAACCAAAAATAAAATGGTTGACCAACGAAAGGACTCGAACCTTGACATAGTAAAAGTCAAAACCGAGACCTTTCCAACAAAACCAAAATTTACTTTTACGAATAAACTTTTAACATCATAAATAGTTAAATAAATTTGATTTAGACAACTTACACTATCAAACAAATTTGTTGTTCAAGATCCAAACGAAATACAAACACAACATTCCGTTCAAATTTAGGATTTAAACTTGAAATTGTTTCGGTCTGTCCAATCTTTAATTAAAATTATATTTTTAGATTTTCCCCAAAATTAAAATAAACCTCAACATAATTTTCAGAATTTTCATTTCTAGCAGTAATAGCCAATCTACATCCATTTAAACAATCAATGGGGAAATTCCTTAAAATAATTAAATTAAAAATTAATTTAATTTTAAAGCTTACACTCCAGCAAAGGTTAATACAAGTGTTGCTTCATGTGTCATTTAATTAATTTATTTTCTAGTATTAAAATTATCTAAAAATTAAACAGAAAATTTAAAGCAAATTCTATAAAAAAATAAAAAAAGAGATGACTCATTTTTAAAAATAAATTTAGAAATCTCCTAGAAGATAAAAACAATAATTCTATTACTTTTACAATTCTCTTACTCTAACTTCTTCAGTAATTTAACTACTGATTAATTTACAAAATAAATAGACGTTTTGGTGCGAAAGTTTCATCGCGAAAAAGGGATTTCGTTACTGTAACTCATTTACATTTATAAATGTTTGCTACTTGCTTACCTTTTACTTAGAATTTAATATTAAAAATTTTTTTATTTTTTACAATTTTTTAGAAATTTTTAAAGTGCAAATAAACAATAATTTCAACCTTAAAAAATTGAAGTTTGTTGACTACAAAATTAAATTTTTTTATTTTCTAGGTAGAGACACGATACGATAAACCTTCATTAATAAACATAATTGAAACTTTTTTTTGTTTAAACATTTTTAAAGTTTACACGAATATTTAAAATAAGGACACGCAACCTTTTAACACATTTTTCTAGAATTTTGTAGCGAGAAAAGGTTGGCACGTTCATGAAATAATACGAAAAGTTGGGGCAACATAATATGCATGAAACTTTTAAAATATTTTTACAAGCTTTATTTCATTCTATTAAATTAAAAAGAAAACCAAATTTTTAGAGACGAAGGATCCTGCCGTCCCGATTCACGTTTACATAACTTTTATTTTTTAAGCTCGGCAAAACCCCTGATAGACTAATATTTAATAACATTAAAAATTTATTTTTTATAATAACAATTCAAACATGTATCCCTTCTTATCTCATTTATTTCTAGACTTTAAAAAAATCGTCTTCCATGTCATCGCTGTCCTCGTCCATTACCACGGCATAACTTGAAGTCGATGGTTCTTCGTTATTCTTATTTAAATTTTTTAAGAGATTACGGGAAAGATTAATTAGAAAGAAGACTGGCACAAGAGAGATGTGTATTTGGTCCTACTCCAAGCTTAAAATCTTCGAATACCTTATCCACAGTTAAGTATCCATTCCTTGCTCTATTTAAGAATAAAAACCTTTTTGGCAACATGCACCCAATCCTCCTCGTTTTTCTTCTCCTTCATTTCTGCTTCCGATTTTTCAATATTTTCGAATTCCTCATCTCCATCAAAATTACTATCTGCAGTATAATAGTCTAGAGAATCATCAGAAGATGTTTGTTTAGGGGAGGATTTTTTAATAATTTTCACGTCCGGATTAGCCTGATTTCTTTTAACAGAAACATAATCAGAGTTCATATTTGCAATTGCTTTTGTAAAAGGAATGGGCTCTTTAGCTTTATTTTTTTCCAAAATTTTGTCTTTTTTAGGAGATTGAGAGGAAGTTCCTGCTTCATGTTGTGAAAATTTATTAGCATTTTCTGAATATCTTCTATTAAAAAAAGAATTTTTAAATAAGATAAACTTGTAGTATTTTCAGTGAGAACGCTTGGAATCCCTTTATATTCGCGATAAACAAAGCTTGGATTCTCTTTTGGCTGTGGCGGATTAAATTTTGGCTGCACAGACTCAATGGCTTTGCCAGTTGCACGATCATTTCCTCCTTGTAGAATTGTACGATCATTTCCTCCTAGAATAATTTAGGGGTATTATGCAAGAAAAAATAAGGTATAAATGCTTTCATAAAAGCTTTTTCCTTATTTAGTCCGGGTTTGGCCTCTTGTGTCCTTGTAATCGTTAGTTGATTAAACTTGAAAGACTTGGAGTTAGTTTACCTAAAATTAATTTCTTTTTATTTTGATTATCATTAAAATCTATTTTTGGTTTAGTCTTGTGTTGAACAGCTTCCTTATTTTTCGATTTCTCCTTTTCTTTGAGTATTTTAGTTTGTTCAATAGCAATAATTTTGGCAATATTTAGATATTTATCATTATCAAACATTAAATTATGAACTTCATCAAAATTGATACTAATATTGCTAGCGGGCATTGTTCCAACGAGCTTGCTGTTAATATATTCAGCAATTCTTTCTAAATTATTTAAAATCTTATTGAAAGCATGGAGTAATTTACGAGCTATAGCGAGTCCAGTAAAGATGCTGGTTCGCACCCAGCCGCCGATTAACCTTTTGCACTAGCTGAAGGAGAGAAATAGCTATAGCCCAGCTGCTTTACTCTATCATTTGATAAGCTTATGTGTGTCAAATATATTTACCTGAGAGTTCAGTAACAGTCCGCAAAAACAAACTATCAAATGCTTCATCTTTCTCATCAACTCCCAAACCTAATTCAATGTCCAATTTTTTAGGGATTCCAATTCCACGCTCAATTGCAAATTGTGGATTTTTTTCAATATTTTTCATAATTTGTTCGACTAAGCATTTTTTAAAAATTAATATACATTTCTCATGGTAATTGCTCTTCAAATAATTTAAAATTTTGCCTCTTGAAGAGGTGATAGTTTGGATATTTTGATCAATTTTTCCTAAGATAACTATCATTTAAATAATTAAGGGAATTAAATCACCAGCAAGGTAGTTCTGAAAATTTTCAATACCATTCAAATGCCCTGTATCTTCTTTATCTAATCCACAATCATCAAATTTATTTAATGCCTCTCCAATTTTATTGTAGAGAACTGCCCCACTTTTAATAGAATTTTTATATCCTCCTTCAACTTAAATTTTTTTGGGTATTTAATGATTAAAAGGTGAGTCTTGTTAATTTTAGGCGAGGATGGACTGGGATGTTTTGGCTCTTTAGGAGTAAAAGAAGGAGGACAGAAAGGAGAATACCCTTATTTTAGTGGTGTAGTCTAGAAGGTTGGGAGGTTCCCCGGACTTTCAGAGACGGGGATAATGCCCCTAATGTGAGCCCAAGTTTTATAACCTCGAATAACATGCTAAAAGTATGTCTACTAAATTTTACCTAAAACGCAGGAGCAAATAAATGCCAAATAAATTTGAATTAAAATAATGAAATTAAAATTCATTGGTTAAGCTAATTTAATTAAATAATTAATTTTAAATTAATTAAATTATCAGGTAAATTCTGCCTTTTTAAATTATTTACAAGGGCGGAATTATTTAAAGGGATTTAATAAATCCCTTGATTATTTCCCAATTAAAATTACAAAATATTTTACGAAAGATACGATTTCCTACGAGGGCAACATCTTTAAAGATTTACACGAGCCCAATTTTTGCCAATTAAAAGTGCATTAATGTGTAGTCAGGCTTATGAAATTAAAGGGAATTTTTAAAAAAATAAAGGGAGTTCACGTGAGTTCCGAATTTATTTCTTAATTAATAAAGTGCAAAATAACTTATGTAATGTAGACATGGTTGTTTGTTTCCGTTTTTTAAAGAGAAAAAGGGCAGGGAATTAATTAAAATAAATTTTTGTATGAATTTAAAGCAGACTCGGGAAAATCAGACAAAAATAAAAGACTTGATTTCAACATTTGGGTTGGAAATCAGGTACCTAGGTAGAGATAGCATGGAGGGGTTCATTGAACCCTTCATAGGTGGTGCAGGAAATTTTTTCTGTGTTCCTAGGATGTGGAGTTGATGGGGGAAAGTTGGGTTCTGTCGGGGGTCTTCTATGTAAAATTCAGGAGATGGTTTCGAAAAATTATAAAAAGTCTAAGAAAATTTTTTTTCCATGCACCATCGACTCTGTATCCTATTAAGGTTGGTCAGTTCGAAAATTACTGATTGTTCCTTATTTAATTCACTATCATTTAATATTTATATGATCTCATTATCTTAAAAATTGAATAAAGTTATGACATAAATAACGTGCCCCATGACTTTTTGGTCACTTCGTAAAAATACCTGAAAATACCTGCTAAAATATTTTCCAATAAAAAACTATTTTTAAATTAACATTTAAATTCCAAATAAAATTTTATTATTTATTTAATACCTCCTTAAATTTATTTTCTTAGAATTAATTGAAAAGGAACGAGAACCTTTTTTATTTTAATAATTTATTTAAATTAGCATGTGCCAAATGCCCTTTATTTTTTTAAAAATTAAATAATAATAAATAATAATTAAATTATTTACATAAAACTCTAATAAAATTATTCTCTGAACGTTAAAATGGACGCGATTCTTAAAATAAAAATTTATTAAATAATTAGGTAATTTTGTAAAAAATTAATTTTCAATGCCTTAAATTACTGATAATATTTTCAAATAGTTTTTAAAATAATTTCATAACTTATAATTTGCCTCTAATTACTTTAAATAAATATTAAAAAACCCCGATAAATTTATAAAAATATTTTTAAGTCTGCAAAAGTTATTGAAAATTTTGTCAATTTGGTTCAACAAAAAATTTTTTCTAATCACATATTAAATAAAAAAATTTGTCTAAAATGGATATATTTTTATTTAAACGATCTGAATATGAACGTCGATACACTTGCGAGAATGTTACTGTTGGGCAAGTACCTCTAAAACAACGTCAAAGTCTGATCCTTGGGAGTATAACGATGATTATGTTTATATTCTATCATGTAAATATTATTTAAAAATTTGTTCAAGTTAGATGTTCTGAGGCCAATGGGACCCTTAAATATTGGGGCTCCAAAAACAACAATGGCGCCCTTGGATCTGGTCCCTGTTCTTGGAATCAGTTCCCGGAAGCGAAAACTACTGCTCATAGCTTAGAATCACTGAAAGGTCTGCGTATACGGATTTTTGTTTGGTTGGGTTTACCAACTCCATAAGGGATCTTATTAAATTTATTCTTAGAAAATCCAACCCCAAAATTTAATTGTTTACCTCTACTTTAAAATCTATTTTTCTATCAAGATTCTCTACATTCCTTGTATCTTGTCTTTATCCAAAAATCTTAAATCTCCTTGCTACAAGCTTTTATTCTATATCGGAATCGTTGATATAATCGGTCTTTGGATTACTGGATTTGAGACGGCCCTTTTCGGACTGCTTGGTTTTGTTTATTGTTCATCTCCTGTTTTAATGTATATTAGTGGATGTTTTGCATGTGGTAATTTATCAGAAAATTTTAAATAAATTTTAAAAATTAAAAAAAGCTGTTTGGGGAGCGGAGACAACGGCGGAGGCAGTTTTGGCATTTAATCGTTGTTTGGATATGCTATTTCCTCGTATAGCTAAATTGTTATTTGAAGGTATTTTGGGGAGTCTGAGGGATCATTCTAAGACGAGATATTCATTAAAAAAATTTTTAAAGGAAGACGAACTCTCCTTTGGCTGTTAGCCATTACCCTATATGGCTTCAGTTGGCTTTTTTATGCCACCCCGGCATTGTTTACTGGAATCCATTTTTCTTGGTTTTTCAACCCCTATGTTGGTGGGTACAAAAATACTACAGAAAATGTAAATTTAAATTATCAGAAAAAATCAGAAATTAAAATTAAGTATGTCTGTGTTTTCGATGCTTTTCACAACATTACAATGGCTATCTTCCTTCCAGTAGTATACGGCGGATTTTTAATTGCGCATTTTGCTTATAAGCGTACACGTTTTTCTAATACTACAATTTCTAAGACTGATATAGAGGTCAGAAAAATTTTTTTTTGAAATTTCTAAAATTAAAAAAATTTTCCAGATAATCATTCAAGTATTTATCATTAGTCTTTTAAATTTCGGAGCTGCTACACTTTTTATTTTAATGAATCACGTCCAAATAACTGAACCCTATATTATCGTAACTCAATTCTTTTGGTTCCACGTTCATGGTTTTTTCCAAAAAATTAAAAAAAATTTTTTATTAAAGGTTTCCCTCCTATAATCTACATAATATTAAATAAAACTATCAGAAATGACTGCAAAAAATTCTTTCTTCCAAAAAGAGTAAGCAACTATATTAATAGTCAAGGACAAATTACAACTGAATTTGATACGAAAGGATTAGGATTAGATTTGGCTTTGAGTGGAGAAAGTGTCAAACTACCTCCGTTACAAAGCAGAGTTGCTCCTGTTAACTTTTGAAAAGAAATATGAAAGAAATTGTGATTTTAAATCAGACCTCTGATTTTGTAACAGTATTCTTAAAAGATTTTTCTGAACATAAAGTTCTTTTTAAAATTTTGTAACCGAAACTATAAAAATTTTATTAATTTTTTCTTCAATAAATTACCCATATTTATCTAAATTATTTCTTTTAACGTATAGAAAGTAAAAAAAAAAGTAAAGGATTAAATAGTGCCAGCCTTCATTTGCTATTGCCAGTCGAGGCATTCTCGCGCGGCTAATATTTTTCTTCAACTATTAAATAAAAATAAAATTTATTGCTATTGATTCTTCAGAAAACAAGCAATAATTTACTTAATAAATTTTAAAACTTTCTTTTTCGAGATAAAAAGAAATTAAATAAATCGTAGCTACTTTAAAAAATTTTTCAATGTCCAAGATGGAAATATTTTTAAATTATTTATTCATTTTATTTGCAATAACTTTTACACTCGCAAATAACCAGAATATTGAGGAAACTGAAAACACAACTGAGAATGTTTCAGTAGCTCCAGCCGGGGTGAAGACTAGAAAAATTTATAAATTGGGTCGTGATCCAAAAGAACTAAAGGCAGAAGTGGATCCTCTTTCTACTGTGAGTTTTTAAAGATTAACTGCTGTCGGAAAATTATTATTTCCGGAAATTAAATGCTTATTAATTATTATTTCCGAAGATTAACTGCTTCCGGAAAATTATTATTTCCGGAAATTGAATAAATAGTTCCGGAAATTAGATAAATATTTCAAGAAAATAAATGTTTCCGGAAAGTGAATAAATAGTTCCGGAAATTAAATAATTGCTTCCTGAAGTGGATAAAATTTAACAAAAATTCCCCCATGATTTAAAGGAGGTTCCTTGGAAAAAAGTCAATCTCTCAGATGTCAGTAACGATACATTAAACACCGATGGATTTATAAATGTTGGTTGGTTCAGGGAAATTATACAATCATTGTTTAAATAATTTATAAGCTTGTTATACTGAACTTAAAGCTGCGCCAGAAAAATTGTACAACAAAGCCTTTCGTTTTGATGTTCAAAAGGTTTTTGAGAAAACTAATAAGCATTGTACGTTTGTTTATGTAAAGCAGGCACTGGTTTACATGACCAGTGCCGGATTTCAGAGATATAACTCGGAAACCATGACACTGACATTCTTCAAGATGTCCTTAAAACCCCCTATTACCTCTTAAAAATCCTCAAAATCCTAGTAAACTCTAGTAAATAATTATTTATTGCAGGTATGCTCCGTTTCCCAGTAGGCATGTACCTTTTTTTGTACCTTTTTTTTCTCTTGGTTTTTCAACCCCTATGTTGGTGGGTACAAAAATACTACAGAAAATGTAAATTTAAATAATCAGAAAACCCAACAATTTAAAATTAAGTATGTCTGTGTTTTCGATGCTTTCCACAACATTACAATGGCCATCTTCCTTCCCGTAGTATATGGCGGATTTTTAATTGCACATTTTGCTTATAAGCGTACACGTTTTTCTAATACTACAATCTCTAAGACTGATATAGAGGTCAAAAAAATTTTTTTGAAATTTTTAAAAATTTCAAAAATCTTTTCAGATAATCATTCAAGTATTTATTATCAGTCTTTTAAATTTTGGAGCTGCTACACTTTTTATTTTAATGAATCACGTCCAAATAACGGAACCCTATATTATCGTAACTCAATTCTTTTGGTTCCACGTTCATGGTTTTTTCCAAAAAATTAAAAAAATTTTTTTATTAAAGGTTTCCCTCCTATAATCTACATAATATTAAATAAAACTATCAGAAATGACTGCAAAAAATTCTTTCTTCCAAAAAGAGTAAGCAACTATATTAATAGTCAAGGACAAATTACAACTGAATTTGATACGAAAGGATTAGGATTAGATTTGGCTTTGAGTGGAGAAAGTGTCAAACTACCTCCGTTACAAAGCAGAGTTGCTCCTGTTAACTTTTGAAAAGAAATATGAAAGAAATTGTGATTTTAAATCAGACCTCTGATTTTGTAACAGTATTCTTAAAAGATTTTTCTGAACATAAAGTTCTTTTTAAAATTTTGTAACCGAAACTATAAAAATTTTATTAATTTTTTCTTCAATAAATTACCCATATTTATCTAAATTATTTCTTTTAACGTATAGAAAGTAAAAAAAAAGTAAAGGATTAAATAGTGCCAGCCTTCATTTGCTATTGCCAGTCGAGGCATTCTCGCGCGGCTAATATTTTTCTTCAACTATTAAATAAAAATAAAATTTATTGCTATTGATTCTTCAGAAAACAAGCAATAATTTACTTAATAAATTTTAAAACTTTCTTTTTCGAGATAAAAAGAAATTAAATAAATCGTAGCTACTTTAAAAAATTTTTCAATGTCCAAGATGGAAATATTTTTAAATTATTTATTCATTTTATTTGCAATAACTTTTACACTCGCAAATAACCAGAATATTGAGGAAACTGAAAACACAACTGAGAATGTTTCAGTAGCTCCAGCCGGGGTGAAGACTAGAAAAATTTATAAATTGGGTCGTGATCCAAAAGAACTAAAGGCAGAAGTGGATCCTCTTTCTACTGTGAGTTTTTAAAGATTAACTGCTGTCGGAAAATTATTATTTCCGGAAATTAAATGCTTATTAATTATTATTTCCGAAGATTAACTGCTTCCGGAAAATTATTATTTCCGGAAATTGAATAAATAGTTCCGGAAATTAGATAAATATTTCAAGAAAATAAATGTTTCCGGAAAGTGAATAAATAGTTCCGGAAATTAAATAATTGCTTCCTGAAGTGGATAAAATTTAACAAAAATTCCCCCATGATTTAAAGGAGGTTCCTTGGAAAAAAGTCAATCTCTCAGATGTCAGTAACGATACATTAAACACCGATGGATTTATAAATGTTGGTTGGTTCAGGGAAATTATACAATCATTGTTTAAATAATTTATAAGCTTGTTATACTGAACTTAAAGCTGCGCCAGAAAAATTGTACAACAAAGCCTTTCGTTTTGATGTTCAAAAGGTTTTTGAGAAAACTAATAAGCATTGTACGTTTGTTTATGTAAAGCAGGCACTGGTTTACATGACCAGTGCCGGATTTCAGAGATATAACTCGGAAACCATGACACTGACATTCTTCAAGATGTCCTTAAAACCCCCTATTACCTCTTAAAAATCCTCAAAATCCTAGTAAACTCTAGTAAATAATTATTTATTGCAGGTATGCTCCGTTTCCCAGTAGGCATGTACCTTCAATATCGCTTCAAGTTTTCCGATCCAAACGTTTAAATTAATAAAAATGCTCTTTATATTTTATAATATTTTAAAGACCTATGCATTTTGGGCTTTAGGGAACTCTCCAAACTTTACAGTAGGAACTACCCGGCTAATTTCAAGTACAGAAATGTATGATCAGCCCTTTAATTGGTGGAAAGGCGAGTTTAAAAAATTAGAAAAAATTTTAAAAAAGATATAAAAATAGGTGTGATTCATGTACCATGCCGCTTTGCAACACTCGTATTTCGACCGTACGTGGCTGGGGAAATATTTGAATTCAAGTTTCTGCCTTTTCCTCCAAAAATCGTTGATAAATGCAGCAAATTGGAAGATAAATATTATCAGTCAATGAAACAATCATAAATTATTATTTTTGTTATTTTATAGTTGATTGTTCAAACATTCCTTTTTTAATTCTTTTATAAAATAAAAATCTTGTTTCTCAAAGTTCCGTATTTACGTCTCACTCAACTCAACGAGCCCCTTCGAATGAACTATCTTTTTAACCCCTAAAAAGTGCTTGGTCACCCCTATAGTCTTTTGACTTTCGGAGACCCTCGGCCCATATATGTTACTGTAGACTAAGTTTTCGTCATTTAAACATTTCAAACGGATCGGTTTATGGTCCCTCAACACAATTTTACCAAGAGTCCATTGACGGAAATTCCATTGACGGAAGGTCCATTGACGAAACAGCCGTGCCACTTTTTGCTTTGACAAATTAGAGTCTATTGAAGTTCTTTTAAGAGTAAAGAAGAGTATTTTTGTAAAGATGTTTTGATCATCCGTTAGAAAAAAATTCATTTTAATGAGACAAATAATTGTAATTATCCTAAAACGTCTAATAAGTGCCTTATTTGCTCTTTGTGGAATAATCCGACGTGTATTCACTTGCCAATGGATCAGGCGTAATCAACAAAGGATTGGGGAACTTCCAACATTTATTACAAACAAAAGGGAGAATTTAGACGAATTTACTGGTTTTTAAAAAATATTTTTTAAAAATATTTTATTAAAGAAAAAGGAGGTTGGTCAAGTTGGAATGAAAATCCCTCTGCTGTTCTAACAACAGATACATCCTCCCAAATTGAAGAATATAGAAAACAGATGCAGGCTAACCTCTTAGCTGCTAGATCTGCCAAAAAGAAATTTAATCCTTCACAAAATAGTTTAAATAATGGAAATAATTTACAAAAAGTACCTAATTTTATTAAGAATAATTTCCTTTAAATTATTCAATTTTTAAAAAAGGTTGTGATAGAACCTGATTTATTTGATGAAATTCAACCTCAAGTTAAGGCTCCTAAAAGAGTTGGTAGAAAATTAATTAATTTAAAATTTAAAAATTTTTTAAATTTTTAAAAAATTATTAAAGTTATTGATCAGACAGTCACAAAATGAACAACAAAGAAATTTGTTTGAAATGAGAGATTGTGATACTCCAATAGAGGAGATGTTGAATGAGGTTTTGAAAATTTATTTTGGGATTATTGATAAATTTTTGGATGAAATTAACTAATTTTTGGATAGCCTCCTTAAGAGCTGTCCGCAAACGAAAAATATTTTTTGTGGATAATCCTCAAATATTTATCTGCAAATGTTGATCCACTAGCATCTATGAACCATTAAAGGATCCCCTTTAGACAGTAAAATATTGCAGGCTTTCTTTAAATTAATATTTTAACAGAGGCCTGGAGAACTTGGCCAACTAGTCGAAAGCCACATAGACAATGAGGACGTGTCTAATTGGTTATCTGATGAGGACAATGTATTTAACTAGTTGTTAATAAGATTTAGTATTAAAATAATTTTAAAGATAAATTTTGAACAATTAAATTCTGTTGAACAAGAACAAAAAAGAAGAGAACGAGAAATGAGGAAACAACAACGGCAAACAGAACATTCAAAACAGTTGGAAAACAAAAAACGTTTACTGGAACAAAAACAAATGGGAAGTTCGAAAGCTTTATAAAAACGGGCATAATTATGTATTTACTGTGTTAGAGAAGTCCAAATCTCTTAGATTAAGACCAAGACTTATTGGAGTTTATTGAAATTAAGTCTTGGAAAAATCTTTGGTCTTGAACGTATCTATTGTATAATTTATCCAACTGATTAAATTAATAGGAATTTTAGGGACTTATTTAACTAAAAGTTTCTCAACGGTGTCCTTAAATTTTTGGAGTTCTCTGGAACCTGTGGGTCTCCGTAAATTGACTGAAGCGCTCCTCTGGAACCTTAGAGATCACGAAAATAGAGCTAGGCCTCGATCGGAATCTAGCCAGTTATTTTCTTGGAGCTAGATTAAGTGATCTATATTTAATCCTAGAAATCAGCTCCTTAGTTGGATAATAAAAATTTCTTTCATAGAGGGGGTTGTGTTTTTTTTGTAAATATGTATATGTATATCTTTACAAATAAAAATTTTTTAAACAAATAACAAAATTAAATAAATTATCAAAAATATTATGATTCATTTCCTCCTCCTACTTTCAGCCCTTTTTTCATACTCATGGATAGCTCTAGCACATTGAATGACACAAACGGTGTCCTTAAATTTTTAGGGATTTTTTTAAAAAAGAATTTTCCCTCTCCCCCACCTTTTTTATCTCATTAAGTAGGTAATCTTCAAATAATTCTTCACACCTTTCTATGGTAATTGAATGACATTCTGGCTGAAAAATTTAAGAAGAAAATTGGGAAATAATAGAAAAGACTCAACCCCTTCAGCTGTGCATGTACACGTAACACAGGGGGTGATACGTCGATTTTTCCCCATATTGATCACTCGCTGATCGACAACACAAAAATCTGAGCATTTTAAAGTTTAGGGGGTTAGGCTTTTGAATTTTACTTCTGTCTAGCCATTCATAAAGATTTGTGGCTGGCAATTCGGAACATTTGATTGGGGCATTTCTTTAATTGTTAAAAAATTTATTTAATCCCCCTTTCTATGAATTTTAAAAATTAATTTTTACACTAATTCATCAGGCAAAAGAAAAGCATTGGGTTGTATTCTATGTGCATATTCACTAGATTCACAAATCATTCGACTTAAAGTGGTTGTTCGAATTTCTGCTAGTTGCCCTTTAATTTTAAAATTTTAAAGAATATTTAGAGGATCATGCCTGGAGTAAATCTATTAATAGGATCAGAATTTTCATAAAAAAATCTGTCGCATCTCTTCAATCGTTGAAATTGTTCAGCTAAAATACACGCTAACATCGGGCCAACCAATGCGCCTTTCAACGGCTTCTCGGACATTATCCCTGGGAACAAATCAACATCATCTACACTAGCATAAGCTGCTTTGAGTGCATTAACAGCAGCTTCATCCATAGTATCCAACAAATCCTCAAAGCTTGAAGCCCTTTCGAACCCACATATTTGGCGATAGGAATTGTAGGGAGGAATGCCATGATCTCTTTTAAGAAAAATTAATCCATGCCTTAGAAGATAAGAAAGGACCTTCCTCTCTGAATATTAACTGCTGGTAAATCAAGTCCAGTTAAGGGGCCACCAGGCCTTTGAAAAAGGTGGTTACGTACTGCATCAACAATGAAACGGTCATAGTCCATTCTGAATGATATCTCTTGGATTTATTATTTTCTAAATTAAAAACCCTGCTGATCCAAGCAGTCCCATTAATATAGATTCCATATGGCCATTATTTTCGTCATATCTTTTTTTAGAAAATTTAATTTATACTCAAAATAAGTTTACATTGGAGAAGCATTGTTGAAGGTCGTCTCGAGTTTAACTCCTTCCCAGCCGTGGTTATATGAAGAGTTCATTCGAGGGAATACATTTCTGAAAATATTATTTACTTTTAATATTTATCGTAATCCTCTAAATCACCTTATAAGGGTATGTCCAAAGCGCATAGCTGCGGTGGCTATAAAAATTTAATTAAGGTAGAAAGGTGGAACATAGGAGCAGGTCCTGTGACAATCCCCGCTTATAAGTCTTTCCGCTTGTAAATCCCCCTAAGAATCCGTGTCGCTTCTAAGTACCTAAAGTTACAGTCGGTTTAAATAAGTTGGGTGGATAATGTATTCTCAGAGCATTCAAGACTTATTAGGGAGGCATTCGAGAGTTAGTTCAAGAATTAGTTGATTCTAAGAGTTACCAAATTCCTGTGAAATTGAAGCATCACAATTCGGATCATATCCCTCATAATAGCCACTTTTTCTTGGCATAAGATCATAACTAAATAATCATAATTATTTTCCAAAGTATTCTCAACTACCGAGCCATTAATTCGCATCCTAAAACAACGGGCAACCATTCATTATAAACAACATGTTGAAGTTTGGCAATTAAAATCCTTCGAGTTTCCTGAAAATTCTCTCAGAAAGTGCCTAAACTTAAGTTCAAGCTACCTGGAATATTTGTTCATCCGACCAAAAATTATTAATTTTGTTAAGTGCCAAAGCTATTTGATTGTGTTGGCGTAGAAATATTGTGTGTAGAACGGTTAGACCAGGTTGCTCGTTGCTTCGTTCATCACCAGCATTAAAACAAGAAAATTGGGGTCGAGAACTTTAAAATCAAAAATAAGGTTCGAGAATGGTTTAAAAGATTTAAAGACGCACAGACAATCTCTCTCTTGAAGGCCTTGTGGAAGTGCCTGTGATGAATTAATTTCTTAGTCCTGACTGATATAAGGTCAATCAACCTGTTTATTATAACCCAAATTTGTAAAATTCATTCTCCCTCTATTAAATAGCCTGAGGGCATTGGCTTCACATTCTGTAGACCCATAAATATAGGAAGCATCAAGAAACGATGTCAGCTGGTTAAGTTGATTTCGATAACTAGAAATATTTTCATACTAAAATTTAAATTATTAAAGACCCAAGAGTTAGTTGCCCAAGCAATGAACGTGTAAACGGCATGCATCGAGGTGATCCATCTGAATGACGTCCAGGAAAATGAGGATCACTAGGGTCGATTTGAATAGGAAAGCAGTGAACTGAGAGTGTGTCAAAGGAATCACAACGGCTGCAATTAAGTATTGCGTTGTTTGGACCTGAATTTTTGAAGTTTTCAAGTCTTTGAACATCCATAAATCAGTCACTATAACAAAAATCCCTCCATATTATACCTCTAGCTACAGGAGAATGTGTCATGTCGTGATCCAATATTTGTCCAAATTGCATAACCATGTGAGAAAACTTGACATGGAAACGAGATTCAGATTCATTTTCAGGTAATGCCTCCAAATGAACCAGATTGGAAACATGTCGTGCCGAAGGCAAAGGCTTTCCATTTCTCCCTTTGGTTCGAGGTAAATCGAAGCCTATAGCAACGAATAAAATTTGTAGGGAATAATCTCTTCAAAACACATACCATCATCATAGACTGGATCTAAAATCCGCCTTAAAGGTTCAAAAGCATTCCCAAAATGAGGAAATTGGAGGTTATTGCACCATCCAGAGAATGTACCTGTTAAGCATTAATGAAAGATTTTCAAATTCAATTTACGGTATATTGCTGTATGGTCACAGGGTAGAGGTTTGGGCAAACATTCTTTACGATTTTGAGTATGCCCTCCAACAAGAGCAGTAAAGTTTCCCACTACTCGGGAAACATCCACCTCAGGCAGTAATCTCTGAAGCGTTTCCACGCTTAATTCAGAAGGAAGCCTTTCGCTGACGTTCAGGGCAACACTTAAAGGGAAGGCTGTTTAGAAGGTTCTAGAGGACATCCTTCACCTACCCTCTAATCAAAATTTTTGTAGTCTCGCTTAGAATACCAGCAGTAAGTGCAATATCTAGCGACTCCCTTTTTGGAGCCATTAAAGACGCATGAGTAAATAGGGCACTTGGAATTTGATGTAAATCTCCAGTTGGTCTAGGTTGTCTATTAAGTCTCCCATTCTCCGCCTCTTGTAATCTTCTGAATTGTTCAGCCCCTAGACGAACAGCTTTTTCTAGCGTTTCTTTAGTTATGGGTAATTGACTGCGGTGTTCTTCATCTCTCCAATGGTTCAAATTTAAGCGAGGAATGATTGAGGTTGTGTTGCAGTCTATTGGGCAATTTCTGTAAAATAAAGAGTCAATCCTCTTAATTTTTAATTATGGGTATTGGGTGATAAAACAGCCCATTACTAAATACCAAGGTCCACTTAGTAGGGGGTTACTGTATTGTGAGAGAAAAATTAACTCACAAGTAATTATCAGCCTGTTGAAATACGTTAGGTTGAATCATTCCAATATCATCAGTATTATCACAAATAACACCAGCCATAGTACTTTCCCTAATTGTTGATAGCTGTTTAAGTGTAAAGGCTGACGGTTCAAAGAAGTTTTCGTACCAAAAACGATCTCCATGTCGAAGCTTTTTTTGGGAATTTTATTAAATTACAAGACTAAAGTAATTACCCTTTCAAACTGTCTTTCAATTATACAACTAAATGTAGGCCCCAAAAAAGCGCCAGGTAGCGGGCGTTCTGCTAGTCCACCAACAAATAAGTCAATGTCATCTACATGTGGATATATTGACTTAAACTCCTCCAAAGGTGATTCCGGAAGGAAAATGTCGGGTAATTCTGTGAAGGATGTTGGACGACTTAATCCACACAATTTTCTCCAGGAAGTGAAGCTGGAAGATTAAAAATATCTTCATTTTAATCACCAAAATATTAACAAATCCACCTATCCAACCCATGATCTCTCCCCATTTGTATAATCATTGCAGCCAAATCGACCCCATATTTATCTGGTCCACGCATAAATTTGTCACGAAATTCAACATCAATATGTGGAGTATTTAATCGAGTTATTGGTTCGTGTAGTAATGTTCTAATAATCCCTTCTAGACGGCCTTTTTGATAAATTGAGGAAGGATCGTTAAATAAATTTCCAATTGCTCGTTGTTGTGATATCTCTCCCTTAGAATCCGTGAAGCCCAAAGTTCCGGGAAATAGTGAAAAGAAGAAAAGACCGGCAGAAGAGGCATATTCATTTAAAGTTCCAGGGTTTGTCTTCTGCCAAAAATTGAAGAACAAAATTATTTTTGTTATAAAGTGGATAAGAAGGGGATTTCTAAAGAAGTTAGCGAGACCCTCAGGCCTATGGACACCCTCATCTTCGCCTTACGACGTCTGAGGGGTCAGAGAGGCACTCTATTCTAGCTCAAGAAAAATCAAAATCAAACAATATTGTAATCGCTGTCAAATGTGTTCCTGCGAAGTTGTAGACCGCTTTCTCGTAGTCTGTCCTTCCCCAGCAAGATAGGCAAAAACTCGTTGAATGTAATGTGTTGAAGCTAGGATTTATTTTAAAAATAAATTAAAATATTAGCCCACTTGTGCAATAACTATTCTACGTGCTTCTTGAAAAAGGCGTTCGTCTTCCCATATTGGGTTTACTATCTGTTGAAGGATTTAAAAAATATAAGGGGATAGATGTTGGGGCAGGTTCGCCTTCTGGGCCCAGCTGACAAACATCAGTGAGAACATATCAACCTTCTGGGTCAGGGGGGAGAGGGCATACTTCCCCAATACGATGGGAGGAAGGTTGCTGGACCAGAAACGAACTCATATTGTTTTATTCACCTTAAGATTCCTAGCCAGCCGATTGTGTTGTCTGACCCAAATAGTATGTAAAGCTGCCGCTGTTGGCAAAAGATTGGTCATTCTAGAAGCGGAAAAAAAACAAGGTCTAAAACTTGAAGTTGACTGGCACACAATGTTGTCCAAATCTGGAGGAAGTAAATCTTGTCTAGAAGGTTGTGGGTTTGTTTTCATTAGACCTGTTCTCAAAAATAAACTCGAAAATTTTCGGGTATTTTTTAATTTTTTATACCGTTCGAAAACGTTCTCAAAGTTGATATTTCGTCTTCATTACTGCCGTATATGTGGCTACCATCGATAAATGAAGAAACTAAATTGGCCTGTTCTCTGGGTCCGAGTGAACAGTTTAAACGTGGAGCTGCCATTGAACGTGCATAAGGGAGGCATTGGCCTCGAGCTAAAAATTTTGTTTTAGGAATTTATATTTGAAAGAAATTGAAGGGGGTCAAGGGCCTTGAAGGTGGTTAAGGCCTAGACTGTCAAATAATCAACAAAGAATTCCTTCACCTCTATAAGGCAAATCATCAGTATCCGTTATAATAGGCAGACATTCAGGATGTTGCTCAGCACAACAAGGCATTGGAATAGAAGCAGAATTTCGAGAGGATTCTTGAATTAAATGAGAGAAACTTTCATTAATTTATTAAATTACCACTAGAAAATATTCTATTCGTTCCAATCCTAGCAATATCTTCATAAATAAATTGAGCCCATTGGGCTAAAAGTAAAGAACACGAATGTTTTTGATTTTTAGTTGAAGCTGTTGATCCATTCAATAATTTATTTGATATTAATCTTGGACTAGGCAATGGAGGATTTCCTTGGGAATTACTTAATTGTCGAGGCTTTTCAATACCTGAATTCTTTAAATTTATTTTAGTTAAGACAATTCACCGTCAGAATAAACAGCAGGCTTCAACCTTCTTAAGGGCTCGTAAGCAGCACCCCAAAGAGGTTCGCGAACGTTGTTGCAGTGGCCGGAATATGAACGGTACTGTAAAGGAATGGGAGGATTAAAAAACCTCTTTCTTATGTACTTCGATATAGGAGACCAGTAAGTTATATAGAGGGTTCATCCCGATATAGTGGACTTTATTCCGAAATATAGAAAGTTTCTTATGAGAGCTATTCCCCCCCCCCCCCCCCCCCATTTTACCTTCCCAGGAACACATTCGGAAATCCCATTAGTAGGACAGTGTTGTTCCAAAACAGTTTTGTGTAAAGACATATCAGCAAGTCCAACTCGAACTTGATCCACATTAATCAATGAATTGTTGCTTAGAAAGCGTGTTGCAGCTGTCGAGGCTAATGCTGAATAACTGAGTGTTTTAATATGCCGATCAGATCGCCAAAGTTCATTCCAAGCCATTGTGGAGAAAAGAAAATTGGTTGCTGGAAAATTCGATGTTGAGTGATTTGATTTAAGCCTCACCCTTAAAGTCCCTAAAAAGCCGATTTTCTGTTGTATTAAAAAGTTGATCAATTTCCGTTTTTGCTATTATCGCTGCATTTTGTAATCCTTTATCACCCAATAATTTTGAAATTTCGCGGACCATTTGGGCTTTTTTTGAATTTGAAAAGTATTCGAGTTCATCGTTTTGCGGCAGTTCACTTGCCTTTAGATTTTGACCTTTTAATAAAATACAAAAAAATTTTTTTTGACAAATTTCTGGAAGGTACTTGAACTTGTTTTAACACCGAACGATACTGACGATTTTTTGCTTTCTAGAGTGCTTGCATCAAAAAATAATTCGTCGTCCTCGCAAGGGATGAAACTGTTGCCACAGGGGATGTTTGACCTTATTAATTAGGTAAATGTTTAAAATTTAAACGAGTAAAGTAAATTAAGACTTACACTTTAAGCCCAGCAAAAGGGTCCAAATTCTCATTTCTGGCTGTTTTGGTGGTTAGGATTAAACAAAGAATAATTAGTGGGAGGAATATTTGGATTTTTAGGCAATATGCCTGAAGGGAATATCTCTCATGATTCATTATTTATTAACTGACTAAATTTGGTAATTAGATATTTGATAAATATTACCATTAGAGATCAGACGGAGCTGAGATCTTGACAGCATTCTTCCCTATAGGAAGAAAATAGGACAATTCAGGAATGGTCGTAGGTCCTAAAATATGTCACCATCACCTCCTTATAACTCCATAGATCACAAACAAAATCTCGGTTATTAAGTCAGAGATATCAATCTCAGTTCTCGAACGAACTCGCAAATTCTGAGTTTGCTACGTTGACCTGGGGACATTCATAATGAAAAATCAAGCCTAACAAAAATCAAATCAAAAAAGCTAACAATTTATGGGCATAAATCAGGCATTGGTATGGATAAATTTTATATCTCCTAAATCTTGTAGGGATCTAAGCAATCGAGAAATGTTCTCTAAGGATTCCAAATTAAAAATTTAAAAGAATTCATTAAATTTATGGGGCTGAACGACTTTTTAATTGAATTTAAAAAATATCTCTCAAAAAATAAAAATATTCATAACAAATTGTATATTTTATTTAACGGGATTATTATATAACAGGAAGAAAAATCTCTCTTTTGCATATTTAATTTTTTTCTGTTCATCCTAGGAACAGGAAAATTATTTGTGTGTGTTTTATGCGTAATATTCTCATCACGCGCAATAAATTAAAATAATTGAATATAAGCGATTGAGGGATGGACTGTAAAGGATATTAAAAATAAAGAAAGATTAGCTAGTTATAGGTATAAAAAATGATTGAGGACATGGGAATTATCGGGAAAAAGAGGAGTTTTTTTTAATTATTAATTAGTTTTATTTTACTGGTGCTTTACTAAAGTCCTAAAAAATTTTCTTATTTACAAATAAATGTGTGGGGTAATTTTGGTTTGCAACAGATTATACGTGGTGATTTTTAAATTAAAGTTACGGATTTTTAAAACTATTTTTTCAATAGTGGAGACCTCAATTAATTTAAAAATTTTAATCATTCAAAATAGGGAAAGGTGTTGATAAACGATAGAGTGTGAAGGAGGAACAGAAGGCGAGACTGCCAATTGTTCGATGAATCAGTTTAGCTCATTAAACCAACTTTCTTATTGTATTTAAAAAATATATCAAATAATTAATGTTGGTACTTTTCCGTTAGGTACTTTTTTCGGATCTCTATTTTTTAAACTGAAGGTGTATTTAAAATGAAATATTCCTAAAAGAATTTCCTAGTGTAATTTTTGTTTGTATTAAACTAATAAATATTGTTGAAAAAATAGCGGTCAAGTTTATTTTTTTGCTCTTAATTCGCTTGCAAACATACAATATAAACCTGTCTGAACCTCAAATTTAATTGGGAAAAAAGACAAAAAAGCAATTTTTGACCGATCCTATGAATGAAACAAAAAAAATTTTTTCTCAATAGAAAAAAATTAAATTTGTTTCTGTTCTACGTAAAATTTATTAATACAAAATTGTTCAGAAAGAAAATTTGTTGCGAAGAAAAAACAATGAGAAACATTGTTGTTTGTGTAAATTTAACAAGAAGAAATAAGCCGAATCAAAACTCTCTTTTGCCTTGTATGAAGTTGTATAAGGGGATTTCCGTTTTAAGTTCCTTAATCCGCCTTAATCCCAAATGGGAATGGCTAAAAACTAAAAAATTAATTTTTTCTCATTCTTTTTTTCGTATTGTCTCAGAAATTCGTATTGTCTCACCGAGATCAATCCTGAAGGTCAACTCGTTGAAGGCCACCCTAGTAATCAAATAATCCAGGAAGTCAACTCCATATATTTAGGCGGATGTCTTCGCTGCACGATGGCCGTGCTTCGTTCCGCTCGACATGCCCGGCTTCTTCCGAAGCGGCAAACACTCTTCCGCAAGTATACTAAATAGTTACAAGGAAATAAAAATCAGAACATAACCAAGAAATACAGAACGAGCCTCTCAAGTGAATGCTCTCTACTGATAGCACTAAAATGGCCTACAAATTTTATTTAACGCCGCTTCGGTCTTTTAACCTGCCGGTCTTTTAACTAATCGGCTTTTTAACCTCTCTTTGGCTGCGTCTCCGTGCCCGCTCAAAACATCAAACTCTTAAAATATCTTTACGACTAAAAAAGCTCAAAATATCTAGACGGCTAAAGAATCTCAAAATATCTAGACGGCTAAAAAATCTCAAAATATATTTTCTCAAAACATCAAACTCTTATAATATATTTACGTGTAAAAAATCTCAAAATATAAAAAATTTTTGCTTTACTTAAAAAATTGTGCTAAAATTTGGTAAAATAAAATATCTCAAAATATTCTTAGTTTAGAACCTTCTTAGTTTAGAATTTCATCTGTAAATGGATGTACGTGCAACATTAGTGATTTTTGTTTGGTGATTTTAAATGAAATATAAATATTTTGTTATTTTGATAGTTTATTTATTGATTATGGTGAATATCTAGAAAATCTTAAAAAAAATCCTCCGTAGCAGCACAAAAACAGTTTTTCCAGCGAAGATTCTGTTGATCATAATTCTGTTCAGAATCATCCAATCGAGCAGGTTTTGGTTTTATTTGATTGAGCTCGTCGAACTCATGCAAAATTGGTCCTGAGATACTACATTATTCACCCCTGATACAAGGAAGAAATATGGGACTCAACTGTCCCTTTTAATTAAAAAATATATTTTGATATTTTGAGATATTTTACCCGTAAATATATTTTAAGAGTTTGATGTTTTGAGAGAATATGTTTTGAGATTTTTTACTCGTCTAGATATTTTGAGAGTTTGATGTTTTAAGAATTTATGTTTTGTATGGGAGCCTGCGTCTCTGCAAAAATATAACACACTATTTCGCTTTGCGAGGGACTTCAAAATGTAAACTCAAGGCATTTCAAAGTGTAAACTAATTAAAATATCTAGAGAAGGATAAATTTTCAGAAAAAATTTTTTCCCCCGCTTAAAGTTTCTATTTTTTTCCTAAAATTTATGATTTTCGGCTAATTTGTGAGTTCCGGTTCTGAGCCGTTTCCGATTTCAGACACCCTCGTCATTTCCGACCGATGCCTGATTCATAGAGATTTCTAAAGAGCCGGTTGGGTAGTTTATCGATTTTAGCGGCTTCCAGACTTTTCTATTACTTCTTTTTGACACGCCCAAAACGGCGCACTGCCTTAATGGCGCAAAGCCATAACTTGTTTCAAGCTTTCCCAATCATATGAAATTTAGTATTAAACGACTCCACTCATCGAGCTAAAGAGATTGGTACCTAAATTGTTAAGGGCCAGACATTTTCCACCAAGTTATAGCTTTGCGCCGTCATGGCCTCGCGCCGTTTTGGGCTATATCCGTTTTTTGTTTCTTTTATACCCTCAACTTAATATTTACTTTTAATTTATTTTATACTTTAGAATTGACTTTTAATTAGTTCAAAATGTCATCGCAACCAAAGGCAGTTAAATTAGAAGTTGATGACAACACATTTAATGATGCCATTCAAAACTGCAATTTGCCAAAGGTTTAATTTTTTGTTTTTGGTGGGTTCATTTTATAGTGATAACTGGGAATTAAATTATTCGATTCTGTAAGGCTGTGCAAGTAGGCGGTGTGGTGTAATGACTAACACATCAGTTCGGTCTACTGAAGATGCTGGTTCGTTCCCAGCCGCCGAATAACTGAAGATGCTGGTTCGCTCCCAGCCGCCGAATAACTGAAGATGCTGGTTCGTTCCCAACCGCCGAATAACTGAAGATGCTGGTTCGCTCCCAGCCGCCGAATAACTGAAGATGCTGGTTCGCTCCCAGCCGCCGAATAACTGAAGATGCTGGTTCGTTCCCAGCCGCCGAATAACTGAAGATGCTGGTTCGCTCCCAGCCGCCGAATAACTGAAGATGCTGGTTCGTTCCCAGCCGCCGAATAACTGAAGATGCTGTTTCGTTCCCAGCCGCCGAATAACTGAAGATGCTGGTTCGCTCCCAGCCGCCGAATAACTGAAGATGCTGGTTCGTTCCCAACCGCCGAATAACTGAAGATGCTGGTTCGTTCCCAACCGCCGAATAACTGAAGATGCTGGTTCGCTCCCAGCCGCCGAATAACTGAAGATGCTGGTTCGTTCCCAGCCGCCGAATAGCCTTTTGCGCTAGCTAAAGGAGCGCAAAGCTCTTGGCCTGATTGGGAAGGTGTAGTAATTTCTTTTATTTAAAATTTTTCTATAATAAAATTCCATCAATTTTCAGATGGACACAGACCAATCGACTGTATTGGTTTGTTTATACAAGAATGCATTTAAAATAAAATTTTTTTTCATTAGGTGGAGTTGTTTTTTCAACATCAGCAACGGTGAAGGAGGAAGACAATGGCAACGAATGATTAAAAATCTTGGGAAGACTTTGGAATATTGGCACAAATTTGGAAGCTAATGGATGAAAAACAGTTTTTATTTATTTTTTTAATTAATTGAGTGCATTTTTACTTTAGTAATTGTAAGACCCAAGACCCTCACTCCCGCAACACTTTCCCTGGGTCATTATAATTCGACCCTTAGGAGTGTGTCTTCGGTTAATCCAAATTTTAAAAACCCAGTTTTCGGTTTTGAGTTTTAAACAAATGTCGATTTTATTTTGGGGGAGTTTAATGAAAATTTGTTCGTGGGAGAGGGGAGTCTTTATTAGAGACTGGACTGGGAGGGTCGTACAAGAATCGTATGAGATATCTCGAAAAATCTTTATTTCGATAACCGAGATTTTTGTTCGAGATCTCATTCCGGTCTTTAGTCTATATAAAAATTCCAGTGCTTAATTTATTTTTATTATTCTCAAATAATTATATTTGAGAAATAAAATTTGCTTTAGTCTTCTCAATTTTTGCATATTTTTTTAATATTGTTTTTGATCAAAGAATTATTTTTTCTTTAACAAATAGCTTTTTTAATTATTTCAAAAAAATTTAATTAATTTTTCTTTTTTCATAGTTCAGAAAATTTTTATACAAATTTTTTAAATATGCCGGGCAAACGACCATTTGATGAACGAAGAGTTTTAAAATGGAATGATGTAATTCACAGACAAGGAAGAATGATTGAAGATTATGAAGAAGAACTGAAAGAAGAAAAAGAGAAAAATCGACATTTGATTGGACAATTGTCGATTTTGAAGACTTCAACAATAATCAGTCCACTCCCTCAAAAGAAAAAAACTTTGAAGGAAGTGCCTGTTCTTCGATTTGATTCGGATGATGAGGAAGAAAATAAAAAAGAAAATCCTAAGGTTGTTAACCAAAAATCAAAGTCTAATTTTATCATTTTATTTTTAAGGCAAGTTCATCAAAAAATGGAGGAAATGAAGAAGAAAATTCTAAGGTTCTAATTTTATCTATTATGTCTATTCAAAAACTAATATCATTTTATTTTTAAGGCAACCACATCAAAAAATGGAGGAAAAGAAGGAGAAAATTCAAAGGTTGTTTTGTTTATTAGGGTTATTTTATAGAATAGATTTTTGGGAGTCAGGGTTATTTTATAAAGATTTGTGGGAATCCCACGGCAAGGATTTGAATTTTTCGAGTTAGCTTAACTGAGGTATTGGGTTTTCTTTTCTTGTAGAATTTACCCAAAAAGCGGGTTGTCTTTCTAATTTCAATTTTTAAGATTTTTTTTTCAGGAGAACAAAGTAAAGAGAGAAAAAGGAAAGGTAGAAAATTTTTGAAAAAAGTTTTTAAAAATTATGTACTTTTAGCGAATTGGGCATAGAGAACGGGGAAGAAGACAAATTGAACGAGCGAAAACTAAAGAAATAAAGAAGCTTAAACAACTCAAGAAGGAACAAAGGGAACTCAAAAAGCAACAAAAGGAACTGAAGAAACAAAAGGAAATGAAGAAACAACAAAAGAAAAAGAAATGAGGGAGAAAATTGGTTGTTCTTAGGGGTGTGCCGTTTCGCCTTTCGTTTTTTAAATTGACTTTGTCTTTCTTTGCTTTTTAAAATCTGTTTCGGCACACCTTTTAATTGATTCTTTTCTTGCTGCTGTTATGTCGTTGATTCTTATACAGTCGGACCTTGAATGATTTCTCCTAAAATTAAATATATGTAAATCTTACAGGTTTTCCTTTTAATTGGTTTTAGTTGGGTGAGGAGTCTGCCTAAACGGTTAATATTTTTCCTAAAACTAAATAAACGTAAATTTTACAGGTTTTCCTTAATTCCAGAATTTTCTTCTTCATGGGGAGTTCCGACTGTTTCCTATATTTTTTATATGATTCTAAATTTTTTATCGCCGTTGACACATTTATTTCAATTAAATTTTTATTAAATTAATTAATTCCATATTTTTAATAAATAAATTGTTTTCATTAATTTTCTTAATTCTTTTTTTGAAGATTGTTTTTAAACAATTGAATTTTTCTTATTAAATTTCTTTAGGATTTTGGATGGTCAACTTTTCTAAATTGATGGATTCTGTTTTTGGATTGGTTAATTTTTTGTTAAATTGTTTATATTTTAATTTTTTAAGGTCGAATCAGTGCCAACAACTGATCTTTCCCCCAGATGCTTTAACTTCACTTTCCTTGTTGATGGTTGCACAAGCACAAGAATCTGTTTATATCAAAGCTTGCAGGTTTTTATTTTGAAGAGTGAATTTTTTATGAAATTAAATTTTTAGATAAGATGTTTGGCAAAACCTTCAACGATTTCTGGTGTTCAAGACTATTAAAAGATGGAAAAGAAACTTATGAAAATCTTCGTAAACAATTTACAACAAAATGGACTCGAATGCCTTCTGAAAATTTGACACCACCTTTTTTGCAAGAATTGGGAAAATTTAGAGGAATATTACAAACAGCAGCTAATGCGGATGTTAGCGTTAGAAGTAAATTTGAGCAAAACAAGAGAGGAATGGAATTGCTTAGTTTAACTGAGGTTTTTTTTGTTTTTTACGAACCATGGGTGTCACGAGTCGAGAATAAAGTTGGGCCGTTAATAAATTTGAGTCGAAAAACTTCGCGTTTTGGTCTCGGGTAATCGGTTCAGTTAGGGTATTGAAATGAAAAAAATACGGGTCAATTTTTTAAATTTTTCCGGTTACGGGTAACCCTTGATATCCCTGATCCGAAACTCTAATAATAAGGTTTTCAAAAAAAATTTTATAGAATGACTTAAAATTATCAATTCCTGGTATTGGAAATATTCAACTCTTTATGTGACAAAGTAGAATCTTCAATTGAAAGGCAAGATTCTGTTATGGAGGAAGTTCAATTATGGCATAAAAAGTTTCATGAAGAACGTCAAACAACTGGAGGTGCTCAATATAAAAATTTTTTCGGAAGGATTGGCAACTGCTTGTGATGCTTTTTTAGACGTGAAGGAGATTTGAATGAAGGAACTAAGGTTTTCTGAATTTGATTTTTTTCTGATTTATTTTTATAATTATTCTTTTCATTAGATTTTTGTTTTGCTCGCCAAACGGAAAATCAGGATTTGATGAAGCAAGTCCAGCAAAAGATTGTCTGCTGACAACGGCCGCCGTTTGATCATCAACATAAAAATGTTTGTTCTTTTAATTTAATTATTAACATTTTTGAAAATGTTGTATCTGTTCTAAAAACTTAATTAGTTAAGTACCGAGTCCCCTGACTTTGTGGATTTCAGTTTATTAATTATATTAGATTTAAATCCAAAATTCAAAAGCGATGATATTTTTCGAAACACTGACTAGGGATCGACTGAACCTTTAGTTTGTTTCCATTTTACATTTTGAAGTTCACCGAAAAATAGTGTTAGTTAAATAGAGACAGTATTAAAGTTTAAATTTTCTAATTATTGATTTACTATACCACCGTTTTTTGGCTTCCTTTTTGTATATTGATTTTTTCGTTATTCTCTATTTCATTTTATTTTTATTTAGAAGCTGTTTAACAAATGTACAACAAATTCTAACAACACTTCGACATCCTCGTCTAGATCAATCATTCAACACTCATCAACTCAAGTCCCCCTGCCGCGGGCAGGGGGCAACTCAAGTCCCCCTGCCTCGTGTAGGGGGCAACTCAAGTCCCCCTGCCGCGGGCAGGGGGCAACTCAAGTCCCCCTGTCTCGTGCACGGGGCAACTCTGGTCCCCCTGCCTCGTGCAGGGGACAACTCAAGTCCCCCTGCCTTGTGCAGGGGGCAACTCAAGTCCCCCTGCCTTGTGCAGGGGGCAACTCAAGTCCCCCTGCCTTGTGCAGGGGGCAACTCAAGTCCCCCTGCCTTGTGCAGGGGGCAACTCAAGTCCCCCTGCCTTGTGCAGGGGGCAACTCAAGTCCCCCTGCCTTGTGCAGGGGGCAACTCAAGTCCCCCTGCCTTGTGCAGGGGGCAACTCAAGTCCCCCTGCCTTGTGCAGGGGGCAACTCAAGTCCCCCTGCCTTGTGCAGGGGGCAACTCAAGTCCCCCTGCCTTGTGCAGGGGGCAACTCAAGTCCCCCTGCCTTGTGCAGGGGGCAACTCAAGTCCCCCTGCCTTGTGCAGGGGGCAACTCAAGTCCCCCTGCCTTGTGCAGGGGGCAACTCAAGTCCCCCTGCCTTGTGCAGGGGGCAACTCAAGTCCCCCTGCCTTGTGCAGGGGGCAACTCAAGTCCCCCTGCCTTGTGCAGGGGGCAACTCAAGTCCCCCTGCCTTGTGCAGGGGGCAACTCAAGTCCCCCTGCCTTGTGCAGGGGGCAACTCAAGTCCCCCTGCCTTGTGCAGGGGGCAACTCAAGTCCCCCTGCCTTGTGCAGGGGGCAACTCAAGTCCCCCTGCCTTGTGCAGGGGGCAACTCAAGTCCCCCTGCCTTGTGCAGGGGGCAACTCAAGTCCCCCTGCCTTGTGCAGGGGGCAACTCAAGTCCCCCTGCCTTGTGCAGGGGGCAACTCAAGTCCCCCTGCCTTGTGCAGGGGGCAACTCAAGTCCCCCTGCCTTGTGCAGGGGGCAACTCAAGTCCCCCTGCCTTGTGCAGGGGGCAACTCAAGTCCCCCTGCCTTGTGCAGGGGGCAACTCAAGTCCCCCTGCCTTGTGCAGGGGGCAACTCAAGTCCCCCTGCCTTGTGCAGGGGGCAACTCAAGTCCCCCTGCCTTGTGCAGGGGGCAACTCAAGTCCCCCTGCCTTGTGCAGGGGGCAACTCAAGTCCCCCTGCCTTGTGCAGGGGGCAACTCAAGTCCCCCTGCCTTGTGCAGGGGGCAACTCAAGTCCCCCTGCCTTGTGCAGGGGGCAACTCAAGTCCCCCTGCCTTGTGCAGGGGGCAACTCAAGTCCCCCTGCCTTGTGCAGGGGGCAACTCAAGTCCCCCTGCCTTGTGCAGGGGGCAACTCAAGTCCCCCTGCCTTGTGCAGGGGGCAACTCAAGTCCCCCTGCCTTGTGCAGGGGGCAACTCAAGTCCCCCTGCCTTGTGCAGGGGGCAACTCAAGTCCCCCTGCCTTGTGCAGGGGGCAACTCAAGTCCCCCTGCCTTGTGCAGGGGGCAACTCAAGTCCCCCTGCCTTGTGCAGGGGGCAACTCAAGTCCCCCTGCCTTGTGCAGGGGGCAACTCAAGTCCCCCTGCCTTGTGCAGGGGGCAACTCAAGTCCCCCTGCCTTGTGCAGGGGGCAACTCAAGTCCCCCTGCCTTGTGCAGGGGGCAACTCAAGTCCCCCTGCCTTGTGCAGGGGGCAACTCAAGTCCCCCTGCCTTGTGCAGGGGGCAACTCAAGTCCCCCTGCCTTGTGCAGGGGGCAACTCAAGTCCCCCTGCCTTGTGCAGGGGGCAACTCAAGTCCCCCTGCCTTGTGCAGGGGGCAACTCAAGTCCCCCTGCCTTGTGCAGGGGGCAACTCAAGTCCCCCTGCCTTGTGCAGGGGGCAACTCAAGTCCCCCTGCCTTGTGCAGGGGGCAACTCAAGTCCCCCTGCCTTGTGCAGGGGGCAACTCAAGTCCCCCTGCCTTGTGCAGGGGGCAACTCAAGTCCCCCTGCCTTGTGCAGGGGGCAACTCAAGTCCCCCTGCCTTGTGCAGGGGGCAACTCAAGTCCCCCTGCCTTGTGCAGGGGGCAACTCAAGTCCCCCTGCCTTGTGCAGGGGGCAACTCAAGTCCCCCTGCCTTGTGCAGGGGGCAACTCAAGTCCCCCTGCCTTGTGCAGGGGGCAACTCAAGTCCCCCTGCCTTGTGCAGGGGGCAACTCAAGTCCCCCTGCCTTGTGCAGGGGGCAACTCAAGTCCCCCTGCCTTGTGCAGGGGGCAACTCAAGTCCCCCTGCCTTGTGCAGGGGGCAACTCAAGTCCCCCTGCCTTGTGCAGGGGGCAACTCAAGTCCCCCTGCCTTGTGCAGGGGGCAACTCAAGTCCCCCTGCCTTGTGCAGGGGGCAACTCAAGTCCCCCTGCCTTGTGCAGGGGGCAACTCAAGTCCCCCTGCCTTGTGCAGGGGGCAACTCAAGTCCCCCTGCCTTGTGCAGGGGGCAACTCAAGTCCCCCTGCCTTGTGCAGGGGGCAACTCAAGTCCCCCTGCCTTGTGCAGGGGGCAACTCAAGTCCCCCTGCCTTGTGCAGGGGGCAACTCAAGTCCCCCTGCCTTGTGCAGGGGGCAACTCAAGTCCCCCTGCCTTGTGCAGGGGGCAACTCAAGTCCCCCTGCCTTGTGCAGGGGGCAACTCAAGTCCCCCTGCCTTGTGCAGGGGGCAACTCAAGTCCCCCTGCCTTGTGCAGGGGGCAACTCAAGTCCCCCTGCCTTGTGCAGGGGGCAACTCAAGTCCCCCTGCCTTGTGCAGGGGGCAACTCAAGTCCCCCTGCCTTGTGCAGGGGGCAACTCAAGTCCCCCTGCCTTGTGCAGGGGGCAACTCAAGTCCCCCTGCCTTGTGCAGGGGGCAACTCAAGTCCCCCTGCCTTGTGCAGGGGGCAACTCAAGTCCCCCTGCCTTGTGCAGGGGGCAACTCAA